CAAAAAAGGCCCCTGGGTCTTCTTGCATCGAGTCACATGTTGACCAAAGAATGACCGTACTCCACCCTCTTCTTCTTGGCCTGTTCTTCAGAGAATGCAAAGCAGCGCTGAGAGTGCGGCAGTGACAATCCACTACCAAGTAATATAGAAAGGAAAGAGCTGTGATACAACTGAGACGCTGCACTCGGCATGTTCGAGCCACTTCTGTCTGGTTTCCACCTTTTCCAAACGCAATGCACTTCGATGCGCAGGAGTCAGCTTTTGATTTCATCTACCATCCCCTTTTGTGGCACCACACTTATCCCCCCTTAGGCAGCTCTCAGCAACTGGGACTATAATAACACACAGTACCGGGAGAGCAGAGCTGCTCGATGATCGCATTGCTCTAATCCGCTGCTTGTTAACGTGGCAAAGAAAGGGCAGCGTTGCCGCTGTAGCACCAAGTCAATCGTGCTACACAGCCGTTGTAGATGCCGGCCTCAGCGCATCTGTGGGTTCGAAGCGCTGCCTCACCTCATTCCTTTTCCGACGAAGCACACGCACCGGTGGAAGCACCTGGGAACAGAAACTGCTCTGCTACTATGCCGCTTGAGAAGAAACAGGGTGCGCTACGTCCTTCATCTGTGATCTCAGCACTCTTGAAGGCAGTTTGCTGTTAGGGCCAAATGCGCGTCTGGTAAAACGAAAAGAGACCAAAGCTCGTCAAGTGAAGAGCGGGGAGACCACGTTGCAGAAAGCAGAATGACGAGAAAGGTGACATTACCAGCAATGCAACAGCGTCAACCTCTATCTCTTACACACAGAAACGTTGCAGGTGAGAAATCATTTGTGTTAAGGAGTCCTAGTTCTGCAGCGTCGCAGTTGCTATGGGCCTTATGCTCAGCAGTCGCCATTTACTTGTACCAAACCACTCTTTGGTGTTCTCTTCTCCGTTTCCTTTGACCTAGGCGCTTCTCCAGCAACCACTAATTCTGCTACTCGTTAGTGTCCAGCAGCTCTGATACTACTTTTCATTACCATTGATTAACAGCTGCAACGACTGTGTTATCCACAAGAGTCACCAAACGGGTATCGAGAATGCAACGCCCACCGCAAGCACGCAGACAGAAGAGACATCACGCACGTACCGCCCACACCACGTGCAACAGCTTTTCTCCTTTTCCATATGCGAGTTTACCAGTATCTTTACAAACAGTAGCACTGCACAGGAGGACACTTACAAAAGAAGGGTTGCACGCTTAGCTCGTCTCATTTAAAAACTGTTTGAGCAGGCACACAATGGAAGACTCTTAAGCTCGTTGGAGTCTTGATCGTAAGAACCCTGCTCGTTTCAGCTGTTAAACACAACGCAGTCAACACTTTCGCGGCATGTACAGCCGCTGGTAGCCAGACGCTTGTCAACACTGGCAATCCGTTCAAATACGCTCCTTTTTAGGGAAGCCATCTTTGATATCTCGCTTTTGTTCTGTCCCGAAGAGTGACGCAATTCAAGTCTTTAAGCGACGCCAAAATAATGGAGGCGAATCCGCATGCTTGTTCTCAAGCCAAACCGCTGAGATCTTCTCTTCCTCTCTCCTTCCTATTGTTGGTATGGAACTCAGTGCGAGCCGAAAGCGGACACAGTCCGTCACAACTACACCGCTTGTTCCCTTGCGTTTGTTTTCCGAACCGAGAAGACAGCGCCGAAAAAAGCGTACGCCGTTGCGGCTTCAGAAGAGAGCTTCGGAATGTGAAGTCGGCCGCTGAAGATGAGGCGTCAAAACCACACGCGCTCAACTCAGTCAATACGCAGATCTCATGAGCACGCGTGCTGCGCAGTCTGTTTACCACCTCATCGAAAACGTCTCGAATTCGATCTCGTCGGCAGCTGCCCTTTTCCACACAGGTACTGAGACGGCACCTAACGCTGACTTCCGCGAAGCACGTGCCGGACACAACGCAGCCAAAGCGCCACCGCAGCCTTTCTGTTCTTCAGACCCGATTGCAGCGCAGAACATGCGTGACCACACGCGGTCTCACAGCAAGTCGTGTGGGGTGACCTCTCAGCACGAAGACAGCACGGTGGTGGCGCGGAGTAACAGCGTTGCTAAAAGGCGAACGACAGAGGACAAGCAGAAGACAGGGCGTACCTCATTAGCACGATGCCATGGTGTGCGAGTACCCACCACGCAAAGACAGCCCGTGTGCTTAACCGTCAATGGTATCAACGGGCTCAGCTGAAAGCTGGGTATTCAAAACCCACTCGACTGGAGGACCGACACCTCGCGCAATTCGCACCCCACGTGTGTCCCAAAGACTGGCACGAGGGCGTCCACAGGATTTTGAATCTCGCCAGTGTACAACCAAGAAAAAAGGTTTCTCCTTCTTTGTGGTAGAGTTCGTGCGTCGGCGATTGCAGTTTACTCAGCGCAGCGCTTCTTCCTCCGCACCCAAAACCAGCTACAGCGGCGGCACGCATGCGGGACGACGTTGCGGTCCGTCAGAACCGTCACGCGTGTACTGCGCGGCGTACGCTGCCCCGCCGCAACAACCCCTCGCCGTCTCGCGATGCATCCGACGGCTTAGGGCTGGCGGTGTATGCTGAAAGGTGCGTCGTGCAGCCTGCCGCTCCGCCTGTTCCAGGGAACTCTGCATCGTCCATGGGCACCTCCCTGCATGCCACCCATCGTTACTGCAGCGTCTCCATAACGCCGTCTTCTCACGGCAGAATAGCTGTCCCTTCCTAAGCGCGGCACATCACTCTAAAGGCTACGATCGTCGGCGCGCTATCCTTTCGCGGCGTCGTCACGTGAGGTGGCACACCCCATCTATCGGTTGGTCAAACTCTTAGACCGAGCGCCTTGGAGAAAAGCTAGTATTGTATGCGATACTGCGTAGCTGACGCACATCTACGAGGCCTCATCATTCGGGCTGAGAATAAAGAAAACGAGAAGCAAGAAGGACCTCAGACGAGTGCCTATCAAAGGAAGAGTGCGAACGTTATACGCGGATCGACACTGCTGTTGCACAAAGTGCAATAGTATATGCGTAACTTCATTCTGACATTCGTATTCTCGAGCGTGGTGATGGACCACGTTTTAGTTCCATAAATCGTCTCTTCTACACTAGCGCGGGAATCGCTCAAAGAACGATCTTCCTCCTCTCACTTTACTTCGAGAAGGGCGGCCGGAGTCGTGAGCTCCATCCGGTGTGCTGTTCTTTGTTTTTCTTCCAACACTGCGGTGAAACGGAAAAGGAGAAAGGAGAGAGGAGAAAGGAAAAGCATTGTATTGGGCTTGCTGATAAAACAGACAGCACGTTGTCGAATTGAAACAAGAAGGGAAAGGAAAACGCGCAGGAGACCGAACATGCACGTCTGCGCACGTCAAAGACGCAAAGATACATATAAATATATCCATTGGGGTATGAAAAAAGAGGAGAGAAAACGCAAAGAAGAACACAAAAGAAGAAGTGAACAACGAACGAAAACAGATACCGCTAATCACGTGTGCGTGTGTCAACATTTGGAAAGCAAAGGCAATTTAATCTCTTCTGACGAGACACGCACACAGTGCAGGAAAACTAAAAGTAAAAAGACAGGCACTTGCGCGCGCACGAATTGGTGCAGAGATGGCCGAATCAAGGAACAGAGGACATCACGGAGAGGAAACCCGTTTCTTTACGGACGTGCAATCCAGATGCCCTCTCCCTACTCCACCACCTGCAGACTACGCTGGAAGTAAGATCGTAGACAGTACACGTGAACAATAATAAAAAGCGGAACGATCTGCGCATGATGCCTTGTCTTTTGTGTTGTTGTTGTTTTTAGCGGCGCTGAAAAACAGAGATAAAACTTCGAATATATATTCTGTAAAAACATGAAACAAGCATTAAGAGAGAAAGGTGAAAGGAGAGAACAAGGCCAAGAGGAAGAACTAGGAAACTGCACAGGGGAACAAGTTCCAGGTCGTTCGTTGCGCTTTTGGTTTACATGTATCGCTGATCCGTCTGCATCCGAGCTGTTTGGTGTCCGAATAGGGAAAAGAGAGGAAAAGATAAAGATAAAGATAAAGATAAGCTGCACGCATCTCGCTGCAACGCAGACACCCGTCGCGGACGCTGTGCGCGGCCGTACGAAATGCTCCCTTTGAAAGAAGCAGATGGAAGCGCAGCTCCTTCGCAGAGACCTTTCTTTTCGCGTCAGTGTACTCTTTAGAGGACGCTGTAGACCGAGGCGGCTGTGCCGAACACCACCGCAATCACCCCGGTGAGCAACAGAAAATAGGTGGCGCTCCACTCCAGCCAGCCAACCTTAGCGAGGCTCCAGTTCCCCGCGTACATGATCATGAGAGCCGGGAAGATGAAGCCGATAAATCCGCCGCACAACGAGCCGACCAGGCCCAGTACGATGTTGATGCTCGGAACAAAAAGACCGATGATGAACATTACCGTCGCGATGAAGCCACAGATGACGGCGTTCTTCCACCACGGCATGCGGTAGACATCCCACGAGAAAAAATGGTAGAGGCCGTCACGCATGGGCAGCTGATGCAGGGCGAAGGCAACACAAATCTTGATGACGATGCCGAAGTAGGCCACCCAGAATTGCGGTGCCTCACGCGGCTGGTACTTGAGGAGGATGGACGACGTCACCGTGGAGCCGAAGCGGGCGTAGCCAAACACCCCGGCCAGCACGTACAGGATACCGCAGCCACTCATCGCCACCGTGCTGTTGCGCACCATGTTGCGCGGCGTCGGTCTCGCCATCTCAAAATACACCTCCATCGCATTGATCTGAACGAGGCAGGCAAACATGACGGTGCCGAGACCTTCAATCGCGCTGTTGCCCGTGTTGAACGGCTTCACATCGTCGCGCCAGCCGTCCCGGTGCAGGTGCGTGCAGCAGTCCTGAACGATGCATACCACAAAAAAGCACACCATAGTCACGCCGACGATGGAGACGTGGCGCAGGGCGTCGATGTTCTTCGGCAGGCACAGCGGCAGGATGAACACGAGCCAGATCATCGACGTGATGAGGCGGTTGCCTGGCTTCGTCCGCAGGAACGCCGGCACGTTCGGGTTGTCGAAGATGGGCGTGAGCAGGTCGCCGATCGAAATGATGTAGCTCACGGCACCGCCCACGCAGAAGCCCAGCATGAAGACAGCCGCGGCGTAGTCGGGACCTTTACCCAGAAGAGCTCGCGTCACATCCTCGTACGTGCGCACCTTCGTGATGGCCGCACACCGCGCTAAGAGCCACAGCGAGAAGATGGTGAGGACGACCACGACCACCAGCACGATGAGGGCTGTCGCAAGACCCATGCTGTTGAAGGCGGCAGGGAGACCAAGAATTCCCGCGCCGAGGGTGGAGCTGCCCAGCGTGAAGGAGCTGGCGATGAGACCGCCGGGTGGAACAACCTTCTCGAACCAGATGCGGAAGCGCGAGCGATCCTTCTTGGGCCGCATCCCCGACGCCACGTCCTCCTCTTCATCCATGACGTCGACGTTGACGTCGTCGGCAGACGCGCCCATCGTTTTCTTGGCCACGTCGAACGGCTCGTTTTGAATATCGGCAGGATTATTGGAGTTGTCGGAGTTGGGCGCATCCTCCTGGCGCGGCTCCTCGCCGTAGCCCGTTGACGCCTCTATCAGCTCACGCTGCGCCGCCTCGGCGAGGTGTTCTCCGGGGAGTCGAGACATTTTATTGGTCGAAGCTGAAGGAAAGGGTATATGGAGCCTGCAGGAGAGGGGAGGGAGAAGCGGGTCCAAGAAGGCAACGTTTATACGCTCAATCTGAGAAATAGAAGGACGTAAAAAGCACAGTAAGTGTTGATATGTTGACTTTCGATTAGTGCAATTACTTTTGTTGTTACACAACGGTGTTTTACGTGCGAAACGGAGAGAGAAAGAGGGGAATCGTCAGCGTGTTAAAACCCAAAAAAAAAACGACAGCCGCAGAAAAGGTGCTCAGAGCAAGACGCCTAACAGTAGGTATGTTTTAGTAAGTCTGATCTGCCGTAGAAGGCGCATAGCACAGGCCGTGATCGTATCGTTCCGTGCGCCACGCGCACGTACCCTCTCCCGTTTTACCAACATTGAAGTCACTGGGCGCTCTACGATTCAGATGCGTTGCCGAGTTGCAGTATTTTGCTGGAAGTTTCGGAAAGAATTGGTTCTTTACTTTATGTAGTGTGTGCATCACCATCGCCACCATCATCGTCATCGTCATCGTCACAACGCAAAGACAGCGTCGGCGCCTTTTGCACTTTATGCGCCGATTAAAGAAGAAAAGAGAAAGCAAGAGGAGAACAAACTAACAACGCAACGATGCAGGCCGCGACTGCCTGAATGGCAGGAGCAAAGACAATCCAACCAGCGAAACCCCCAGAGACCGGGAAAGGTGGACCAGGAGAATACAACGGCACCCTCGGTGGAAAGGCCGCAACAACGGCGCCTTTACCTTTGCTGAACAACTCACCCACCCGCACGACTGCACACAAGACAAAAACAATAGAAAGAAAAAAAGAGAAGAGAAACGCGATTATAGCAGCAAGGAACTGCCGTCGTCCGTCGTGTTCGTTTCGGTGGCGGGACGAAACAGCAGAGACGACACCGTCGACGTCAGCTTCTCGAAAAGAGAGGAGTTCTTCTTGAAGAGCCCGACGGTGGTGACCATCTTGGGAATCTGCTTTACCACCTCCATGACCAGGATCTGCTGGATGCGTCTGACCAGTTCGCTCAACGACACCCGCGACACGTTGCGCAGCTGCAGCTTGGGTATGACCAGCATGGCGTGGTGTAACGAGGGGATGAGCTTTGAGATGACCGAGTCGCCCAACAGGAAATCTTGTGGCGGGCGCGCACTGCGGTCCCAGCTCAGCTCCAGCGGCGTCTCAGAGATGCCTGCGCTGCCGATGTGCAGGAGTTGCGGCAGCTGCGTGGGCAGGCTGTGCAAGATGCACGTCGCCACCCGCTGGCGCACCCACGCGGAGACCTGAAACGGCGCGTCCACCTTGCAGCGCGAGCTGAGCACCTGCAGCTGGTAAAGCAGCACATCGGACACGGTGATGGTGAGAGGCTGCAGCCCAATGTAGAAGCCCTTGAGGTATACGTCGCGCGTGGTGCTGCGCAGCTCCCGCACGCTGACGTCCGCATCAAACGGTTCAATAACCTGCTGTCGTCTGCCTTCGTAGTGGATGTCGAGGCAGATGCCCGTCACGCTCGACTGCAGCGATGTCGTACCACTCCACCACGTCACGTTCACCGCGAAAGACCGCCAGAAGAGCTGCAGCGGCACCGCACTGCCGTCCCGCAGACGCATCTGCAACGTCGTCATTTGCACGTTCATCGAGAACTGCACCTCCTCCACCCACGACTTCTCCATCGTGACGAAGACGCGGCCGTTGGATAGCACGACCGAGCAGCGGTCCTCCTCTGCCCGCACGACCTGCACCGTGACACCGGGCTCCAGTTCCACCGGCTCCTCTTGCAACAGGTCGACCGTGTGCATCGTGCCCTCCGCGGCAGTCAGCAGGAGGTACTTGTTGTTCTTGGACGGCTGCGGGAAGGCAACCTGGTAGCTCTCCACCTCGCGGAAGTTCGTGTTGGTCAAGTTGACGAGCCTCACCCGCGGTAGTACCGCCGGGCCGACCGTCACGTACGCCGGCTCATACAAGTGCCGCTTTGCAATCTCGACTTGGTGGTGCGTCGCACCACAGCACACAAAGCCGCACCATGTGGTGCTCGGCGCCAGGTCTGTCTCCACCACCGAGGAGAAGGTGAGCTCCTCCGCCGCAGCGCTCTCGCCTTTCCAGGCAAAGAGGAGATCGTTCGTGTAGCCGTACTTGGACAGGGTGTAGTAGCAGTGGCTGCTCTGTGGGCTGATCTCGAGCACCGTCTCCTCCAGTGCGCGCGTGGAGCCGCTGTGGCGAATAACATGCTTCACGCACAGTACGCGGCGGCGGTGGCGGTTGCGGAAGACGATCGAAGGCAGCAGCTCCGCCACCTTTGTCCGGCTGTTCGGCACCATGTGGAGGAGAAAGTACGAGGCAGAGTAGGCGCTGGGCTCAGGGGCGCGGTCGCATTGAATAACGCAGCCCTCGCCGCTGTCGTCGATCTCGAAAGGCTCCGACAGGGCCGCCCCTTTCGACTTGATGCAGACAACGGAGTTGGACGGCACGTAGCCGATCGCGCCAGTGTCCACGGAGCCAGGCATGCCGGTGGTGCCCATCGTCCCCACCGCGTCTCCTTCTTCGGTCGAGAAGAAGAGATTCGCCGTGGTGCAGTTCTTCACGAGACACAGATAACTCGTCGTGAGGGCCACCCCGTGCGAGCCAGCAGGGCCATCGGCGGCGACGGACAAGTTGAGTTCGAAGAAGTACCGACGGGGATAGGCGGTGTGGACGAGAACCACGGTCGACTCTACCGCGGCCGCCTCGCGATCGAAGAGGGCGACGGTGTCACGTGCCTCGTACACCTCCTCGCCCACGAAAAGCCGCACACGGGCGCGGACGTTCATCGTCGGGGGCAAGCCAAAGAAGAAGGCGCGGCCGCCTGCCGCAACCTGCTCCTTTGCGAGCACCTCATCCCGCGTGTTGACGGCGTCGATCTGCATCGGATAGACGGTGTCATTCACTACGTGTGGCCGCATTGCGCGGAACACGAGCAGCAGTACAGGCCCGTGCATCACAAACTCCGTCACCATGAACATCGACGACCCGTCCAGCTGCGAAACGAACTCACGTGGCACGTCGGCTGCCGGGTAGCCTTGCTGGTAGCAGCGCTGGTAGAAGGCGGAGGCGGGAGTGAAGTCGGGGAAAAGCGGCTCCCGCAGCGTGGTGGAGCGGGGGGGCGAGTTGGTGGCGCTCTTCGCCGCCGCCACACTCAAGTCCGAGCACGACAGCATCGCCTCCGGCACGCACGACAGATCGAACGGCGCAATCACCTGCTCCCGCTGGCTTGCGGCGGCGAGGATGAGACAAAACGGCGTCTTGTTCATGATCTGCACGACGGTGCGGACGGAGATTGTCTGCGTCATGTCGTGCGTGAGCGTTGCGGTGAGGTGCAGCTGCCGCTTGTCCGCCAGCACCACCACCCTACGAGACAAAAAGAGCGCCTCGGCTGCGCGGTCAGTAGAGAAGCTGGCGGTGCTGATGAGGCCAGTCCCGAGAGCCGTGTCTCGCTCCACGTGGTCAACCACCACGTCATCAACCTCGGTGATGGTGCAGGGTACTGTGGTGGGCACGAAGGTCGGCTCCTCGGGCTTCGTCGCAGCGGGGATGCTGACCACATCCCCTTGTCCGCCTCGTACGCGAAGGGTCACGCCGGTGTAATTGTGCCAGCCAAAGGAAGTGGCGGTGGTCGTCGTCGGCACAGCTGCGTCGTTGCTGGGCGCCATGACGGAGTGCAGAAGCAGCCGCAGCTGGTCGGTGGACACCGTGGCGTCGATGGGCGAGACGGAAGCCGTCAAGTTGACGTTGAGGGGGCTGGCGGTGCGTCCCTGCACACCGAGGAAGACGGGGCTGCTCACGACGGACTTGAAGGTCTGCTGCTGCCACTCCCACAGCGCCATGTCGTGCAGTGCAATGCGCGCCTCGACCTGCGCCTCCGCCAGCGGCTCCCGCTTCGACCAGACGAAGGCGTTCGACAGCGTCACCTTCGCCACTTTCATCCCACCTGGAAGCTGGACCGCAATCGGGATGAGAGAGAGGGAGAGCAGCACCTTCCACGAGTCGTACGGGAAGCGGTCTGGTGTGGGCGACGACCGCGACGCTGCGTCTGGCGAGAACGGCGGCGGGGGCGGCACCACGTAGGCTACGCTCGGCAACTCACCCGCCGCCGCATCAGCGGACGAGGAGGAGGGCTCGCTGGCGGCAGAGGCGGCGGTCAACACGGACACGCGATCCTGCACGGCGCGCACCTTGGAGGTCACTACGGGGATGGTCATCTCCCCGCAGCTGATGGAGCAGCTCACCGTGCAGGAGCGGCGCGGCAGCAGCACCGCCATCTCCCCTTCCGCGATCGTCTTGGCGAGCACTGGCACGCGCTGCACCGCATCCACGTACTCCATCCGCAGCTCGCCGTTGCGAAGTTTCACAAAGGTGCGCCGCGTCTTGCGCTTGCAGGTGAGGGACAGCGCTTTTTGCACGCAGACGAGCCGAGAGACGGAGTCGAGCTGAACGGTAACACAGCCCTCGTCCACCGCTACGTGGGTGCGGGTGCTACGCCGCTCCAGGGTTGCGGCGACGCTGCCGGGCGACGGTGTGGCCAAGGACGGCATGGCGGCACCGGTCGGCGACGCAGGTGAGGTGAAGCCCTCACCGTTGCTCAGGCGACAGTCCTCGCACGCGTACAGCGCGGCGCGTGACGAGGTGCGGATGAGACTCGTGTGGAGGGACCGCACGAAGGTGCAGCGCCGGAACACCACCGACGTGCCGGGGCAGACGACGATGTGCCGATCGGGCGACGGGGCGTAGAAAGTGCAGTCCTGCAGGAGCAACAACCGCGTGGGTGAGTCGAGGAACACGTCGCCGCAGTCGTCGAGGTGGAACGCGGTGCTTGTGGTATCCTCCGCCAGCACCACCCGGCGACTGAAGCAACTCGCAGCGTCCACGACGGCGCGGATCATGTGCTGCAGCTTGTAGAAGTCCGACAGCGCGGCCGAGAAGTCTACCGCTGTGCTCCACCGCCGCAGCGTCACCTGTGTCGTGTCCACCTCCTCGTCGGCGGAGGAGGCGCAGCTGCCTCGGTCGCTCTCGGGCGGGTTCGGCACAAGGTCTCGCGGCATTGAAAGGCTGAGCGAGCTGCCAGTGTTCCACGACACACTCGTCGCCGTCTCCATCGAGAAGGCGCTCAGCGAGGCATCGAAGACGGAGGCGGCGGTCGCGGAGTGCCGGTCCAGCCGGGTCACCGCCCGCACGTTGTCCACCGTCCACCGCTGCGGCACCGCCGGTATTTCCATCGCCTCCGCACGCCAGAACGGCATCTTCTCGAGCGCCATTTGCAGTTTCAGCCGGGTGACCGCGAGGGACACGTCAGACGGTGAGACGGCCGCGCGGGCGGAGACGCGCACTGCAACGCACGAGACGTCGACTTCCATCGAGAGCCGGCCAACATCGTTCAAAATGAGAATGGGGAAGTTGTCGGCGGTGGCCTGCAAATGCGGCTGGTAAACGTTCAGCGCCGTCAGCCGCTCCTCGCTGGTCGTGTTGGACATCGACACCAGCAGCACCTCCGCCCTCTCGTCCGAGCCACAGCGCACAACGCAGTCGTGCATTGAAATGCGCAGCGCAACGTCGCTGAAGCAGCTGAAGAAGGTGCGATAGTAGTTCTCGGAGATGATTTCGTCACAGGCGAAGGTGTACACTTCGCCCAAGACGTGACTTACGGCGCGCGTTGGGACAGCCGACAGCTTCTCCATATCAACCGACGTGACCTCAGCTGCCACCTGCATGTACGATGTCAGGCACGGGCGGTCGTTGAACATCGGCACCGATGGGTCCGTCTTGTAGAGCAGCTCCGCGTCCTCGATGCACACGCTGTTGGCGGCAAGCATGTGCCGCGTCAGGTAGTACTGCACCGTGCCGTGCACCACACCCTCCACGCCTTTCAGCACCAAGAGCGAGATGTCTTCCGTTTCCTTCGGTCGCTTGCCGCTCACACTCATCTCAGGAATGGCCACGACGAGCGCCTGGGCGGGCTCCGGGCTGAGGCCAACCCGCACGCCGCCGTTCATCTCGACGCGCAGGGTGATGCGATTGGTGTGGCTGCACTGCACCGTGAGACGTCGCAGAGTGACGTGAGCGCCGAAAGGGCCGCGCGGCGCCGCGGCGACGGTCTGCACGCTGATGCGTTGAATGGCGACGGTGGCGTCGAGCGGCTGAAACTCCATCGCGACGTCGTCGACTTCCATCGGCGGGCAGCTGGACACGGCGGACCACTGCAGCACCCTCTGCAGACCCTTCAAGGCGAGCAGATCAATGTTCGCCGACGCGATGGACACGGCTGGCGCTGCGCTGCTGACGCTAGGAGCCGATGCGGCACCGCTGAAGCGCGGATACTTCTCGTACAAGAGCCGGAGGCTGTCTGCGTCCTTGCGAAGCCCCGCCCACGTCTCCCGCGACACCAGCAGTGACACACGCGAGACGACGACGTTACCGCGCGGCGTCATGCGCACCTCCACCGGGGCCAGGACGTAGCTCTCGGCGTGCTTGAGGTGGCAGGTGCGCATCGTGCAGCCCAGCTTGGTCGGCACCCCCGGTGCGCTGGCGGTGGTGCAGGAGAGGCGGTCCACGAGGAGCTCAAAGTCGTCCAGCTGAATCTTCAGGCTGCGCACCGCCAGGATGGTCGTAGCGACCTTTGCCGCTGGCGCCGGCGGCGAGGGGTTTTGGGAGGCGGCAGTCGGCTGCGACATGGGCGTCGTCGCACTGGTCCTCGCCTGCGCACCAACTCGTTGTAGCGCGTCGGCGATGGGCGTGACGCAGCGCAGTGCGCCGTCGAGACTGCCTCTTAAGGCAAGCGGCTGCAGGCTCACCTTGGCTCGCTGCGACGACGCCGCGTCGGTGATGTGGACGTACAACAGCGAGGTCTCCTCCGTCAGGTTTACGGTGGGGGACTCTGCGGTGGCTTCGGCCGCCGAGAGCGGCGCGGTCACCGCCTGCACAGCACCGTCGCTGTCAAGCGAGATGGCGCGAACAGTAAAAACGGTCTCCTCGTTGCGCAAGATGAGCGCCGTGTCGCTCGCGAAGACGGTGTTGCGCGCCGGCAGAACCACCTTCACCACCTTCCACATGATATGCGTGGAAGAGACGATGAGCGGCTCCACCTCCGCCGCCTCGTCCCCGTCCTGCTCCGCCACGACCCCGTTGTACTTGCGCTGCACATGCCGTCGGAGGAATAGGATGACGTCCTCGTGGCGGAGGTCCTGTTCCGCCTCGGCCAGCTGACGCCGGCGCTCCGCCACGCTCTGGCCTCGATGACACTCGTTCAGCAGCTGCACGTAGCGCTCCCGCGCCTGCGCATAGAAGCGGAGGTACGACGCGTTGAAGTTGAACCGCTGGCGGTAATCCCGCAGACCCTGGATGACGCAAGCCTTCGCGTAGGGCCACAGCGAGCCGCGCGCGCGGAGTGAAGCAAACGGCAGGCAGTAGGGCGGGACAGCGAGCCGCGCCTCACGAGACAGGTGACACTTGAGCAGTGCAAAGAGCGTTGCCTCATCGGCCACTATTGTGTTTGTGCCGTCGAAAGAAACGGATACGTTTTTGCGCAGCTCGCGCTCCGTGTTTGCCTCGTAGACGGTCGTGATCGTCACGGAGAGCGCCTCGACGACGAGGATGCGCGATCGGGCGTCGCCGGCGCTGGCGAAGACGTTGGCGCCACCAATTTTGATATTTACGATCTTCATCTGCTCCGCCCCCGTCGTCTGGGTCGGCTCCACCACGACGGTGAACGAGTCCACGGCGATCTCGTAGTGAATGTTTTTGCGGGTGTCACAGGGCAGCACTATGGTGAGATCCGTGAAGGCAATGCGGATTTGGCGACGCCAAATCCACGCCACCGACTGCGCTGCGCGAGACCGCAGGTAGCCAAACCAGCTGCCGCCTTGCGCTTCGGCTCCCTCTGCGTCGTCGAAGCTCGTCGGGGATCCGAAGCTGTCGCTGTCGCTGAGAGATTCATTGTCCGAGAAGTCGCCGTCGCCCGCGCACGACTTGAAGTCCTCCTCCTCGACGTCGGAAGCTGCGGAGGAGAAATCGAAGTTGGCGGCTTCGTTTTCGCGGTCGTCGAGGGGTGAAACCGGCTCCGACGAGGCCTCGGCGGGGTCAGCGGCCGCGTGGCCTAAAATGGAGGTGGCGGTAACGCCGTGCAGCACCTGCTCCGGCGTCCGCGCCGCCGGCGGGGAAGTCAGGTCGAACTGCAAAAGAATACGTGCGCGGCGGACTTTCACGTCCATAGGGGCCGACGTAGATGGGTTAGGGATTTGCACCTCCATCTCCGGCACGGTGCCCTCCTCCATGGGCAGCGGGAGAAGCTTGTTCATCGTCTCCGGCCGGAGGGACACGTGGTTCACGCGTATGTTGCCGTTGAAGATGGAGGTGTGCACGTCGCGGGGGTTCACATCGGCAATGTTGGCCAGCCCCGACAGCACGTAGGTAATGACCATCTGCTGCATGATTCGTTAGGCAGAAACAAAGAGCGTGTCTCCCGACACACTGTAGCAATTTACAAATAAGGAATAAATATAAACGCACTCGAGGAGTGGCGGCGGTTGGCGCGGAGTGAGGCCTTTTTCCTGTTGGTTCGACTCGTTTGCTTTATGTGGCAGTGCAGTCTCGAGCGTATCGGAGATTTAGAGAATGATTGCCGACGAGAGAGGGTTAAGAGTGTATTTTTGAGGATGCGAGGCTCGACAGTGACAGTAACCAATAGAAAAAAGGGAGAAGGCTTGCAAATGGGGACGCTAACACGCGAGCGAAACGAATACGTGTGCGGCGTGCCGGTGCGGTACTGCAATGCGCCCTTTCTGGCTTCTTCTATTCTCGCCAACGACGCGGTATAGGAAAAGGCAAAGGGATGTGTGAAGCTCAACGAGGGGAGAGGGTGCACGGAGTGAGCGCAGCGCAGCGAGGTACCACCGAAGAGAGCGGGAAACACAGCCGGCACGGACAGTCAAGCAGCACAAAGAAAACGACAAAATAAAAGGAATAGCGAAATAGCGGTTGGGTGTGCGGTGCGTCGCAATCCACTCGTAACCTTATGAAGTCAGTAAACTACTGAGTAAAAAACCAAATACCTCTGACGGTGTTGACGGTGAACGGCGTCAATGGGAAGAGGTGTCGCTGTTGCTTTTTGGTTTGCGCGAGAGAGGTGTGTATAGGAGAAGGAAAAAGCGATTCGGCAAGTGAAAAGAACGACGGGCACAAACAGCAGCAGGAGTAGATGCTGCGCAGCGCAAACTACGACAAGAGAAAAGAGATGTTTATATATATATATATATATATATATATATATTTATATATATAATGTTACGCCACGTCCGTTCTCTGCTTGCTCGCGCAGACTGGCAAAGATGTGCTGTAGTGTTCACTTTCGTTGACGGAAAGTTGTAAGGAGAAATATCGTTTTAGGAGGAATAGGGGAAGTGAAAGAGGTAATACGGTAAAACACAAGTACGACTCAAATCTCCACGAGAAGAAGTGTCACTAGGAAGCAGTCATCGTGCCAATTGTGCTGTAACTCGTACGTATGGCGAGCATCACGAACGCTGTAAAGCAATGCATGAGATCACCATCATCTACTCAGCCGATGGCGCCCACCACAGTTTTCTCTTTCTTCGCAGAGAGCGGATTCCTTTCTTCAGTGCGTGGGACAACCCGTTACAGCCGGCGATACCGCCGGAGTAAAAAAAAAGAAGGTGTGATGTCAAAACAGAAAAAGGGAAAAAAGAAAGCATCCGCGGTCTTTGCTATCGAACCTCAAACGTTTCTGTGCGCGTGTGTACCGCTCACCCTCCTCACGGCGCACCGTCGGTTATCAGAGCACACGGAAGCCGATGCAAGACGCCGCTGCTCGTATATATTTGCTTATACGTATAGAAGCAACGGGAAGAGTCGATCAGCAACAACAGAAAGCATGAAAAGCGCAGCCATAAAAACACGCGCTCTCCACGCTGCATACGCAGTTGGAAAGCAGGTGCGAAGCGCATGGCAGGGCGGCTAGAAGTAGATGCGATGTGCGCAGTACCCGTTCGGATTCTTCTCAAGATAATCTTGGTGAGCCTCGTGTGCAGGGTAGAACCTGCCGGCCTTCTCCACCGAGGTGATGCATGCGGCACCACCGAAGGCCCTCGCAAAAGCAGAGTGCAGTTTCTCATCCGCACCGTTCAGCTTCGCAATATAGTCCTCCGCCTCTTGCTTCTGCTCGTCGGTGTGGTAGAAGATAGCGCTGCGGTAGTTTGTGCCGATGTCGCCCTCCTGCCGGTTCGGCGTCGTGGAGTTGTGCATGCGAAAGAAGAACGCCAGCAAATCCGCGTAGGAAGTCTTACTGGGGTCGTAGGTGAAGTCGAACACCTCTGCGTGGCCCGTGGTGCCTTTCTTCACCTCATCGTACGACATCGTCTCCTCCTCCCGCCCACCCATAAAGCCCACCTTGTGCGTCACAATGGCGCTCTTGAAGTGGCGAAGGAAGAAGTGCTCGGTGCCCCAGTAGCAGCCGGCTGCGAACGTAGCGCGAGTGGGGGCTGCCATTGTCGACGACGGTGAAGCAGGCAAAGCGGGAGAGAAAGAGAGAAACGCACGGGGGGTGGACGGATGACGCAGACGAGATCAGAAAAACGACGTACGCGCGTCGGTAGAGGGGGCAGCTACTTCTGGTGTAGTCGCGTGTGTTTTTCCGGCGAACAACAGCACAAGAAGAAGACGAGATTATTGGAAGAGGAGAAACAACAGTTGACGTTGCGGTGCAGCATCGCCTTCCGCTCGCAGGCGGAGGACGAGTCTCTCCGAGCAAACGTCTCAGAAAAAAGAAGAACCGAATGGTGGGCAACCAACAGGCGGAACGCATACATAGATACACATTTGTTTTTCCTCCGACGCCCGTAAACCGCGACGACGAACAAATGCATCCATCTTCCACACAAAACACGTACACTGACGGCACAGCATTCTCGCAATAAACCGGCATCTGTCGTTGCTTCTGTTTTTAGATTATTCGCCTGGCGGGCAACTTCTAAATGGCAACTTGGATGAGGGTAAAAGAAATATCTAAAAGAGCGAGACGCACCAATGACATACCTGCCTCCCTCCCCCGTTCCATAACATCCATCCATCAACGGCAGCAACGCACCCAAATTGGTCGAGCGCATAACGTCGAGGCGTCCGCGCCGTCTCTGCGCTTCGCGCCCCACCAAACCCACGCACATCCACACAAATCGCGTCAGGAGCGATGTGAGTTTTTCTTTGTCTGTCGGAGGGCATCAACAACACGTCGGCGCGTACTAGATCGACGTGTGCACTACCGCCCTATCATAACAAGCAAGGAAAAGAAGCTGAGAAGATCAAACTGCGAGACAGCGGGAGGGCCCGACGGCTGCAAGAACAGGACGCAGCCGTCACACCGCCTTCGCCCTCAGCGTCTCCGGCGACGGATGTAGCTGACGAGCGTCTGGGCGGCACCGGCGACGGCCACGGCCAAAATAGCCACAAAAGTTGCACGTCGCACAATGCGCACGTACGTCAGCGGCGGCTGCCCCACGGCGAGCGTCGGATCACTTGTCACGGCGTACATGTATTGATTCAACGAGCTTGCCTCGCTCTGATCTGGCTGCTCGCTGCTGGTGATGACAGGCGGCCACAGAAGCTGATGCGCCAGGCAGTAGTTCTGCAGCCGCGTCCCCGCCTCCGCTGCCTGGTCATCCACCTCAGGACGCACCGCGTCCGCCTTTGTCATGACCACCACGAAGGGCATTCGCTCGCACCCCTCCGTGGCGCAGACGGCGTCGAAGAGACCCATCACATACGCACCGGAGGTGGTAATGTCGGCGCCATCGTAGCAGAGCAGCACCACATCATACGTCTTCGACCGCTCCGGGTCGGCCAAAATGTACTGCGACTCCTCCGGCGCCACGGTGGTGTACACGAGCGTCTGCGCCTCCTCGGCCTCGTCGCGGCCTTTTGCCGCAAAAAAAGTCGTCGTGCGCACGCACGTGGCGCTGCGGAGATCCGACTTTTGATACGCGTCGCCACCGCTGCTCGTGAGGGCGTACATCAGACTGCGACGGCCGCTGTGCGCTGCGCCGACGACGAGGACGTGGATGGTGTTCGGTACGGTCTCATCCGGCGTACGGTAGGCCCGTGCACTGCGTCGGGTAAAGAGGTAGCTGATCTCGCCTTTGTATCCCATGTACCGAGCGTAGCGAATGACGTCCTCACGGCGGGCCAGCGCCATGTACTTCCAATACTCCACGTACTTCACCATCGGGATGCGCTCCTGCAGAAAGCCGTCGACGCTGGCCCAGGGGCAGCCAGGGGTGACGGCCCAGATGTCCGCTGTCTCCGCAAAGCGCTTCAGCTTGTACACGTTTGTGAAGAACTGAATGGCGTGCCCGGAAAGGTACGTGTTCGACTCCCGATCCACGCGGATCGAGTGGAGGTCGTACCAGGAATAGGGGAGGCCGTCGGGGTGAATGCCCGAGGCGTGCAGCGTCGCCCACGCCTCCATGGTGCTGCCGCGGGTGAGCCAGCCCAGGTGGAGGTCGAGAAACGCCTTCAGGTCCGCCTGTTTCTCCGTTGCCACCGCGCCGCCCCAGTCGGAGAGGAACGACACCATGTCCTCCTCGGCGCTGAAGTCCGTCGGCTCGACCTGCTTCCTCCAGCCCACCAGCTCGGGCAGTCGGAGGAGGCCATCGGCGTCGCGGTCGAGCAGCCAAAACGCGCGTTTGAACGCTGCCTCGCCGACCTCGGTGAAGCGGCTGAAGTGGGCGTCGTAAATGACGTGGGGCGGCGCGAGTCCGATGGTCAACGCCTTTGTCTTCAACTCCTCCAACGCACAGACGCCGTAATAGAAGGCGCCGTCCTCCACTTCCTTGATGCAGCTCGGCGTGGCGTCAGGCAAGGCTAGCACGACCCGGTTACTGTAGCTAGACTTGTTGGCTGGAGATCGGCAGCCCTTGCACAGGATGATGACATGGCATACGAGAAGCAGGCGCTTATCCACCTTATCCACACTAAGCGCCGACGTGCAGGAAAACTGATAGGATTTGTTCCACGCCTTGTGGGTATGCACCATCGTGCCCTGCAACGCGCCCTCCACGCGGAAAGCGTCGGTGCCTACCAAAATAACGTGTATGGAGGAGCTCATTGTCGTGTCGGACACAACGCTGCCAGCGGGTACTACTTAAGAGGGTCTGCAGCGTCCACCACGTACTTCGGGGGTCGATATGTATTTTCTTTTCTCCTTTTGCTTCTGCTCGATCGTTGATGGCGAAGGTGTGGGGGATAGAAGGACACGACGAGACGGTAGTGGTGTGGTGGGGAGGGGGGGGAGGGGGGTGCGCGGTCGACGTCGATCATCGATACCACTAAAATGGCGCAACTCTTCAGTTCGAAGAGCACGTCGATCGCATATCCACACCATCAAAAAGGAAAGCAAGAAGACAGCACACCACGGAACACCCGTCCTGTCGAGCGGCTCGCTCGATGTACGGCGGCGCTAAGCAGAAGAAGCAGACACGAAAGCGCTTGCGTGGAGTGGCCGGCGTTGGCCGCATGAAATCGGTTGCTCCTCCTCTGTCTTCGCCGGCACTTTTTGGATGTTGTTGCCTAGGCCGCTGACAAGGTCGCTGTTCGTGTTCCATTACACCCCACTGGCGCCAGTGCAGCACTGTGATGTGGGTCATTTCTTGTTGACGTTGGTGATCGCACCGCGATGAAAACATGGCAGCCTTGCTGGAAACAATCAAGAGAGAGAAAAAGGAAACACCGCCGTCGCTTCGGCATCGTCGCACACCACCACAACAGACCACATCAACCGAAACAACTGTATGGCTTCACGAGCGAAAAAGCCCGTCGCTCTGCTCTCCGGGGACCCTCCCCGCCTCACTCCTCCTCGTTCTTCTTATCTTCGTCCTTCTTCAACGCGTCCTCGACGCCCTTCGCAAAGTCGTCCACGTTGTCCTCCTCGTTCTTATGGGCCTCGCTCGTCGAGGGCGGCTGTCCCTCAGCGGAGGTTGCGGTGGTTGGCTGCGGCGGCAGCTCTTGTTCCGCCTCCTGTAGCGAGAGTGCGATGGCACGCCGAATGAGCTCCTCTTCCGACATGTTTTCGTAGTCCACCTCGTCGTTGTCCGCGCGGGTTTGCGGAGCGGCCGGCTGCGCAGGGGCGGCAGATGTGGTGGCGGGAGCCGTGTTCGCCCCCGTCCCCGCTGTGGTCGCGGCGACGGCCGCCTGTCGCTGCAGTTCGTCCTCCATCGACAGCCGCAGCGCCATGGCGAGGTCAGGGTCCGTGTTCGGGTCCACGCCGAAGCCGGCCATGCCGGACGCGCCGCCCTCCCTGCCCTCCGGCGCGTCCTCGCCGAGCAGAATCGCGTCCCCCATGAGCTTGTCCGTCAGATTCTCCCGCGGGGCCACCGAGAGAAAGCGCGAGTTCTCCTTCTTGGACACCTTATTTACAAAGCCGCGCAGCAGCTCAATGTTGCTCTCCACGCCAAAGGCAACGATGTCCACGGCAACGTCGTCCTTGCGCAGCTTCTTCGCCAGCGCCTCCAGCTCCGCCTCGCTCTCCGTCACCGGGCTGCCAACGAAGGCCACGATGCGCTTCTCGGCACGCGGGTTGGTGCGGTGGCTCAACGCGAGAGACGCGATCTGCAGGCCGGCGCTGAAGTTGCAGCGTTTGCCCGTGACAGGCACGTTGCCGATGGACGTCATCACGGCGTCGACGTTGTTCGTGAGCGTCTCGTGCACGACGCATGCGTTGCCGCCCGTGGTGAGGAAGCCTAAAGTGTTTTCAGCGTTGGCTTGGAGTTTGGCGTTGATGAGCAGGCAGGCGGCGTCCTGCTCCGCCATCATGCGGGTGGGGTACTGATCGCCGTTGCGCATGTACTCCGTGGAGTCCAGGCACACAAAGCACGCCTCGACCATGACTGCGCGGTAGACGAAGGAAGGGGGGGAGGCGCGAGTGACGGGGAAGGCTAGCGAGAAGAAACGTGGTGGAGTGTGCGTGGATGGGCGCTGCTGTCGAGTCCTTCTTGGTTGGTGGGTTCTTTTGGATAGCGTCGAAGACAACACGAGAACACAAGGATGAATGGGAAGAGGGCGAGTACGCGGCGGTGCGGACCGGGCGAAAACCACAAATATGTGCGTGTATCGTCGAGGGGGTACACCACGAAATGAGAACCTAAAAATGATAAAAGTAGTACTAACAATAATAATAAGGGCGGGGCTGAACCACTGCGCAAGCTCGGTGCGAACGACTACGTACGCGACTGAGGATCGAAGGAAAGCACGCAAGAAGAATACAAACACAAAGAAAATCTGCAGGAGGACGAAAAGGTGGAAGTTTGAGAGACGAAATAACGGACCAGCACGTTCCCAACTTTGGCACTCACGTACGACTACCCGTTTCTTTCGTTGTAGCGGAGCATGCGACCCGTAAAGCAGCGCTGTGCGAAAGCTATGAATCGGGCAAACATTCATTCTACCAAGTGAAGCGGGCTGCGGTGCACACCTTCTTAACGCGAACTAACGCACTGTGGTCGCTGCGACAAGCGAAAAAAAAAAAGGGAAGAGTCAAGTCGTGAAGGCGAAAAGCAGCAGCACACACGCGCACACCCCACATCGTCTACCGCGTTCCTCCGGAGGGCGTATCCGTCTGTGTGTTAACGTATGTAAACGGGAGCACAACTCGCCGCGATAATGTCGGCACCAACAACAGCGAGAAGAAACGAAGCCTCAATGTGAGAAACAAACGCAAGAAGAGGAAGAGGGACTTCGCACGCCAGCGTTTTCTTTATTTCAACTCATTCACCTTCGTCAGCGTCTCCGCCAGGAGAATGTGATAGCTCTGCAACGCGTCCTCGGCTTGGTGATTTACAAGAAAGGTAGTGGCCGAGTCGCGCCACAGGTCTACTTGCCGCATTGCGTTCTTCACGGCCGTGTCGGACCGTATCGCAGCCAAAATTTCATCTTTCCCCGCGGGAGACGCCGAGGAAAGGTGCGACGTCGCGGGCGAGTGAGACGCCAGATGCTGATCGAGCTGTCTCGTGTACTCCACCGCAGCCCGCACATCTTCCTCGGTGTGCAGCTGCCACTGCGCGCGACGCAGCATCTTCTCGAGATCCTTCCGCCGCTCCGCCAGTTGCCGCTGACCATTGCTGAGGACGTCGGCACGAGCCGCGGCTACTACTTTCCGCACGCCATCGGAGAGCGGACCCGGGGTCGGCGCCGGCGGCTCCTCCAACGCGGCCGCGTACCCGGCCGTCACCTCCGCCACCGCGTGATGCAGCTCCTCCATGCAGAAGGAAAACGTCGCTCCCGTCTCGGCGACGGACGAGGGGTGGGGCACCGCCGATGCGGCGTCGCAGATGCCGTCGCAGACGGCCTGCACCAGCGGCTCCGCCGCGAACATCTCTCGCAGCGTCGGTGCCACGCGCTCCACGCCGACGGTGCGGCCGTGCTCGAGCATCAAGGCTAAGTTGTGCACCTTTGAGCAGGCGATGTCGAAGCCGATGAACTTCGGCATCTCCTCACTCATGTAGCGGTAATGATTCGCCAGTCCTTTCATTGCGCCGATGGCCTCGGGGAGGGCCTTCAGGTACGCATGCAGATCCTTGTTCACCTGCGCGTAGCGCTCGAGGCGGTCCGTCCACAGAATATCCAGCGTCTCGGCAGTCTCCTTCGTTGCTTGCTCCTTGTCGGTCAGGCGTTGATCGCGGCTGAGGCACTCCTCGTTGTAGGTGCGGGAGCCGGCCATCAGCTCTTCGTATTCCTTGTTGAGCTCCGCACGCCGCAGCTCGACACGGCGCCACCGCGACCCGCCCAGCACCCCCGCAGCGGAGAAGGCCCCAACGACGCCAAACGCAGCCAACTGACGAAGAGACATGTGTCCTAAAGATTGTGATACCACGGCACAGCAAACACGAGAGCCAACGCGCAATAGAGGAGAGGAGAAAGGGTGATAAAGGAGAAAGCAAAACGACGTGCTCGTCAGAGCGCCGTGCTGTCCGGGGTAGCGGATACGTAAGGGGGAAATGCGGGGAGACACTGGTGGAGAGACGGGCAAGGAGAGGGGAGGGAGGGGGGGTTGGTGAAGCTGTGAGGGGAAACCAATGTGACCACAGTTGGGCGCCGTGGACATTCAATCCGACACGTATGTTTCCTTTTTTGCGGCTGCATGAACTGAAAATGCCGCGTGAATTGCAGTGCGGGCTAAAAAGAGACTGTGTTGAATCGGCATGGCAACGACAGCAGCTCTTCTAAAGGCGAAGGACAGCTTTCACGTGCCAAAGCCGTCTCTCATCAGCGCAGTTGAGGCAACACGGACGCTTCTTCTTGGCGATGAAAGTTGGGCCGCTGCTGCCCCTATTCCTTAAAAGATCACGTGGATGTCGAACCCAAGATCTCCTGCGCCTTCTATCTTCACCAATGTATGGGCTTTTCTTTCAATTTTTCCTCGAGAGAGAGAGAGAGAGAGATGAGAAACTATCTTACGCTTTTTTCTTTCCTTTTAATACTACTATCAGACATATGTGTGAAGGCGTATGTGTGTGTGCGTGTGCGCCGCCACGTGCTCTCCCGCCGTGAATCTGCGGCGGCGCGTGTGTAGAAAGACGGCGTCTGCCACCGCCTTCCCTTGCGGGGCGTGCGATCACACCGACATCAAGAAGAAAGAGAAAAAGAAACTCTCAGCCCTCGATGAGCAAACGACGCTGTACGACACCCACGCGTACGCCGGACCAGAGTCGCCAACACACAAGCACACGACCCAACTCGTTTCTACCTCCTCCACTCTTCCTCTCTCTCTCTCTCTCTCTCTCGATCCGCTAACTACAGTGAGTAACAAAACATATATATGGCATGGGAGAACGAACCCCTTGTTGGCCACAAGCGCGACACAACTCCGGCGTGATTGCGAACATACAAGACGGATGCAATGCCTCGAAACAGAATATCGCACGAGTCGCTGCCCTCTTACATGAAATCCGCCTCTACGAGAAGAGCATGAGGAAGGCGAGCATCAGGGCGAACAGCCCGATGGCCTCCGTCAGGGCAAAGCCAAGAATGGCGTAGTTGAAGAGCATCTTCGTCAGGTTCGGCTGGCGAGCGCAGGCGATCAGCAGGCAGCCGAAGATCGTACCAATACCCATACCCACACCAGCCAGAGCAATGGCGGCCAGGCCGGTGCCGACGTAGTGCAGGCCCTGAACGGAGATGGCCACGGTGGAGGCCTTGCGGGGGCACACGACCAGCGCGCTGGAGGCGGCGGCCACACGGCGGGCGGCGGGCTGAGCGAGAACACGGCGCATCATCTTGACGGAAGGTAAGTGGTGATGAATGAACGAAGACAGATGCTGTACAGAGGAATTCGCGCAAGGGGCTGCAGTGGTGGCGTAGGCGGCTTAACTTTGCAGAGGGAAGCAACAAAGGAAACAAAGGAAAAGAGTTGACGCGTGGGTGCGCGAGACACAAGGAGAAAGGAGAAGAGAAAGGTTCAAAGTGCGCTGGGGCTATCATTGCTGTTTGAAGACAGCGGTATGGCGATTTAGCAGAAGAGATGTTGGCGGAGATCGACGAACTCGTAGACATGGAAGGACATCAGCCGCACTTGGGCGGAGGACGTGGAGACCGCCAACCTTCCCCCCGGCGGTCCCGTTCTGGGGCAAACGAGAAACGGGAGAAGTACCGCAGCTGTGAATATTCCTTGTTCTTTCATATCACGGCAACTTAATCGGAAAAGCCTTTAAATCAGTCGTTGATCTGTCTTGCGGCGCAAACAGCGTTGCATCACCGCAGCGGGTATCTTCACATGCACAAAAGCGCGTCGGGCGCTACTCCTCCGACTGAGTCGAGGGCTTCGGCTTCGCGGCGGGCTTCGGCGCCATGCGCACGATGCCCCCAGAGGAAGAGGGACGCGCCTGGGATGGGGAGGCATTTCCAGCTGCACCGCCAGCGCGTGCTTTTGCCTTCAGCTCATCTGCGATGGCCTGTGCACGCTGCTTCAATAGCTTCTTTGCCTCTACGGACTCCTTCACGCTGGTTGTGTGCGACTTGGCGCCCTGTGCGCGCATCTTCGCCTCCACGCGACCCTGATTCACGCGCTTCTTGTTACCTCCGCGCGTGATCTTAGCGGAGCTGCCCATTTGCACGGAGAGAGGTCTATGTGGCGGGGGGGGGGGGGGGTAGGGGTGCAACGAGGGGAAGGGAAGACTGCTTGGCGTCGCGTGCGCCGAGGAGAACGCGGAAGCTCGCGGTGATGGAGAAGAAAGAGAGAGGAGTGCCAAGAGAGGAAAGTGATTGAGATACGAAGCAGGCGAAGAAGGGGACGCAAAATGTAACTGCGCGGGCACAGCTGTACGCCCCCGTTCTGCACGTAAAGGTGGCGCTTCACGTGTCCTACAACGCCAGGTGAGGAATGGCGGCCGCTGCCGTCTTGTGGTTGCTGCCGTTTCGCCCTCCTCTGCGTTTGACGCCGAAGTTGATGCGCAGAAAGCGTAAGTGCAGCCCTCTTTTTCTTTTTATCTTCATCTTCATTTTTCTCCTCTGTCAAGCTCCGCCGTCCGCAGCGGGGGGCAAAGGACTCAGAAGGAGAGGCAACAGCAGCTGACAGCGGCATCACTCGTCCACTTCACCACGGCGAAGGGCACGCGTGGCAGCGCGGTCACGCTGTTGTTGCTGCAGAGCCACCTCGCGCTCAAACTCATTCCACTCCGCCTGCCGCTGGAAGGACTTCTTCTCCGTGTAGCTGGACTTGGACCGCGCTTGGCGGAAGTTCTCAATCGTTTCGCCCTCCTGCGTGAGCGAGGCGGTCAGGTGGGCCTCCCAGGCCATCATCGACTGCGCTACAAGCCCAGACGAGGTTGACGCGCTGGAGGACTTCTTCGCAGTTTTCCGCGCTCCACCGGCTCTGTCGGAACGCGCGTCTGTGCCGGGAGGTGCGGAGGCCGACTTTTCTAGCTCTTCAGGGACTGGCCGCTTGCGCTGGATGGCACACCGCTCTCTGCTCCACCGCTGCATGAATGGCGACTCTCGTAAGAAGGGCGTGCCCTCGTCGTTTCCCCCATCTTCCCCCGCCTTGTCTGCCTCTGTTGCACCGCGCGCTGCCTCAATCGGCATTCCGTAGTTGAAGTAGAAGAGTGGGTTGGCGTTGGAAAGAACTGCGTCGAGGTGGCCGGCGAGCGATGACGTCGTCGCTGTCACCTCCCTCAGCAGCTGCTCAAAGCAGTTGTGGTTCGTCAAGGAGTAGAGCCACACCACGTCCTCCTCGGCAAGAGCGCTACGGGTGCAAAAGAAGGCGTTATCCGCGATGGCCTCTGGCTGGCCCAGGTGGCGCTGCGAGAGCACTCGGCGCAGTTTCTGTTCGCGTTGCAGCCGCATCGTTATCACCTCCACCGGCGCGTCACGCACGACATCGGCGCCGTAGCGAAGGGAGAGGGCGGGGGACGCGGAGTCGACGGAGTCGACGGAGGACGCGCGAGAGCTCGCGGATCTCAGCGACGCCTCGCTGTCAGAGTCGCTCATGTCTGGTAGAGTAGTCGGCACCTGCGGATTTACAGTGTGTGTGGGTGTGTGTGCATCAGCAAAAGAAAGGGTTGAATTGGGGGAGTAGAGGTGGTAGCCATAATAAACTGTCGAGAGAATGCGCCCAATACGAAATTGGAAACACCGGCGGGGCAGCGAGCAGGCGAGTGGCACAGGAGCCTCTTCATCGATGTGTACGGCCAGTCAGCCGCGTTTTTTCTGTCGCGTATTGCAAGCATGAAAAGACGATAATGCGTTCTCCGACAGACTTCGGAAGCACAACATAAAAGAACGCTCCTTCTTGCCTCGCTGACTCGTCATCCGAAAGCGCTGCACATGTCCTCTCGCCCCTTACGCTCTTTTCGTCTTACAACGCCACGTGTCACCGCCTCCGTTTGTGGGGATATCACGTTGTATTCGCTGTCTTTCGCGTACACTCCTGTTTCACTATCTAATGCTAATGCGCGTCCGCCTCTTACGTACTCACCACTGCGAATCGTCGGGTGCCGCCTTCACTGATGAAGGAACATTAAAAGACGCAGTTCTCCCTGTTGCGCGTTGCGAGGTGCGGTCTCGTAGAAAAGGGAAAAGAAGCTTCCACTTCTTGCCAGGGCTGACGTCGCCCTCCCTCCCCACAAGGGCCGGCCGGCGGGTCAGTTGCTTGGAAATGGCAAAAAGAGGAAGGGGGAAAGAGTGGAGAGCAGCAGCAAAAGAAAAGGTGCACGTCGCGCTGCTCACCAGCAATCAGGCAGAAAACGTTTTTAAAAGAAAAACCTGGCTGTGCGCTACGCGCATCAACGCACCGTCGTGCGAAGACTGCGTGCGGAAGAAGAAGAGGTGTTGGTAGCGGAAGGGAAGGCGGCAGAGAGCAGAACTCCCAACGGTGCAGCAAGACGACACCGCGGCGAACCAGAGAAAAGAAAAAGAAGAATGGGTGGTCTCTGCAGTCGTTTGGAGTCTCAGGCGGCAGAAACCAAAAAGAAAACATCAAATGGCGGCATCCGCGACGCAGACGCGCATGTGCATCAAAGGTAGGACACGCAAAAAAACTTCTGTGGTTGTGTCACCCGAAGGAGACGAGAAGAACGGGACAACAAAGCTAAGCGAAAATATGTGAAATACTCTTAAAAGGGAAAACTTCTTATGCACTGATAGGGACGGTAGCAAACGTACTCATATATTTATTTATTTATTGATATTGTGGATACTTGGGGGCGCAGGTGACATTCATGTGCACACGGTGAAAATCTCGAGAGGAAAGCTAAGAACAGGCGCAGAACAAGCGTGCGTATCACCGTCCTCTGTGCACCACACACGCCCACGAGTGCAACACTAACATAAAGGCAATACTAAGTAAAGTTAACGGTGTAAGTGGACTAATTGGTTCTTACTCATTAAAACGGAGGACACACTTCAAAAACCTCCCCTCTCTCCCCCTCTGCTCATCATCAACACAAATGCAAAGAGGTTAAAGTTAGCAGAGAAGGTGGAAGAAGAAAAAAAGCGCTGCCCACGCGATGAGGCATCTCACACGTGCACCTAGTCCTTTGTCACCATGTACTCCGCCACATCGCCGAGGTTCTTGAAGGTGGTTCGGAGCACCTGCATGTAGGGACGGGAGTCGTAGGTCAGCCCGTTTGCCTCAAACATCATGCGCACGCGTGGGGCCAGCGCGACAAAGCGGAACTGCGGCATGCAGGGGAAGAGGTGGTGCTCGACCTGGTAGTTCAGGTAGCCCATGAACCACGTCACGAACCACGTGGGGGCGACGTCCATGGTGTAGATGGCGGCGTACTCGACGAAGTGCGCGTGTTGGTCCTCCGACAGCACCGGCAGGTGAGAGTGGTTCAGCGAGAAGCTGACAAAGATGTAGGCCGCACCAAAGGCCTGGGAGAAGAGAACGCCGCCGAGCCCTTTCCAGACGGATACCTGCAGCTGATGGCACACGACGCCAACGATGACCCAGCGCGCGAGAATAGAGACGGCCTCGGTGTAGCGACGGGTCCGAATGACGTGGCGCACATGCAGGTACAGCTGCCAGTACAGCGCCACAAGCGAGCACGTGACGGGGCCGAAGAGGTACATCTGCAGCGAGATCCAGCGGCGGATGTTAATGTTCCTCTTTCCACGGCGTGCGATGACTTTGTTGAAGGCCATCAGCGGCAGCGTCTCGAGGTCAACGTCGTGGCGGTGCTTCTGCGGTGTGGCGTGGTGTTTGTTGTGTTGCACGCGCCACCACGCCCCGCTCATGCCGCAGCCCACGCCGTACAGAATCTCCTGGATCTTGATGTCCAGCCAGGGGATGCTGGTGGCGCTGTAGTGGCCCGCCTCGTGCATCCACCACCCGCAGCGGCCCTCCCCAATGCCGAGAAGGAAAAGCGCTAACGGCCAGAGCGCGGGAAGGCGGAAGAGCATGAAGAGACCCAGGGCGTGCAGAACGAAGATGTCAGCGAAGCGGTAGATGATGTGCGGCCAGCACGCATCGAAGAGACCCTCCTCCACACACGCCTCGTGCAGGGCCTTGAAATCGGCGGAGAGCTTGTCGAGCCGCTTCTGCTCCGTCGGGTCTACGTTGGTCCGCGGCGGGGCAAGACGGTGGGGCAGCGTCTTTAAATACTTGTCCGCCTTGGGCAGCTTGATGTGGAACTGCTGGTAGGTCTCCGTGGCATCGCCGCTGCCGAGGTAGTACTTGATGATGCTGCCGCCCGGGTGACGGAAGTTGGCGCAGTCGTAGAGGACGCCGTCGATGAGCACCTCAGTGGGCTGCTGCTGGAGGGTGTTATTGTCGAGTGCCATGTCGAAGCTGCGTTTGGGCGTGTGTATCGGTGTGCTGAGACGATGCGTGGACGGCTCTTACCACAGCACGTGAGAGAGCACAAGATGGAACTGCAGACGAAAGAAAAGATCTCAAGAGCCGGTTGTCGTGAAGGCGGGTCGTACGCGCAGCGACGGCGGAAAGCGGAGGCTGAGGGAGAGGAAGAGAAAGGCGCGAATGAGAAGACGGCAGAAGCGAATAAAAACTACAGCGATGAGGAACGGGAACCGCATTGAGCGATCCTTCAAAAAGGGCATATCCCTCGTTTTCCAAGAGGAAGCTTCAAAGGCACATCCATACATCGATTCCAACAATAGCCGTAAAACCGGCTCCTGTTTTTTCACGGAAGAACCCATGACATTCTTCCGCTCATGAAGACGTCGACTCGGTCTAAGGAGGCAACCGTTTCGAATTCGAAAGCACGTTGAAGACACATCTGGAAGGCTGCAAGGTTTTCTACAGCGGCTTTCTGCGTCGACGCGCGGCCAACGTTCAAGTGGCCTCGCAATTCCTTGTTGAAGCCGACAAGACAACAAATACTGTTCGGTGTGCAGTGCGACCGCCATCATCGCATACGAAAGGGGGGGGAGGCCAAAAAAACTTGGAAAACAAAACCTGCAAAACAACTAACACGAAGAAAGTGATGTGCTCCGGAGTCTAAAGGAAAAAAACGGTCTAAAACAGAATTTCGCACGCACATCTCCCTCCGTGCGCGTCGATCTAGTCTAAAAAAGAGGAGGAGAAAATCAAACTGATATGATTGGCCCTCTTCTCAAGTCGATGAAACGGTGCCCTCGCTGCGTCACGATGCGATGCCGAGGCGCAGCTTCTCCGCAGAGGTCAGGTAGCACTGCACCACCTCCGTCGCGAGGCTGTCCAATTCGCAGATGATGCCGCTGAATATTTTCTGCAGAGGCTGCTGCGACTTGCGCGGCGTGGGCACGTTCGACACAGACGGGCTCACTGCAGCGGTGTTCACACACAGCGCCTCCACCACTTGACGCGCGCCTACCGTGCGCTTGTGAAGCAGCGCCAGACTCTCCACAAGCAGGCGGCGTGTTTTGAGGATGAACTCAAACATGGCCTGCTGCTCGCGGATGTAGCTCTCGTCGGTCGAGTGCTGGCCGCGCAACTCGCGAATGACGGCGCTGTTCACCACCGCCTGGTCCTGTCTGCTGAGGCCACCGTCGGCGGTGCTGTTCAGAGCTCCGCCCTCGCCAGCGCCGGTCTTCGCGTTGCTGAACAAGTTGTTTTGCAACAAGGTAGCCAGACTGCTCGGTGTTGTGCCCGCCGCGCCTGCCGCGTTGGCAGCAGCGGCGGCGGTGGCGCTCATGGCGCTCGCGCCATCCACCAGACCGGGGATGCTTCGCTTGAACGACACGATATCCTCCCCTGCGACCTCGCCGTCCTTCGCCGCCAGCGCCACAAAGCGGTCCAGCAGCTCCTGGGCGTCTGCGTTCATGTTCTCCACTGCGGAGGGGTTCTGCAGGTACTGTATGAGCTTCTCGTAGGCCTCCGGGTCGGTGAGGCGGAGAGACTGAATAAACTGCAAAAACGGGCCGTTGCGGTCCATCAGTTGCGCCTTCGTGAAGGCGTCGCACTCCAGGTCGAAGCGAGGGGCGTTGCGCACGATGGTAGCCAACAACAGCTCAGACAAGTGAGCGTCGCTGAGGCGGTCCGCGACACGGCGACGGTACGCGTTCAGCAGTGCCGTCAGGTCCTTGTCTTCCTCCTCGCGGCGGCGTATCGTGTACTCCATCGAGGCCATCGCGGAGCTCATCAGTTGATTCATCCTGCGTGCCTGCTCGAGGTCGCGGACGAGCGTGGCGCTGTTCTTCATCAAGTTCTCTTGCGCCTCCTTGCTCATCAAAGGCGCTTTTACGGCGGTGCCGGTGGACTCGCACAGGCGGCGGTGCTCGGACTGCAGGGCCGTCAGCTTCGCCTCCGTATCGCAGAGGCGCTGCTCCAGTGTACTCTTGTTCGTCTTCTCCTGCGACAGCTGCTGCTCGGCGGCTGCCTTCTCCGTCTGCTTCGTGTTGACGCTCGCGTTGGCGTTTGAGACGTCCGTTTTGAGTTGTGTCACTTCGCTCTGAAGTGTGCTGCGCTCCCGCTCCACCGCGCTCACCTTCGACGTGATGTCCGTCACATCTTTGGTCAGCTTCGCGTTGCGCTCCTCCAGCTCCTTTCGCAGCTTCCTCTCCGCGGCGAGCTCCGCCTCCACCACGCGCCAGCTCTCCTCCTTCTTGACCAAGCGCAGGCGCAGCTCCTGGGCCTCCTCCCGCGACTTGCGCAGGTCCTCCACCATGTCGATGCGGCGCTGCCGCTCCGTCTGCACCTCCACCCGCAGCTCGTTTTCCGCCAGCGTGGCGGACGCCGACGCAGAAGTGGTCAGCGCCGCCTGAGCAGCGGGGGATAAGGTGGGCACGGGTACCGCCGGCACCTGTTTGCCAGTCACACGCCACACCTGAGCGGCGCCGTCGTTGCCGATCGTCCACACCTCGGCCACCTCCTGCCGCATCGTCCTGCAGCAGCCGTGAATAAACGACGTGTGCGGCGACGGGAGCGGCCTTTGCGGCGCCAGCACCCTTGCCGTGGCCGCGTCGATCTGCACCACGCGCTTCGTGAACGTCGTCGCGAGCACCGTGGCGGAGACGGCGGTCATGCTCGTCACCTTGCCCAGTCCGCTGACGCGCCGCTGCAGCGTCAGCCCCTCCGCGCCAAGTGCGTAGACGTCGATATTTTCGTTTGTACGTGACACCCACACGGTTCCCGTGGCAGGCTCGTGCAGCAGGGCCACCACCTCGCTCGTGCTCGCGCCGTGGTAGAAGAGACACGCCCCGCTGCGCGGGTTCCAGACGTAGAGGCCGCCCTTTGCATCCCCGCCCACCACGAAGCGGCAAAGCGGTGCCGCCGCCGTACAGGGAGCAGCGGCGGTGGAGAGCGTGGCGAGGCGCTTGTGGGAAGTTGGATGGTGCACGTACACGGACCCGCTCCCCGTCGCGATGGCGACGACGTCCTCACTCATGCACAGCGCCACCACCGGCACCTTCTTCTCCGCCCCGGGAAGGTGCAGCGTGTCGTCGCAGCGGTGGCGCGCCGCGTTGTAGAAGTGCACGTCGCCGTGAGCGGTGGCCACCCAGACCTCGTCAAAGACGGCCACCACGTGAGTGACCTGCGCCCGTTCCGCGTCGCTGCCCTTCACCTCGATGTCGAGAAGGAAATTACCGCTGCGCGCGGCGAAGACGGCGATGCCGCCCGACTGCTTCGCCACCCAGACTTCATCTCCGACGGCGCAGCACGCACGGCCGTTTACCTTGATCGAGTGAATGGCCTCCATTGGGGAATCAAACACGCACACCAAGAGAGAACGGTCTGCTGTGGTTTCGATTCACGTCTTACGCCCCGCTGTAACCGCGTGTGATTCGAACTACGTGGATGGAACGCGTGTGGTCAGGACAGAAAGAAAGGAGGGCGCAGCGCGGAACAGTGAGGACACGAAGATGCATTTGAGGACAGCAAAGGAGGAGGAGGAGGCCGCAGGTGAAGTTCACCGCATCGATGAATTCGCAAAGGAAAGTCGAAGCGAAGCCCCGCAGACTTGCAGAGATTTTTTTGTTTGTCTACATTTTGCACCAAAGCCGAGCGCAACGCACGCCTCATCGCTGTGCTTCACCGACACGCCACACGCAGCTGTTCCTCTTGCCTTAATACACTCTCGAGCAACTAAGGGCGGTGAGGAGGCACGTAGAAGGGAGCCACCGTTCACCGCGAACCTTAAACACAGCCTCTCAGACTTAAAAGGAGAAAACGAAAAAATATGGCGTCTCCATCCACTCCCACAACCTCAGCGCAAACACTCTGCGATGATGTCACACACCCTTCGCACTCCCACACCCGTTCACGTGCTTGGGCGTCCTGCCGTCAGCCCTTTTTTCTTCTTCCCTTTACACAGCGGCCACACACGCAAAACAGCCGCGGCGGAAACCAAACTGCAAGTCCCTCGCCCCTTTGCGCTCCGCTCTCCTTCAAGCGCGCACCACGTTTCCCGTGCCAGGGAACACCTGAATGACGGGGTAGTGGTAGTACTTCTTCATGACGGTGTCGTACTGCGGCACCATGCGCAGGCGACCCGTCACGAGGAAACGGCCACCTGCCTGGATATCCGCCTTCAGCGGTTGCCAGAACTCATCGCCGTAGACGCGCACGGTGTGGAAGTCCATGTCCGGGTCACCCGGCGACGGGTTGGCGAACTCGGTCGCCACGGTAAACTGCAGCACGTGGTCCTGGAAGACGTAGCCGTCCTCCACCTCCCGCACGCTGCCCATCAAGACGCACAGGTTGACGCAGCGCCAGTGGGCCGCGATGTCGCCCTCCTCCGGGGCGTTGGGGGCGACGTCTAAGTGATACTGCGGTGCGTCCGGCAGCGTGCCTTCCTGCTGCCGTATGTACTGGGCCGCACTCATGCCGCCAAGACTGGCGGAGGACGAGGAGGACGCCTCACCTCCGGCAGCGCTGCCCATCGCAGCGGCACCGAAGCTGTTCGCTGCCGTGGTGGCGGCACCGCTTCCGAAGCCGGCGAGGCCACCAGCCGTGGCCGACGACGATGACGACGCCGCCGTGCCGTTGCCGCTGCCGCTGCCGCCGATCATGGAGGGCATGTCCATGTTATGCTTCGCTTGGTAGTGGTGCTGCAGCGCCGCCTCCAGCCGAAACGTCTTTTGGCAAATAGTGCACACGAAGCTGCGCTTCTCCGCGTCTTCGTCGGCCGTCGCCGTGTCGGTCGCCGCGTCGGTCGCCGCGTCGGCGTTGCTTCCCGGCGCTCCCGCCGCGGGGGTGGGAGACACGCCCGGCACCGCGCCTATGAAAGCAGCAGAAACGGCAGGGGAGGACGACGACGTTGGTGGCGAGCCAAACGGAGCGCCGAACACGCCGGGGAAGCCGGAGCCTGCGGGCGCCGCCGCCGCCGCACCGCCCCCACCGCCAACGGCCGCAGCAGCCCCGAGAGGAGACGACGGTGCCGCGCTGAGCCCCGGTATGGGGGAGGCGGCTGCTCCGCTGTGGCTGCTGCCCTTCAGCTGCTCCGCTGTCATCTCCACCAGTGCGCCATCCTTCTTCATGAGCGCCTTCGCTTTGTTGCCGTGACGGGTGAGGATGTGGTGGTTCAGCGCATTGAGCAGTCGGAACGTCTTCCCGCACTCCCCGCATTGATAGGGTGCCTCTTTGGGGGCGAGGCTAAGGGAGGTGGTGTGCAGCAGGCGTGCCGTCGCCGTCATGGCCGGAGTAAAGCCCACGAGGGACGGCTGAGGTGCGCCGAACCACTCTCGTGCGACGCGTGGGAGCCCCAGCAGGAGCCACCGCCGCTGCGCCGCTGCGCACGTGAAACGACGCATTCGCTTCGACGTTCAGGGAGAGCAACGCACACACGCGCACACAGACCGATGAAAGAAAAGAAAAGGGTGAGAAAACAAAAGCGGACCCGTCAAGTCCAGGCAGGAGAGAACGCACACACACACACCTCGCTTCGTACGCCGTGCACGTACAAATCTGTCGGATATTCGTTGCTGCTCCGCAACGGCGAGGAGTAAAGCTCCGTAAACACAAAAGATGCGAAGAAGGAGAGGGGAGAAAGATGAGAGGCAGAAGAAAGGATCACCGCCCACAGCCCATCAGATTCACGGCGCAGAAGAGCAACAACAAAGAGCCGGGGTGGTGCCCGCAGGCGGAGGCATCGCAGAGCTTCAGCCCGTGGAAGACGTTCCAAAAGGGAAAAGCAACGCATCAACAAGCGGCAACATAAAGCGTTCAGTTGTAGGTAGAAGAAGCGCGTGAAGAACAGTGACGCGCGTCACAAAGGATACAGCGATACGTTGAAGCACATCGGGGCCTTTTTTAGTTGCTTTTGTTTTTGGATGGTTTATCGCTTTTACTCGTTTAGGTAGCGGCGTGTCGTTGTATCCGTAAGAAAGCAGGCGTCGTTGATGCGCAGAAGTGAGGTGTGACCGCGCGCACCTTGAACTCATGCTGCACCGTCAGGCGGCAGCAGCAGCAGCAGCAGCAGCAGGAGCCAGTGTCAGCAGAACGGCGGATGCCGCCTCACTCTCCTGCGCCTTCACCACCGTCACCTCCGCTCCCCCGCGCCTCTGTCAACGTCGAAAACATTCTTTCTCCTCCAGATCGACAGCACCGTCTGGATCACCATCAGAACAGAGGCATCGCGGACCGAATCGGGAAGAGCGGGGGCGGCAGCGCCCGCCTCGTGCAGGAAGCCCCCCACCAGCACGGACGCGTCCCCGGCCGCCTCCACGCCGTCCACCGGCGCGTCGCACGTGCTGCCCACGAGCAGCGTGGCGAAGAAGCGACTCAACCACTCCACAGGCACCGCCACAGCCGTCGCGGCGGAGACGGCTTCACCGCCCGCGCTGGTCGCCTCAAAGCGAGTAATGCTGCGATGATCGACCGTCGTGTGCAGCTGCAGCACCGACTCCCTCTCCGTGAAGAGCGACTGGGAAAGCAGATCCAGCAACTCCTCTGCTGTTAACGAGGACCGCCGCACCGCATCTTTCCATGCAGGGAGGCCGCTGAGGCAGCGCTGAAACTCCTCTTGGGTAACCAGCACAGTCGACGTGAAGGTCGGCATGGCGTAGGCCCACGCCTTCGACTTCGCCTTCCGCACCGCCTCAGCGAACGTCACGGCATCCCCGCGCGCGTAGCGGCGGCCCTCGCCTTCGACGAAAGACATATCCTCCGCCACGGCTGCACACACATCGAGGGCGTGAAGCGGGCTCGACGCGTACGTCTTGCGAGTCGCCGCAAAGTCGCAGCGCAGCTCTGCGATGTCCAACTCCCACGGCGATGCCGCCTCCAGCACGCGACGCCCTTGTGAGAGGAAAAAGGCTGTCATGTCGGCTTTCATCGCATCCACAGCCGTCGGCACCGCCGGCACGCAGCCCGACTCCGTGAGCGTCGTGACGGGGCTGCGCACGGAGCCGACGGAGGAAGTGCGGAAGTCGGCGTAGTCTCCCTCCGGGTGCAAATACCGGCCCAGCAGCGCGTGTGGGGTGTTGACCAGCAGGGTGCAGTGGTGGTACGCGATGTCCCGCTGGACTCGCATCGCAGAGCCGGTGATCTTCTTTCCATCCAGGAAAAGATCGTGGCGGTGGGTGGTCGTGATCCTCGCCGGGTCAACGCCGTACATCGCACAGAGGCCTAATCGCACGATTTGGATCGTCTTCTCCGGTGCGTAGCGGGAGCGGTGCGTGAGGAAGGAAAAGCAGAGGTTGTGTTCGTCGTGGAAGACGGCACCTCCACCCGACGCACGCCGCGCCACGTCCACGCCGTCCGACGCCGTGCGCCGCAGCGCCACCTCTTGAAAAATGTTTTGATTACGCCCCACCACAACGCAGGGTCGATTCACGTAGTAGAGGAGCAGGCATTGGGTCTCGTCAAGCGAGAGTGCACGAATGAGAGCCTCCTCGGCGACTAAGTTTTCATAAATCGACCTGCTGTTGGTGTCGGCGACGACGAGGGCGGTGCTGCGGTGCAGAGCCGCGGACGCATCCTTCTGAAGGGTCGAGTTTGCCTGCAGGAAGGCGGAAAGAGAGGTGGGCACCACTCGATGGCGCCTCAGCTGCGTCCGCCACATACTTCCCAACCGCAACTCCTTGATTTTGCGTATATCCGTATGAGTCGGGAGGAGAGGAGGGAGGAAGGAGGAATACCACGCGTGGCTGAGACGACAGCCATGCGGCGCAGCACCGGTCTTCTACCAAGCCAAACAGAAGGTGAAAGTAGTATGCAAGCAGAGGGCAGCGCGGGAGAAGAGGAAGACGGAGAAGGAAGACCGAAGTGCTGCGGAGAGAGAAGAAGAAAAAGGCCATGAAAGCGAAAAAACCGGAGAAGCGTCCGAGCACACACACACAAACACACACACACATATATATAGAGAGAGAGCGACCTGCCTTCTGCATCAGTGCACTCTGAGAAGACACGGTATTGAACCTGAGACGTGGTGAGGACAAGTAAAAAAAGGGAGCTGTAGTCCGTGCACATGAGCCCAGCATTCTCACATCACTTCGCATTGTGTTGATTACTTGTTATGTGTTTATGACTTGTAGCTTCCTCAGCTGCTAATGTACATCTACTGAATACTCAGTTTTCAGCGCAGCAACACCGTCCACAATCTCGCCTCAAAGGGACGTGGTGGATGCCGGCTACGCGTCTTCGCCGTCGACGTGCACCGGCTTCGGCAGTGTGTCCTCGTACGTCACCTCCACCGTGTTGTTTGCCGTTGACCTACGCAGCAAATAACTGCCTAAGTAGTCGACCGGGTTCGTTGGGCGTACCCTGCACACGTCCTCCAGCCCGAGAGCCAGTACACCCATCACCGTCTTCTCCAAGTACGTCTGGGCAGACACGGCGGAGTCGGCGTCATCGCTGCTCGTGTTGGACGCCGTGCGGGGAGGGAGAAGGCTGTCCGACGCGGTGGGGGCCACGGCGGCCGCGTCCTTGGGCTCCCCGGCAGGCACCGCCGGCGCTGCAGCAGCAGTAGACATTTGTGGTTGCTGTAAAACAAAGAACGTTGGCGATGAATACAACTTAAATAGCTGAAGCAAAAAAGAGAGGTCGTTGCTCTGCGAAAGGAATGCGTTGGAGGGGGCAGAAGACGTCGGCTGCTTCAGGTTTCAGCGTGTAGCTCCCTTTCGTTCTTCCTCTGTGGGGACCACAAAGGGTCGATGGAAGCGACGGGGTAGAGGCGGAGGAAAGGAAAGACAGGCAGAAAGTGCAGTCATTGGCGCCGCTGACGGAGAAAGAGAGCGGTGCGGGCCCTGTGAAAGCGTTGCTCTCCATCGGCGTTGATGAAGCAACACGTCATCCTTTTCCCTAGTCATGCTTTCTACTAGATATACCGACCTGTCGGAGCAGCACACGTGCGTCCATCACGCAATCCGCGTTGAGAGTGCAGCACAACGGTAAACCTAAGAAAGAAAATCACGGAATAGATCGCCAGCGTGACGGCGTCCTTCCCGGCACACCAACACGAAAGGAGAGTTCCGCCGCGGCGGCGCCTCAAGAAGTGTCGTTGTTCGTCATCAAAAGCAAGTAAACACGTCAGTTAAAGTTACGCTATCCAACCAGAAGCCGGGGAACGAGAAGCCGCCGGTTTCTTCCCGTGCCTCCTCTGCGCTTGCGACGGGACCCCGAGCAGGGAACCAACGATGAAGCTCGCTGCAGCGCACCCGCGGGTGCTCCGCGAGAAAACAGATAGAGGCACTACTCCAACAATAATAAGAAGAATTAAGTCGTGCCGGCAGCGGTGCGAAGGAGCATCTCTCACAGCACCAGCGCTGCCGCTACACAGTTAAAACAACAAGGTGACAACAACGGCCGAAACTAGGTTTCTTTCCTCCTTGCTCTGATGTGCGCTCATCGCCATTTCGGTCGCTCTGTTTTCTTTTCTTTTCTTCTCCGCAATTCGGGCGCGTCTCCTTCGCCTGCCGGCGTCGGCGCGCACAGCTCAGCGTAGCCCAGAGAGACGATGACGCCAAAGCAGCGCACATGCGTGCAATACACGGCGACGCTTTTCTTTTGGAGAGAAACAGAATCCAAAACCCCCAAAGGTGGTACAATATCTAGCAGACCCACGGCAGTGCCGCATCTCTTCCTCCTTCCTCTCCCTGTTCTTTCTCACCCCCCTCCTCACTTCCCAGATAACCGCCAGGTAATTAAAAGTCTGTGAAGAGCAGCAGGGACACCTTCTCGATGGCGAAGCAGCCCATGGCGTCCAGGACGAGCAGGCGCATAAAGCGTGTGCGGAACTCCTCGGTGGGGAAGACGGTGATCTCGAACTCCTTGTTCAGCTCCTCGTTCGACTCGGAGGCGAAGGCGAGAATGACGATCGCCAGCAGAATTAGCGCGATGAACATCGGACGGTTTTTGCGGATGCCTTGCATGAACGGCTCCCCGCGGTAGTTCACGGCGAAGGTCACACCCGAAATGAGCGTTGTCAGGAGAAACATGGTGGAGTTGAGAAGGGTCGGCTTGAACTCGGCGTCCTCGAAGTTGCTGCGCATGTCCGCCATCGTCGCCTTGTCGACCTCCTCCACCATCCACGAGGTCTGCATCATGCAGTAGAGGTGAAGCACAAACTGACAGAAGACGGTGGTGACCATGTAGGGGTGGAACACGCGCGTCACGGGACGCTGCGGGCACAGGTGGGTGAGCGGCTTGCTGCGTGACATGAAGAGGAAGCACACCGACAGAATCACACCCGCCAGGATCATCTGCTTCTCGCCGAACTTCACACCGGAGCAGTGCAGCACGGACATGGAGTAGGCCTGCGTCAGGCAGTTCAGGGCAAGGATCTTGTACATCATGTGCGTGGTCACCAGCGTGGTGCGGCCAAGCCGGATAATGTCGCAGACAGAGGTGAGCGCCTTGGAGCGGCACGTGAACGGAGCCGCAATGGAGGCGTCGCCCAGCTTGATCATCGGCGGACCGCCCATGTTCTCGTCGTCGGCGTTGAAGAGCGACTCCATTAAGAAGTCGGACTTCTCGATATTCGCCGGCGGCGGCGGCGCATTCGCCTTCTTCTCCGCCTTTGCCTTCTCGGCATCCTCCAGCTGCTTGTTCCAGCGCTTCACCTGCACGATCTCCGCCTTCCGCTTCGCCTCTAGCATCTTCCACTTCATCATATCCATGAACGGCGCGGTCGGCGGCAGTTCGGGAGGCACCACAGTGAACTTGAAGTTCGGCGGCACCTTCAGCTCCGGCGGTACATCCGGCTCGTTGTGCGGCTGCGGCCCAACCTGGAGGTCCTTCTGCTCAGCCTTGGGCGCCACCGACGCGGAGTTCAGCACGGCAATACCAGCGTGCGCCTGCTTCAGCGCCCCGACATCGTTCGTGCCGTCGCCCGCCATCATGACGATGTGGTCCTTCTTCTTCAGATCGGTCACGATGGCCTCCTTCTGCGTCGGCGCGCAGCGAGCCCAAATCGTCACCTGCTCGTTGTAGTCCGCGATGATGGCGTTCAGCGCGTCCGGGCTGATCGTCTCGGCGTTCACGCACAAGTCCCACTGCGCGTCGCGCGGCACCCGCTGCTTACGCGTGCGCGCAAATGTGCCTTCGATGATCTGCGCCTTCGTCCCCGGCTGCTGCAGACCCGTCACGGAGTCCACCCACTCGACCGCGCCGCCCTCGCCCTCCTTGGCGACAAGCTGACGCTTGCACAGCAGCATCGTCACATCCTTGCCGACGGAGATGGCCGTCTGCACGCTGTCGCCGGTGATGATGACACAGCGGTGGCTGCCGCCCTCCAGGTTCTCAATCGTCTCCTTCGCGTCCTTCTTCAGCGGGCACACGTAGACGGCGAGACCGGCGAAGAGGAGGCCCTTCTCGACGTCGTCGCGGCGCAGCGCCAGTATCGTCTCCCGAGACGCCTTCTCCTCGTCCTTCAACGGACGGTAGGCGAGGGCGATGACGCGGTAGCCCTTCGCAGCCGTCTCCTCCGCCACCTTCAGGCAGTCCTTCGGCACCGACTGGCACAGCGCTACGATCGACTCCGGCGAGCCCTTTGCCACGACGTACTTGCCGTCCGGCGCGGAGACGACGCACGCCATGCGGCGCAGCGCCGCGAGAAACGGGAAGCGCAGCAGCACCTTGTACGACTTCTTCGCCTCCTTCGCGTCGCCGTGCTTCTTCTGCTTCTCCGCCTGGTCCGTCCTCTCCTCGTCCTTGGGCTTGGGGTCGTAGAGGATGTTGTCGTCCGCGTCGAGGCGGTAGCCCAGGGCCGCCGTGGCCGCCTTCTCCATCTCATCCCCCGCCAGCGTGTCCTCATCCAGAAAAACCAAGGCGTGGCAGGTTGCGAGCACCATCTCCGAGTGCTTCGGGATCGCCTTGAGCTTGTTCAGCAGGCCCTTCCCATCAATCATATCGACGCCGCCAAAGAGCATCTCATCCGTTGTCAGCGTCCCGGTCTTGTCAAAGCAGCAGGTGTCCACCTTACCCGCGTAGGGGATGCGGAACGGCTCCGTGCAGAAGACCTGCAGCTTCGTCAGCGCCAGTAGCGTCGTGTTCACCGCCAGAGAGAGCTCCATCGGTAGCTCGGGCGGCACGACCGACGTGATGATCTGCACGCAGGAGAGGAAGAGTTTCCAGCGGCTGCGGTGTGGGTCGGCGAGGCCGCGCTTGAGCAGGTAGCCGCTGGCCGCGAGGGCGAAGACGACGAGGACACCGATAAAGGCGAAGGCCTCGCCACTGTTCTCGCTGACGCGGCCCTGGCTGTGCAGGATCGTGCGGAGCAGCTTCCCTTGCTTCGTTTCAAAGCCGGTCTTGAGCACCACGGCCAGCGCGTTGCTCTTATCGCGGTTGTGGCCGCCTTCTTCGGACGCCTCATGGGGGCCGTTGCTGAGCAGGATCTGCGTCCCGGAGAAGAGCATGTGGCGGGCGTGCTTCTTGAGGCTGAGGTCGACCTCGACGTCATCGGGGGCCTCCTTCAGCTGTGGCGTCGACTCCCCCGTCAGACTCGCCTCGTTCACGACGGCGGTGCCCTTCACCAGCAGCGCGTCGACGGGGCAGGGGGCGTTGCTGGGGACGACCATGATGTCCAGCGGCAGCAGGGCGTCCGTGCGAATGGTCACCCGCTTGCCACCGCGCATCACATCGATGTCGCGCACCGGCACCTCGGCCATGTCGCGCAGCGTGCGCATGTTCCGTATGCGCTGGTACACCGTCGTGCACTCCATACCCACCATCATGACGCCGGTAAAAAGGGAGTAGTACCAGTACTCGTCAAGGCACCAGAGCAGAACGCAGAACATCTGGAATACGAAGAATGGGGAGAGGGCGTGGTCGACGAAGAGGTCCTGGAACTCGGGGATGACCACCTCCATCTTGTTCAGGCCGAAGATGTCCTCCTGCTTCGCGCGGTCGGCCTCCTTGTTGAGCCCCTCCCAGTGGATGTAATACGAAAAAGGGAGCTTCGTCGGGAAGCGTGGTTTGACAAAGACGCCCTCGCGCTCGTCCAGCTTCCACTTGCGCTGCTGAAAGATGAAGCACGGCGGGTGGCCGTCCTCCGTCTCCTGGTGCAACGGCACAATCTCCGACTCGCCCTTGTGCGGGTGTGTCACGACAAGCACGTCCGTCGCCTCCGTCAGCTGCTCCATTGGGACCGAGCGGTACAAAATGTAGGCGCGAAACCTCACCGACCAGATGGTGAAGAGGGAGAGGAAGGCGTGCAGGAAGAACACGACGGGGAAGCAGATGGCGTGGAAGAAGTCGATGTAGGTTTGGTGGACGAGGTACATCACGCGGTCCCAGACCAGCTCCGGGTAGAGATACAGGCTGATGGAGACGACGTAGAGGATGATGAAGGGCCACGTCGTCACCCACGTGTACCACGGACGGCGACGGAGGAATCGCACCTCCTTGATCATCGTGTTCGCGATGATGTTGTCGGCCGACATTGTAATAATGCGGTCTGCTGAAGAGCGAGAGTGATGATAGAGCAAAACAAAAAGAAATAAGAGGAAATCAACGGCAATGCGATACGATGACACGTGAAGAGAGCTCTGCGGCTGAATCGCTCTGCTGAGCACGCGGGCAGCACTCACAACGACTAGGCGGTCAGCAAACACGCCACGGCAACGAAGCTTCGACGGATGGAAAGCCCTGATGCCTATACGCTATGCCGTCAACCTCTCAAAAAGAAAAGGTCTCAGAAGGAGAAAAGAACTTCAAACTAAATTAAAAGAACGCAGCCCACAATTCTACGCGTGCAGGGCCGCGTTCACAACGAAGAGGCAAAGAAACGGCGGAAGAGGAGTGGGATGGCGTTCAGGAGAATCACTGGAGGGATCAGCATACGCGCCCCAGAGAGAGAGAATGAGTGTGTGTGTGTGTGTGTGTGTGTTAGTGAGGGCTGATAGGGCAGGGAGAGGACACGGTATCAGCGCGTGGGCCGTCTGAACTGCCGCAACTACCGGCCCCTTCCCTTTCTTTGAGTCTCTGAAAAGGCATCTCCTCTTGCATTCACCCCTCTATCCGGGAAGATGAAGAGGGCAGAAACAGCAGTTCGTTTAGAGATGTATTGGTTGCTTCTTTCCACTCGTACGCGTAACAACGGGTCCCGCTTGTGTCGTTGCCAAGGGCGCGCCTCAACGCCGCGGTCACCGCACTGTCGCCGGTCAGGCGCGGCGCTGACACGCTCAATACACATCATCTGCCGTAATAAGCAATAGTAGAAGTAATAGATTCAGCAGCAAAGCGAAATAGAAGAAGAAATATACAAAAAAAGGGGTATAGAAAGCTCGAAGATACAGACAGGCCGAACGAACGCGCCATCACCGGAGGAAACACGTAAGGATATGTGGGGGCCCTCTTCGCAGCGCAACCACGCCTGGCACCGCTCCTCTTGTTTACTTCATCCGCTTCAGCAGCCGCACGCCCTCCTCCACGCCAGCGGCGGCGCACGCCTCGAGCCACCGCTTGGCCGCCGCGTTCAGCTGCTCCAGCGCTGCCGGGTCGGCAGACTTGTCCAGCAAACCTTGCTCCGCTGCCAGGAGAAGCAGTTTGCCCAGGTTCAGCTGGGACGGTGCGTAGCCGGCCTCTGCCGCCTGCTGGTACCACCGCATCGCCTCTCCCCAGTCCACGTCAACCCCCTCCTCCGCCTCTGGCGACAACGGCGGTGATGACGGCTGTTGCGGCACGCCCACTTCGTAGGTCTCACCCAACTCATGCATGGCGGGCAGGTACCCGGTCGAGGCAGCACAGAGCAGCCAGGCGAGACCGGCCTTGACGTTCTGCTCCACACCGCCCCTGCCGTCACGCAGGCAGGCGCCAACGCAGACCATCGCGCCCGGGTGCCCCGCGGCGACGGCGGCGTCTAAGTATGTGAAGAGGCTCGACGGGCTGACGGCGCAGGACGGAGCGCAGCCGTCGAAGTACAGCTCCGCGAGTGTGACCCCCAACAGCACAACCGGTGAGCACGCCGCCTGGGTGGTGTCTGCAGCGGAGGCCGGCGCCGACGGCGGCGAAGACGAAGCAGCGGTGTGGGCTACGAGGAACTGTTCGAGGAGGGCGGCTGCGGAGGCCAGCGATGTGGCCTGCGCCGCCTGCGTGAGACACGAAGCCACTTTACTCTCCATGTCGTTGCCTTTGACGCCGGAGAGTCGGCGACGCGGCTGCTGGCCCTTCCGCTGTGCTCTGTCTTGCTGCAGCAGTCGCACGACAGCCTGCAGGATTGCGAGAAACGACGAGAGGAGTGCGTGCGAGCCGGCGGCATGCACGACACAGCGAATTCGATCCTCCAAGTACGACGAAACGGTGGAGAAGGCGGCCGCAGACGCCGAGGCGTGTGCGACGGGCGACGGCTGCGAAGCGGACGCAATGAGGTGTGTGTGCCCGGTCGAACGCGAAGGCTCATCCTGAGCCTTTGCAGTTGGAGCAGTGGTGGCCCGTAAAACCGCTGTTGCGGCTCCTCGAACGGGTCCTGCGCTCACCGGAGCGGCGACTCGCTGTGCGACGGCGCACTCCGCGCTGCGGTGATGAGCGTTCCGCCGCGGCCCTGACGGTGCCGCGGGTGGAGGTGGAGAAGGGGGCGCGTGAGTAGCGGGCGCGAGAGACGCCGTGTGTTGGTTGAAGCTTCGGGGCTGGGGCCTGCCTTTTGGGGCGCCTTTCCGCGTCGGCGACGTCGTCGGCCTGCATACATCGTAGAGGCCGAAGCCGATCTCTCGCGTCGGCATGATGGAAAAGGGGGGGAGGGGGGGGGGGGAGCAGAGTCGTTCCGAAAGCAGTGTGCGAAAACAAACAAATATGTAAAGAGAAATGGACTCCTTCTTGTGGGTGGCACTGCGCATGCAGAGGCCATCACACACGCGTCCATACGCGGTGTGCGTGGGCGGGAAATGAAGAGGGGGGGGAGAGAAGAAGAAGAAGAAGAAGAGTGACGCGTAACGTGCTTGTGTGCTTCACGCCTCCAAAGAAAGACGGCACCATCGAGCACGGGAGGCGACTCGCCTCGCTTCGCTCGAACAAAAAGAAACCCTCGTTCGTCGTATCGCGCGTGCGTATTCGGTTTCGTTTCCTTGAACGCCGGCCTTTGTTGACCTCCAACAAAACCTGCCGCAGACGGCGCTTGCTTCATTCCTTCACTACTTCTCTTAACAGTAAAACACAATTCGCGTGTGTTGGAGAATATCGATGGCGCTCCTCGACCCGCCACTGGGCAGGTGCACCAACAAGAGAAGAAAGAAGCAGCAGTTCGACAAGCTCGAATACATCTCGATAACAGAAATGAATAGGGGGGGGGGGCGGCTAGGCAAGCGGCTGCCATCACAGTGCATTCACACACACGCACAGAGAGCAAAAGTAAGAGCTTATGCTGTTCTACAAGAAAGGGGGTCATGGCTGAAGATGAGGCGCCGCAGACGTGCCTGCAGCTCCTTCGTGTTGCCGTTTGGGGCGTGCAGGATGCGCAGCATGTCCTCCGTGTTCTGCAGCCGCTGTAGCGAGAGCGTGATGGAGGGACAGAAAAGCCGCGGCGCGTCGCGTGGGTGGGGCTCGGTGTGGAACTGACCGCACAGATCCACAATCAGCCCTTCAGGGAAGAACAAAAAGAGTTCTTTCACAAAGGCCTGCGGTCCGACCACATCGACAACGCTCACGTTCCCCGACGTCCCTTCCACCATTGGCGGGAACGGCGGCAGCTGCGCCGTCTCATCGTGGATGAGGAAATTTGACGTGGCAAGGTAGAAGCGATACGCCGGCGACGTAACGCCAGCCATGTTGACGCTCCCGCGTGCGGGGTTGCATAGAAGCCCGCTAAAACGAGCCTGCAGGAGGCGCGAAGGAATCGCCTTCGGCAGCGTTGTGGAGATGGCACCGGCTGGGCCAGCCATTGTTCTATGCTTCGTCCTTCTTACTCTTCCTCTTCCTTTCTTTTTGAAAGAAATCGCAGCAGTGAAAGATCGATGGAGGAGAAAGAGAGGAGTCGATAAAGGAGGCGACGAAAAACCGGTGCGTCACCGGCATCACGGCGGTCGCGACGCACAACGCGGGAGTAAACTTTCCTTCGCCCAACCTGAGCACTTTGCACAGTGGTGAAAACCGCAGAGGTTCATCTGTGTGCTTCTTCTTTTACCGTCAAGACGGACCTCATTACTGTCGATCGTGGGAAAGCGGAGAACAGCTAGCGAAAGAGAAAGAAGAAGAAGAAAAGAATCGCTGCTCATCGGTACAAAGGAGAAGAGCTCTATGGAAGAACAAAAAACAAAAAGGAGGGCATCAGACGCGACCCTGTCATCGATCAAACCAGTATAGCTGCTCCGTGCAGCCACGTTCATGAACGCCATTGAATTACTTCACTGCTCCTTTCACCGCCGCCGAGGGAGAGCAACAAATAAGCCTTCTTCTTCTTGCGATGCGGTGTAGCCCGGTGGGGCACGCGGGGCGGCTGTGGCAGAAGACCTCCGCAACGGTGACCTCGAACGGGGTCGAGCCACGGTGGGGGTTGGTGCCGTGGATCGCCGTCGTGTCTGCTCGTAGTCGTGCAGTGTTCGTCGAAGCTGTTGGTTGATCGCCCGCAGCCGCGCCACCTCGATGTCACGGTCCTGCCGCGTGTGGGCTGGGCTGGACAGGGCAGGCGGGTGCGCGGTCGTCCAGAGCGTGTCCGTCAGCCTTGCCTGCAGCTGCGTGAACTGAAGGAAAATGTCGTCCAGGGTGCGGTGCAGCAGGCGGGGAGCGTTACTGCCGGATTGCGGTGTGCGAAGCAACGCGTGTGGCACGTCCCGCCGAATGGTGAGTTCCGCCGCCTTCTCTCGCACTGCCGCCTCGCCTGGGAAGACGGGGATACGATGCTGCGGCTGCTCTGAGGAGTTCGCAGTGCCAGCCGCAGCAGCGTCTGACAACGTGAGCGCCGCGACACCGTCGGAGAGATCACCCATCCACTGGCGCAGGGTCCATACACGATCAACAAGTATCTGCGCTTCATGTTGTTCCAGATGAAGAGGACCGTGCACACGCGGAGGTGTCGGTGCGGGTCGGCCCTGCACGGGAGAAGGTGCTCCTCCATCTTGTCGGCTCGTGGACGACTGCAATTGAGTTGAGGGAAGTAACGGTCGCAGCTGCGCAGAGGAATCCAGCGTTGATCTCTCATTCGCCGTTTGCGAACAAGGGTTTCGCATCCCCAAGGTTAGACCATCTTTCGATGTTGCCGCGTGCAGGTGCGAACGGTCCAGTCGCTCTTGGCGAAGCTCCTCTATGTCCCGCACCAACTCCCAGCACACCGATTCCAGTTCGCCGTAGTGACTGCGGTAGTGCTCCTGCTCATGCTGCAGGGCGTACAGCTGCTCCCGCAAGCGGTGGACAACGGATGCTTGCTCCGCGGCGCGGGTGTCCGCGGCGTCATGGACAACAGAACTCATCGACTTCTTTGCCGTTGTTGTGGGATTTTCTTGTATGGAGGAAAAGTACTATTGGCGTCGGTGCAGCATCTTCCTTGTGTTAGGATGAAACGACGTCTCGGTGCATTTTGGGGGGTAAAGACTTCACACGAGAGTGACAGCAAAAGTCCGGCAGCCGCCTGTCCTGCTAGACGGCCTGGCCAGCTGCGTAGAGACCCGAGAAGGCGTCGCCCACAAGGGGCGAAGACCGCAGAGGAAAGAGAAGGACCGTTAGAAAAAGCTGAGTCACGTCCTCGTTCTTAATAATAATAACAAATACACGTTACTTGAGGGCAGTAGAATACTCTGTAGAGGACATGTGAAAATGCTAGCGCTTTTGCTCCACCAACGGCCACAACAGTGCGCGTTGGCAGTCGGCATAGCGTAGTAGAAAAGCAAAGCAGAAAGCTTCGACGGCTCGACCAGACGCACACTCGCGTTCTATTGGCCCCGGGGAGGGAGAGCGAAGGAGGCATCAACGCCAGTTTCTCCTCGCTCTCTTTGTTTTCCGCGAGGAGACTCCCCTCGCGCTTCACCTCTTCTACGCCCCTTTCCTTTCCTTTCCCATTAGTTTGTGGTGTGCGTTGACGAGCGACGACGTCAGTGCGGTGTCGATGCGTGTGGAAGCAACAGCGTAAAAACCAGAGGAAAAAAGAACCCAGACGCACCAGTAACTCAGTAGTCGATAAAGCGAAGTTCGATGACGAGGCAGACTCTGCCAAGCATTGCCGCAACTTCTTGCCACAGCGTCCTTCTCCTCCCAGGTCGCCTTCTATCATGCGACGCCGTGTGCGCTAGTGCAGTGTCCTTTGTGCGGCTACGCCGTGCGCTTGATCAGGTGCACGCCGCTGTCCGTGACCACCATGCCGCTCATCTCCCCCACCTGCAACGCCTTCGTGGCGTCCTCGAAGGGCTTCATCATCTCACCCGGGCCGAACTCGCCGAGGTCGCCGCCGCGAGCGTAGCTGCCGCAGTCGCTGCGTTGCTGCGCGGCGTCCTCGAAGGAGATTTTGCCTGAGACGATCGACTGCCGCCACTCCTCGAGCTCCTTCACGGCGTCGTCGTACGACATCATGGTGGCCTGGCCCGTGCGCCGCGACACCGGATTGCGGCTGCCGCTGTACTTGATGAGCAGGTGCTCCGCGCGCCACTTCGGGCAGGACATGGTGGAAAACGGTGTAGCAAATGAAAAGGTTCTCGCAAGCAAACAAACACGGAAAGGAGCGAAGGTGAAGCGTTGGGAGGGTGCTTGACGGAGGTGCCGTGGAGGTGCGTCGAGCGTCGCGGGGAGCCAACAACCTGTGGAGGGAGAAGAAAGCTGAAACGAGCGTGGAAGGTGTTTACTTCCACAAAGGAGAACAGCGGAGAAGGGGCGGGGAAAGGGGCGAGGGAAGAGAGGCGTACTTCTGCCGGAGCGAAAGAAAAAAGAAGAGCGTTGGGATACGAAAAACTCCGCGTGCGTTTGCGGGAGGTGCCGTGCGGAGCTGGCCGAGTACCCGCATATGGGAGCTCGCGCTGATGAAGCCTGTACGCGCGCCGGAGTAAAACCACCCCTGCTGGGAGCGCAGAGGTGCTCTTTCTTTCCTTGGAAACCCGCGTCCGCCGTCGGGTGCAATAAGCAAGAGTACATTTTTTGCCTTTGAATGGAACCAGAGGCGTATGACGTCGTCATCATCAGAAGGACACACACGCACACACACAGCAACAACAATTGACGGAATACCTCTGCTGCGGAGATGGAAAGAAGCGCGCTGCTCCGCCGTGGTGGTGTTGTTTCGCGGTGCTTCATACCGAGAAGAAGAGCGCGGCGATGGAGCCCTTCAACTGCCGCGTCCTCGGCGGTGGAGCTAAAAGCGGCGCACGACCGAGACGGCCTGCAGCCCCCACGCCAGCGCGTAGGCCGCAAGCACGATGGAGTCCGTGCACACCGCAACGTCCTCGCCAAACGAGTTTTGCAAGAACAGCGCGTACTCTACGATGGCACGGTGCTGCGCCGTCTCTCGCGGATCCCGATTGAGGATAAAATTCACCTCTTCGCTAGTCTCCGCATCCGCGTCCGGCGGGTGCTCACTACCTCCCATGGCGCCCTCACTTGGCGAGCTCGTCACTGGCGTGGGAGATCCACGCGGCCGCAGCAGCAGCGGCAGCACATCCGCAAACCGCAGCCAGTCCTTTTTAGGTTCCGGCAGATCCGCCGTCTGCTCGGGTCGCTGAGTGTCGAGGATAAACTCTTGCTTCGCACGCGCCATCACGGCGAGGGCCTCCGCGGCCACATCGGAGGCCTCCAGCAGTGCCGCATCGGGGCGAAAGGAATTCTCCTCGTTGTGCCTCTGCGGTTGTGCCGGCTGCTGCTCGTGTTGCGGCGTGTCGGGCGTCCTCATTTGAGCCCCGGACAGCGAGGACGGCGCCGGCGTCGCGGACGGCGTCTCGGACTCTGCGGAGCTGCGGTAGGCGGCCGCCTTCTCGATGAGCTGCTGCACACACAGCGGCACACGCATCATGTTGCCCTGCGCACGAAATAGCATGTCAAAGGCGGTAGCCGACTCAGGGCCGGTGACGAGGTGGAAGATGGCGTCGATGTCCATCACGAGGCGGGTGCCGCGGACCCGTGGCAGCGGCAGCATCTCACGCAAAACAAGCCGCTTCACCACGTCGGCCATGTGCAGAACGGGCGTAATGCGGCGGCGCAGGACATCGAGGCGCTGCGTCTCCGTCATGCCGGCGGGGTTGAGGTGCCGCTCCTCGTCTCGGCATTCGTTCCGCCACCTCTCTTTGTGGCGCACGTCTCCGCCGCCGTCGACCTCCTCCTTCACGTCCTCCTCTGCCTCGTCGAAGTCATAGAAAAGGTCGAGGGCGGGGGGATCGCTTGCCTCTCCGTAGTGTCGCATGATCTCCGCGTCATTGGGCAGCACGTAGCCGTACGGCGTGCAGCTGAGCGCCTCGGCGTTCTCCCTGGCTGCCACTACCTGTGGCGTGTGCCGCCGCTGCCACTCCAGCCGCTGCTGCTGCAGGGCCAAGGCCTTGTAGTAGGCCAGCGCGGTGCTGTTCGCGGAGACCAAGTGCACGTTGAAGCCGTGCAGGCGCACCCGCTCCAAACTCGTGCAGCGCGACAGCGCTACGTACGACTGCCCCGACTCGAACACCTTCGCGAAGTCGATGTCGACCTGCGTAAGGGACATGCCCTGCGACTTGTGCACTGTTATGGCGTAGGCCAGCACCAGCGGCATCTGGACGCTGCGGCTCTTCACCTTGTCGCCCTCTTTCTCGACCCAGTCCTGCGGTTCCACCACGATCTCGACCACCCGCATCTGCCCGGGCGGGTTGTGGGCGTCGAAGGCGACGAGCGGCAGCATCGTGTGGCGCCGCTCCACGTCTCGCCCACGTCCGACGCAGATGTCGCGCGCATCGTCCGCGGTGATGCCGGCGGTCTGAAAGCGAAACATCCTCGCAAAGCTGACGAAGCCGGTGACAGTGCCGGTGCTGCCGTTCACCAGCTTCGTCTGCACATCGAAGTTCTTGATGACCATCACCCGACAGCCTTTGCGCAGCCGCACCACCTCGGAGAGGCTCTTGGCGGGAAAGGCGCCTGCGCCGGAGTGCGCACCGACGTAGGTGAAGACCTCCGTGTCGAGCTGGTTGAAGTACCGCTCGTTCTGCGCGTCCACCTCGACCCGCGTGGGGCGCAGGATGATGTAGCCGTCGAAAGGCGCATTGATCGGCCGATCCATACCGTCTACCAGCTCCAATCGCGATGGCTGCTCCCCCGGGCGGGCCGGCGGGTCGTAAAACGTCGAGCTGAAGCGATGCGCGGTGTCGTCTGCGCGGGAAGTCGCTGGGCCGCTCCGCGCAGCCACGCAGTCCGTCGGCGTCTCGCGCTCCCTCTTGCAGCCGAGCGTCACGTTCCCATCCTCCGCGTCCTCCGCACGCCGCGCAAAGTGGACGCGGTTCGTCGTGTCGATGGAGTGCAGCAGCGCAATGGAGTCCGGCTGCACATCACCGAATCGCATCTCGTTTAGAAGTTCAAAGAAGCGCACGTCGCGCTGACGGAAGGGCGTCGAGAGCAGACAGACTTTTGGGTTCGCCCGCAGCCACGTCTGCGTCTCGAAGCAGAACGGCGCCGACCCGCCGCGCCGCTCCTTCATCACCGGTGGCAGCTGGAGGAAGTCGCCGGAGAGGATGAGCTGAACCCCACCAAACGGCTCATCAGGTCGGTTGCGCACGTAGCGGGCGATGAAGTCCACGAGGTCGAAGAAGGAAGCCTCCAACATCGACACCTCATCGATGATGAGGGCGCGGCACATGCGCCAGTTCCGCTTGCACCACGTCTTCGACATCACCATGGAGGCAATCTTCGACCGCGAGGCGCGTTTGTCCGGCACCCCGCAGCCCACAAAGCTGTGCAGCGTCGTGCCATTCAAGTTCAAGGCGGCGATGCCGGTGGTGGCTGTCACAAAGGTAGAAGAGTACGGCATACCTCGGATGATGGTGCGCAGCAGGTGCGACTTGCCGGTGCCGGCGCCACCGGTGATAAAGACGCTGCGGTGCTCGTGAACGACGAGGTGGTAGGCGTAGCGCTGCTCCGCGGAGAGGTCCGCAAGGGGCGTTGAACGGGCAGCAGAGACGCCGCCCTCCCTCGCCCCCGTCGAGATCGATGAAGGACCGCTAGTGGCAGCTGCCGTCCCTGAGGAGAGGTCAGATGGGTCCGCGCCCTTCATGCGCACCGCATGGCTGCTGGGCTCGGAGTCGAGCACACGGTTGGCGTGAGCGGGGGCGTCCGCAGCGTGGCGTGCGTCCGTGTCCGCTTGTGGATTCGCCGGGGCAGGGCTAGCGCCGACGGTCGGTGCGTCGCGCGTGCAATCCGGCTTCACGGCGTGTGCAGGGGTCGCCTGCAGGGTGGAGCCGGAGCTGCCTGCCGAGAGAAGGGGCCGGCCTTCTTCCTCATCTTTCCTCTCGGGGGGTGGCGACGAAGATGATGTCGGAGGCAGTCCTGGCGACGGTGGCGGCGAGGCGGCAGGGGAGGTTGTCGTGGAGGACAACGTCACGCAGCTGTGCACCTCCTCCACGTCATCGTGGTTCGAGAGGCCAACTTCTCTCTTTGCGGTTTTGCGTGGTGGAGTGTGAGCGGGTGCAGACGACATCGTGGAGTCCGTCACCGTCCACTGCTCCACCTGCGAAGCCGACCCCACAGGCGCACCATTGAACGACGCGCCTGCTTTCTCTGTATCTCCGCTGCTGCGGCGTGTGTCGGCCTCTGCGCTGCTGAGCGATGCGCTGGGGCACGTGTGGAGGGACGGAGAGAGCGAAGCGCAAGGAGTGCCCGCGGCGTTTGCGGAGAACTCGGGTGTGCGCGCCGCGTGTGCGTCGCTGTTGCACAGGGATAACAGGGGTGCCGGAGACGTTGAAAGGCTCGGGCCACTTGGTGTGGTGCTGCGCGCATTCGCTGGGAGCAGCACCCGCGAGCCCGGCGTGCCACCACTTGTCTCTCGTGACGCGGCGCAAAGGGCGGGAAGAGGCTCCATTGCTGAAAGCAAAAGAAAGACTGGTCGCGGAGACCCGAAGAGAGAAACCGCACCTCTTCACAAAGGGGGTCCTTTCGCTTCGTGGTAAAAACTTGCAAGCGCGTACTTCACGGAACTCAAACCCGCACGCGCGTTTCCAAGCAACGATGCGAGCGGTGCCGGAAGAGAAGGAAGCGAAAACGTAAAAACGCAGGAGGGAGCAGTGAAGAGCTGAACAAGGCCTTTTTTTTTGTACCTCATGAAAGGTTGGAAGTGTTGTTGCTGTGCGTGTGTGTATGTGTATGCGACAGCAGCGCTGCAATGAGCGATACGAACTCAGCTTTTCTCTGCCTGGTTGGGTTGCTGCTTTTACAGACCCTCTTCTTGTTTGGAAACAGGGTTGCCGCCGTTGATGAACGTCACGGCTTCCCCGCACCACCTTGCTTTTCTTTTCATTTCTTTCGTTTCGTGCGTCGATCTCTCATTGCAGGAGCGGCGGCACGTCGTGTCGGCCTTCTAACACACTTGGCCGAACAATCGAGTGTTGACGTTGTGCTACGAACGGACGGAGGAGACTACGCTGCGACGTACAGGAATGGCGAGGTGCACCGCCACAGCACCACTACACACGTTCCTGAGAAAGCAGCAGGAGATTGTCGTCGCAGAGCATCCAGAAACAGCAATAATAATAGTAATAATAAGCAGAGATTTCAAATTTAACTATTAAAAAAACAAGTGCCTCTCAACACCCTTCAGTGAATGCAGCAGTCAGCAGCTAACTTCAACAGCAGACAAATCAGAGTGCAACACTTCAATAGGAAGAAAGGGAGAGAACAAGAAAAGAAAAAGCGGTGCCTTCTTCAATATCGCGTGTCTCTCCCCCCTCCCCCCTCCCCCTCTTCTCTCAGCGTTCACACGAGATCCTCCACCCGGTTCATCGGTCTACTACTCATCAAACTCGTTCAGGCACGACTCCACGACGCTCAGCAAGCTGCGGTTCTCCAGCGCAGCAGCCACCCGCTCTTTGTCGTTCAGCTGCTTGTTCACCTGCGCCTCCTGCTCGTGCGTGCCGGGCGTCACGTAAATGTCCACCTTGGTAAACTCCGGCAGTGACCGGTCCAGCTGCAGGCGGATGCTGAGACCAATGAGCGTCGTGAGGCTGCAGTGCGGGACGGTCGGAGTGAAGAGCACCTTAATGTGGCGCTTCCGCCAGTCCACCGTGATAAGGGAGGGCTCGACCACTTTCAGCTGTTCCAGCGAGTTGGGGTGCTCAGGGTCACGGATGCGACGGATCATTTCGAATACCTCGTACGCGTCGATTGGGTCGTCGACGCCGTCGTCGTCCTCGGCGGTGCGCTCCGCGGCGGTGCGCCCGTGCAGGGCATCGGCCGTCGGCTCGAAGACAGTCGGATTGGGGTTCGCCAGCGTCGTCATGATCACGACACCACGAAAAGAAACAGAAGAGTTTTTTATTATAGGAAGACGAAAACTGTATTCAAACAAGCATCCAAAAGGGACGGTCGAAGTGCACGTGCACGCACAGCCGTCGTGACTCTTTGCAAGGCGGCGGATTTCGAGCTGTGAAGCTGTCCAAAGCAAAGTTGTAAAACGATGAAGTGACGGAGACTGCATAGGGAGGGAGATGGAAAGGTTTTGGTTGCTCTGGCCCAAGATATCACAGATGCATGCTCAATTCCGAAGGGGAGGGGGGGGGTAAAGGGTGCTTGCCTATCTGCCGTGAAGTATCTGCACACGTCCGTTCGATACGCGCATCAACGTTGACGCCCCTTCCACGTTACACACCGAAGAAGAGAGGCGGCACGGCACCACGAAATTCCTCTATTTCCCCCTTTGCATTCAACGATCCCATGAAAAAGAGAAAGAGGAAGAAAGAAAACCCCCAGCAGTGGGGCTCCACAAGCTGGGTGGTCAGTCCCCATCGCCTTTCTGAGGTTATGGCTCTCCAAATCAGTGACCCTTTGTTTCCGTAATTCATTATTGCTGTCGCTTATCAACTTCGTTGAAGTCCTCCAATTAGAAAAGTGCTATTATTCTTGTTGTTTTGTGGAGAGCACGGCGGCGCTCCGCCTGTACTTCTCTCTCTTACCCACACTACACCGTCGAGTCCTTCGATTGCCAACATAAAGAAGACAGCGGTGCATCGCGTGAAAGAACACTTTTTTAGCAAAGGAATGTTACCTCTGGAAATGGCTGCAGCGCAGGCGATGAACAACACCGCGTCAACGACATTCGTCGAGGCACGCGCCAGCACGAGTCGTCCTCAACTTTTTGTGGAGTTGGCTTCCTTTTCCCTTCGCAAAGGTGGCACAACAGAGAAGAAAAGAAAACAAATGTTCGAAGTTGCCGTCCGCTGCTGCGTTGTCGCTGCGCTGCGCCACGGCGGCGCTGCTCCGTGTTTGCACGTAGAACGAGAGAAGACGAAGATTCGAAAAAAAGGAAGAGAAAACATTAGAACAGGGTTTCTTAGGTGCCGGACGCCGTCTTGGACCACTCCACCACGGCAGACGCGCTTGACGGGGAACGCTTAAGACCATGGGGAAAAAAGCTCATTCGAGAAGAAACGGGGGAGCTGAAAAGGCTTTTTGTGGCGAAGTATCAAAACGCCTCTTCCGCCGCTTAAGAGCTACGGCGGCCCTGCGGAGAACCACCGCTCTGACGGCCCTGCGGAGAACCACCGCTCTGACGGCCCTGCGGAGAACCACCGCTCTGACGGCCCTGCGGAGAACCACCGCTCTGACGGCCCTGCGGAGAACCACCGCTCTGACGGCCCTGCGGAGAACCACCGCTCTGACGGCCCTGCGGAGAACCACCGCTCTGACGGCCCTGCGGAGAACCACCGCTCTGGCGGCCCTGCGGAGAACCACCGCTCTGGCGGTCCTGCGGGGAGCTGCCATTCGGGCGACCTTGAGGCGAACCACCACTCGGGCGCTGCGGCGATGCCTTAATCGGTGACATCTCCGCGCGGGCCGCCTTCATCGGGGGCTCGGCTTCGTCCTCCTTCTCTTCGGTTTCATCCTCGCTATCTTTCTCGTCCTCCTCGTCCTCCTCCTCGTCCTCGTCCTCTTCTTCCTCCTCGCCCTCCAACTCCTCACCCAACTCCGCGTCTTCCTCATCGTCTTCCTCATCGTCTTCCTCATCGTCTTCCTCGTCGACCGCCTCCTCATCCGACGGGGCGGTGGGATCGACGTGCAGCGCCCGCATCCCCGCCGGCTCCTCCGCGATGTCGCTGTCGTCACCCGCCGCCTCTTCGTCCTCGTCCTCCTCCTCCTCCTCCGACTCCTCCGCCATCGCTGCCATGCCCTCGTGGTCCACCGCGTCCTCCTCCTCGTCGTCTTCTTCCTCCTCTCCTTCCTCCTCGTCGTCCTCGTCGTCCTCGTGCTCCTCCGACGCCTTTTCGGCCTCATCAATCGCGTCCACTGGCAGCTTCACGTTCCTCGCAGCCGCCTCGGCGTCGCTGTCGCCATCCTCTACCGCAAACGGGGTGTCCTCGTCGTCATCGTCGAGGTCCAGCGCCTGGCGGTAACCGACGCAGTGCACGGTGGCCGAGCCCTTCGAGAAGAACGTCACGGCCTGCTGGTAGTTGAAGATGAGGTCTGTGGGCACCTGTAAGATGTTTTGCTGCGAGTCCAGCGTGGCGAGCACGTGCGATGTGCCGTCCACCGAAACATAAATCGTCGTCTTGCCGTTCGCACCGCGCGGCAGCGAGAGGATGGAGAGGTGGTAGCCGCACCCCTCCGGGATCTCCAGCTTGTGCTCCTTGTTCGGAGACACCATAAACGCGTGGAACTCCTGCATGACTGCCTTTGCTCTGAGGACTCTTTATATTCTCTTTTTAAAAAGGATAATAAAAATAGTTGATTCGACCTTTTCCTTTCTTATGTTTTGTCGGTCGCCACGGCGCGTTGAACCCACTCGTGCCCGTTTAAGGTGGAGAGCAGACGAATACAAACGGAGCGAGAAAACGACAGCTCGCGTCGGCCAATTGCTCCTTCCTGCGGGTTTAGTTCGTTATGTATATTAGATGAATAAATATATAGAGATAGTGTTTCCTTTTAAACTGTCACCGTCGTCGTGCGTGTAAGCTGGCGTTACTCGTCGCGGTGGAAAGAAAACAACAACAGATAAAACAAAGGTGTCAGATCTCTCTTATTGAAGAAGGAGAAATTGGAAGGGAGAAGAAATAGTTCTTTCAAGGGGAAAACCATCTAGTGCAGGTGGAGTGGCATCCGGGCACTTCATGGCCCGTGGTAGCCGCCTCACGCACCACCAAACATGAGCAAGTGCGGGTGTTGTGCTTGTTGTTGTTTTTTTGGGGGGTCATCATTATTGCTCGGTATTGCGGATGATGCCCTCCTCACCACGAAAAACAGGGTTCTTCCTGCGGAGCGCGTACATCCTGTGTGGCGAAGAAGGCGGATGTGGCGACGTAAACGGCAGAATTTGCCGCTCAACCACGTCAACGCCTCCGACATCTTTTATTCGGGTTTCTTTTTTTAAGGTATGAAACACCTCCCAGCTCAAAAAAAAAACTTTATTTTGGTTTCGATTGATCCGGAGTCACTCAACCCTTTCCCATCAACACCTCCGTCGTCGCCTCTTCCGCGCACGAGATCCGTCTTCTTTGAAAAGAGCGGAGATAACGACGATGAGCAATTCGCAAAACTGGGAAAAAAAAAGAGGGCGAAAAGCTCCGAGTGTATTCGTGGCGGCCACAGATACCGCCTTTCCGTAATTGCTTTCCTTCGCTCTTGTTGTTCGATTAGTGTGTTGGGGGGTTCATCGTACCACAGAGATGCACGCCGTTGCTTCTTCTCCCCTCACCAAAACCGAGCAGAAGTCACCGCCAACAGCATAGAAAATTGGCCATCATGAGGTGGTATCCTTCGGAGTGTACGTGTGTACCTTCACAGCAGATACGACTTTGTATTGTTGTTTTCGTCTTCGTCTTCACGTTGATGGGTGGTGGGCAGCTTCGTTTCAACGAGTGTTTAACTACGACGGCGAGTTAACCTTAGCGATGGTAAACGAGAAAACTAGTTTAAAGGAAAGAAATAGATATAGAAAGATATACTTGTATTAAATCCGCCAAAGGAGGAACAGCGTGCTTGGGTGGTTGTCGGCCGCTTTAGGAATTAGAGTTAACTTCCGTCCTCGACACTCCCACGCAAAACAAGAAAAAGAGAACGGTGTGTGCCCTCGTTTGACGGCTACGTGGATTACGTGCTCTCGCCCTCGCTGCATCGCGTGCCACTCAGCGTGATCTCTGCAAAACGAGGAGGCACCCGCCGCTGAAGGCGCAGCCAGCATGCCCGACGACTCACACAAGAGAAGAGCGAGACGTCGACAGACCGTGCAAAACGCTTCGAGGCGCTTTCACAATGTTTAGTAGCGACCACGGTTGCCGCCGCGGCTGCCGCCACGGAAGCCACCACGGTCACCTCCGCGGCCACCACGGAAGCCACCACGGTCACCGCCACGGCCACCACGGAAGCCGCCACGGTCACCGCCACGGCCACCACGGAAGCCACCACGGTCACCGCCACGGCCACCACGGAAGCCACCACGGTCACCGCCACGGCCACCACGGAAGCCACCACGGTCACCGCCACGGCCACCACGGAAGCCACCACGTTCACCGCCGCGGAAACCACCGCGATCACCACCGCGACCACCGCGGAAGCCGCCGCGCTCCGTACGCTGGAACTTCTGCGGAACCCCATCGTCCTCATCCTCGTCCTCATCCTCGTCCTCATCCTCATCCTCATCCTCATCGTCCTCCTCGTCTTCACCACCCTTCTCATCGTCGCCCTCCTCATCCTCCTCGTCCTCTTCCACCTCCTCGTCGTCGCCGAGATCACTGTCGTCATCGCTGCCCGCCGCAGGCAGACCGCCCTCGGCCTCACCCTCATCCTCGTCCTCATCATCATCCTCTTCATCGTCGTCCTCTTCATCGTCGTCATCGTCGCTGTCCGCACCGGCGGGGGTGGCGGCGGCGGCGGCGGCGTCGTGGCTCTCCGGCTCCGAGGCCTCCTGCAGGTCGTCGTCCTCGTCGCTCTCCTCATCATCGTCCTCGCCGCTCTCGCCGGCCATCGCGTCCATCATCATGTCGTCGTTGCCCACAGGCTGCACGTATCCCGTCACGTGCACCGCGCCGGCGCCCTGCGCAGCGAAGGACACGTCCTGCGCCTCCGTGAAGACGAGGTCCGTGTTCATCTGGTACACGCCCTTCTTGGGGTCCAGCGTCGCAATGGTGAACTGCTTGCCCTCGAAGGACACAACGAGCGAGACCGCACCGACGGCGTTCGCCGGCACTGCAAGCTGCGTCACGCGCAGCGCGCACTCCTCCGGGATCTTCGGCTTCACCTGCTTGCCGGCAGCAACCTCCAGTCCATAGAAGCCCTCCATGATGCTAGATGCGTGCGTGTGTGTAGACGTCCGCGGTACGTGAGAGAGAGAGAGGAAGCAGCGTCGACGACGGTGGAAGCAGAGTTTTAAAAACGGTTGTGTGAGGCGGCTTGCAAAGGGCTGTTCGTCGCTGCACGCGTGAGATGACGTTGGCGGTGATGGGTGAGTGCGTCACGTAGACAACGGAAATGGCAAATGTTCTTAAAGAAAGGAAGAGCGAATGAAGTCGATCACAGAAGATGAACCGATGCGATGCACAGTCGTTAGGGAAGAAGGAGGAATATGTATATAAGAAGCACCATGCGTTGACCGCACCACGTGTGTGACGTCATCGCCAACGAAGAAAAATGGAAGCACAGAACAACGGGAAAAGGAGGACAACAAATGTGCAGCAAGTCACAGGTGATCGGCCGAAGGTGAGAGGTGCGTTCTGACGCCGAAACCCTCCATTCACCTTGCAGCTGTGAAGGCGTTTATTTCTCGGTCGTTAAAGCTGCTTGAGCTCCGCCTCCATAGCTCAAAGTAAGTTTAAAATAAATAGAGAAGCAAAGAGAGACGTGCCGGAGTCGCCTCCGCAAGTTGCTACCCTGTCTCATGCTCGGTAGCACCTCCTTTTTTCTAAACGTTGATGACCCACATGGGCCTGTTAATCCCCACCACGAAGCTCGTTGCACCACTCTTTACGCAACAAGGCGTTCTTCCTCCCGCTTTCTTCTTTTTCCTTGAGCTTAGTTCGTTGTACTTCGGTGGAGAATGGAAGTAAGATTAATCGATTAGCGCCCGTTACGGCGGCACTGGGAACACAGCACACTCGCCAGGCCGATAAGGCGGCGGCATCGGCCGCCTCCTTTTGCGTTTTACCACGCTCTCAGCAACACCAACCTGTCCTGCCCCGACTGCCAGCACCTTCGTGTAGGTGATGCCACCCTCGTCACCGCTTTTTCTCTCCACCTGTCGCTCCTTCCTTCACCGGAGCAGCACAACCCTTTGCTCGACTGAGCGTTATTCTTCGGCCTCACCGTCGTGCATATCGTCATCCACCTCCTCTTCCTCGTCTTCCTCCTCGTCCGCGAGCTGCGTGTAGCCGACTAAATGCAGAGCACCAGCCTGGCCTTCGCACGTAAACGTGAGATCTTGCTTGCCGCCGAAGAGCATGTCCACGTTCACGTGGTAAATGGCCTGCTGCGGGTTGAGCGTGGCGAGCACGAAAAGTTTGCCGTCAAGTTTGACGGCGAGGGTGACGGGGTAGGCCGCGTTGGGAGGAAGGGCGACTTGCGTGATGTGCAGCACGCGATCCTGCGGGATCTTCGGCTTGGCCGTCTTGCCAACGAAAACTTCGAGGCCGTAAAACTCCTCCATATTTTTGTTTCCCTTGTCGATGCCGCTGTTGACTATTGAAGCGGGTGACCTCGCTGGCTCGCCGCCAATGTAGGCGTTGGCTTTATCGCTCTTGTGTGGCGTTGTCCTGCAACGCTTTTGCCCAATGAAAGCACGAAGAAACACAGCAAATATAATTGCACGGTGTGTGTGTGTGGTTCCACTGCGCCGCTGGCCAGATCGAGGGCTGCAGAAAGGAAGAGGAGGCAGAGAAGGCAGTGGCGAGTCTGCTAGCGGAGAACGGCAGAAGAAAGCAAGAGCCGGGAAAGGGATCCATTTACTTACCTCCTTTTCAAGGGGGCGAGGTAACATCGAGAAAGCTCCAAGGTAAGGCGCAAGACAACGCAGCGGCGCGGTCAGCGATGCAGAGCTCCAACGAACAGTTAGTGAAGTTCGATGTATTGCAGTTTTTTCCTTTGTTTCTTTCCCTTCTTTCCACTTTTCTCTGTCCGCACACACACACGCAGACGACGTGGTGCGATGTCAACGATGCCCATGAATGAATACGACAGTTTTCCTTTTCCCTTGCACCGGGGGGGGGGGGGCCTTACACGCCGCGCCGCTAGGCGGTAAACGGATGAGAAAGCAAGCATCTGGAGATCTAATCAGAAGCCGATCAAACGCCTCTGGAGGGTTCACGTAGCAGCCCGGACGTCCGTGTTCACCAGCTTTGCCGCGGACGTCACGAGGGAGAGGAAAAACAAAAAGGAGCTCTGCGCCGCCACGCACGCGGCATTGAGGCAGAAACGGCGCTGAAATAAGAAGAGCGGGAAGCGATCTCGCGTGCGGGCTTCTCCTCGTCACGTGGCGTCTGCAGCTCTTCGACAGAGCGGCGGAGAGCACATGTCCTTCACCCGTGGGTTTATGAATGCACCTTTAACGTCTCTACTTCTCTTCCTTTACCGTGGGAGCGAAGAAGGAAGCTGGTGGCGGCGGGGGCTGCGGAGGGCCGACGCGCCACGTCACCAGCGACACGTAACACCGGTCGTGCGCGGCGGCCACCTGGATCGCTTCATCCTTCGCAAAGACGACCACCACCCCGCTGCACGCGTCCTCCAGGGGAACGGAGCAGGCGAAGGCGTGTGCGGTGCCCACAACGCCGTTCCCCGACGCAGCCTTGGTCCCGTCCTCTGCGGCTGCCTCTGCTTTGGGCTGCTTGGCACAGCGTCGTCCAGACGACGGTGCTGTGTTGCGTGTCGCTGCGGTTGAGATGGCGGTAGCGGAGGGGCGAGTGCGCTTGGCACCTCTCGTCGCTGGCACGTGACCGAACGTGTTGCCTGCGTCGGCTTCTTCCTGCTTCACCGCAACGGCCGTCTCCTCAGTTTTTTCTTCGTCTTCCTCCACCTTAAGCGTCACCGAACCGCCGTCCGACTCTATGAAGACGCCTCCTTCCCCTGCTGTCGTCGTGCTGCTCGTCAACATGGACCCCGGCGGCGTCGCACGCTGCTCCTCTGGTAGGCGTCGGTACAGCTGGAAGGCTGACTGAAACAGGTACTGCCGCACCGTACGGTCCATCAAGATGACCTGGTTGCGGTTGTCCACCCCGAAGTGCCAGTGCTTCGCGTAGCGGTGGCGGCTGACGTACTTGCCCGCAAACGTCTGGAGCACCGGTGGGCCGGCCAGGAGCCGCAGCAGGGGGTAGTCAAACCGCGCCATTCGCTCGCACAGCACCGCCGGGGCGCAGCGCTCTGCAACGGCGCCGTCGCTGCGTCGCGCACGCACCGCCGCGAGGGCCTCCGCCTCCTCGTCCGCCTGCAGAAACCGCAGCCACTGTACCTTGCGACCCGTCGTGCAGAGCAGCGGGCCGAGGTCGGGCTGCACCGCCGGTGCCACATCCAGCACGGTATCGACCCCGCGCAGCATGGCAAAGTCCTCCACAACGCCCTCAGGCGATCCGTCGAGCTTCACGAGAATAGCAGCTGGCTCATACGGCGAGGAGCAGAGCAGCACCCCGTCGCGCAGCGTCTCCAGTGCGGCGGCGCGCGGCACCCACGGTGGCGACGGCAGCGGCGACGCAGCGGCCACGGAGGACGCCGGGCGATGCGCGGTCCGGCTGCGTTGCTGCGGCGGGAACAACACCGCGAGCCGCGTCACAGGGAAGAAGGCGCCACCGTAACCCTTCAGTGAGATCACCCGCGCGATGGCCTCGACGGCGCCGCTGGCGGTGTTCAGGCTGCACAGCAGCACGCCGTGCTCGTGCGTGCCGATGGCGAGGAAAGGGCGGTCAAACACCTCCGCCACCTCTAGCGGCACCACACCGCGGGAAAAGGAGAAGCTATGCACGAGGGTGATGGGCACAGGCGCCGCCGCCGCCGCTGCCGTCACCGCTGCGGCGCTCGGTGCGAGGCGGTGTGGAGCGTGCAGCGTGAGGATGCGTTCCTCACAGGGGAGAGTGACCACGAGGCGGCCCTGCAGCTGCGAGAGCCAGCGCACACGAAATGGAAGGGAATAAAAGAAGTAGCTCTGCACTGGCTTGCGCTGCGGAGGTGCGCACAGCGCCGTCCGCGCCGTCTGCTGGACCGGTGGAGGCGGCGGTGACGGAGTGGAGGAGCGCCCCTCCGCCTCACCCGCACGCACCACCTCCTGCGAGACGGCGGACGGCGCCGTGTCGGCGGATTGCGTTGCACTTAAATTAATTCTGGAAAAGAACGACGGCATTGCGAAGGCGCCGGCGCTGCGGCGTGTGGCGGACAGTGCGACCGACTCGCGCCGCTGCCGCACCATCTTCTCAATGGCCGCCACCTCCCCTACCAGGAGCTCCGCACAGTGCGGCGGCGGGGTCGCGTTTGCTGCGGTTTCCCCGCGCGGTGCTTTGTATTCTGTCTTCCAGTGCGCAGGCCCCGCCTTGTCGGGTAACTCCTCCGGTGGCTCGAGCGCGATAAGGGGGAGCAGCAGGCGGTGACCGAGGGAGAGCAGCAGCCCCGCACGCCGCGTGTCAAGCTCGCCAATGAAAGGATCGCCGGAGAGGTCCACGATGAAGGTGGGGCGGCCGTAGCGACGGCGGTCTCGCCAGAGTGGTGTGGTGCTGCCAGGCGTGACTGCGGTCGTCTGCGTGTCGTCTACCGCACCGCCCTCGTTGAAGTCGTCGTCTTCGCCAGCAGTGTCTTCTTTGTGCGTTACGAGACGCAGGTCAGGCTTGTTCATCGCGGGAGTGGCAGCCGTCGCTGCGGACCGCAACACCGGCCACGGCCACTCCACCCTAAACTGATGGGTTAAGGTCGGGTTGAAGGAGCGCTTGCAGTGGAGCGGAAACGAGTAGGCCTGCTGCTGCTGGCACCCAAACGCCGACGGGGGCGGCGGTGACGTCGACGCCGAGAACGAAGAGGCCGGCATGGTGAAGAGTACGGTGTCGCGATGGCAATGTCGGTGAAGTTTTTCCGGTCAACCGGTGAGCGAGAGGCGGCGCTTGCCTTTTGGGGAGGAGGGGAAGGGGGAGAGGGAGGGGGCTCTATGTGCCTCTCCGTACCCGTGCCTGCGTGTACTTCTATGGAATCGGGTTTCAAATGCAGGAGAAGAAGAGATGCAGTCGACCCAGCGCTTCACATGGAGCCAACGGAGACGAAGTTAAACGTCTGCCTCTGTTCTCTCTACGCTTGGCCGCGCTTACACACGTCGCCGCCAGCACACGTGAATGTTTGAGGTGCTGAAGAGGAGACAGATATATATGTACATGGAGAACCAACCGAGAGGAAAAAGATGGAGGATGAATGAAGTGAAAAGAGAGAGGAGGTGCAAAGCTCCCGTGTTGTCGTGAGGCAGATTTCCGTGTTACTGAAGCGGCAAGAATCAACGCCATTTATTGATATTGTTGTTTAGCAGTCGTGCATATGAGTGTGTGTGTGCGTCTGTGCTCGGCTTACCAGTAAAGGCGTGAGGGCGTCCCCCAACTCTTCCTCATACGGCGCTCTTCTTCTGCATTTTTGCTGCAGGCCCCTATTGGCTCGCCTAAGCGACGCATCGCACAGTGCACGTAGAGTCCTGCCTCATTACCAGTTATATCATGTTGAGCTTTGCCATTCAGTGGTGCCTCTACACAAATCTAACCCACCGCATGTGTGTGCGTGGGGGAAGGGGGGTCTACGAAGAAACAGAAGAAACGAGAAACGGAAGATAACATAAAGGAGACGCGACATCTCGTGTCGGCGTGTGCACTGCAGCCAAGAACAGCATCCGCTGTCACTTCGGAAAATCTAAAAAAAAAAAGAACGCTGACATGCACCGTGTTTTCCTTTGCAATCTCACCCCGATGTGTCGTCTCAATGGTGCGGCAGGCGACCGCGCTCCTTCGCTTCGTTAGCGATTGAGGTACGAACACAGCAGCGACAGCTGCAGCCGGCCATGCCACCGCCACCAAGCTCTGCAGCCCGCCACGCGTTCCATGGCCGCGGAGAAAGCTTCTGTTTTCGGTCGAAGAACTCGCCGAGAACTTCACCGCGGGTGCGCCTCGTGGAAGCCCCCGCCTACCACATCCCCGTCCGCCGGAGCAGAGGACAGGAGGAGGGGAGGGGAGGGGAGTGGGAAGGGAAAGACAAGCGTCCTCGCCGACGGAGCGATTTAGCGGGGGCGGAACGCAAACGTCATCGCAGAGGGAGTGGGGACCGGCACAGGGACCGGCACACTCGGCCCCGCAAACGCCTTGGGGGCCACGGCGGAACTGAACGGCGTGGGCGGAGGCGGGGGCACCGGCACCGAAGCGGCAGACGGCGACGGCACCGACGGCACGGGAACTCGGAAGCCGCCCACGCCGGCGCTCTTGGGCGGTGCGACTTGCGGGGCCGGTGGTGCGGGAACGGCGGGGACGGCGGGGCTGTTACTGTGGTGGTGGTGGTGCTGACTATGCGGGCTGCGGGGGGCAACAGCGACGGGTGTGGGCGCCACGGCGTACTGCGCGGCGGGCGTTGTGTGCGACAGCGCCCCGGCCGGTGTGGGCATCGCAATGGTCAGCGAGGGGTGCCGCTCGCTCTGCCGGCCCACCTGGAACGGCGACTGCATCAGCGAGGTCGGCACCGGGATGCTCAGCGGGGAGCCGACAGACGCGCCGTCGCTGGGGCTGACGGAGACGAGAGGGACGACGGTGGGAGCAGCGATCACCGTGGCCGGCTTGGGCGGCGGCCCCGCAGGCACAGCCGGGGGAGGGGGCGAGACCCAAGAGCGGGCCCCACCGCCGGCAGCCGCCGTGCTTTGCACCGTCGGCACGATCGGCGCAGCGAGAGAGGACCGTGCAGGACGGGGGACGGGGACGGCCGCCGGCTGGGGCGAGGTGAAGGAGAGCGCCGGCGCTGTAGGGGGCGGAGGCGGTGGCGAGGACTGCAGCTGCAGCGAAGCGACGGAGAGGGGCGCGACGGACGGCGCATGCGGGGAGAGACGTGAGGAGCCGCCGACGCCACCACCCCCACCACCAGGAACAGGCAACTGCACAATACCTGGGATGGCGGCAGGCGCCGGCGCTGGCATCAGCGATAACAGAGGAGGCGCCGCAGGAGTTGTGGTGGAGGCACGATTCTGCACTTCCTGCTCAAGGCGCGCGATCTGCGCGTCACGCTCGTGTAGTGCCCGTTGCATGTCGCTACTCTGCGCGTTTACGGACGTGAAGGCAGTCTCCCGCGTGCGTAGCTGCTGTTCCAGCGCGGACTTTTCATCCTGCACTTGACGCAACCGTCGACGAACCTCTTCGAGCTCCTCATCGCGCTCACGCACGGCTCTCTGATAACCCTCGGTGCTCGTGCCGCTGCGCTGCTGCTGCTCCTCGTAGGTCTGCTTCCACTGCTGGAGAGACTGGCGGCTGTCCTCCAGCTGCCGGCGCAGTTGCGCCGTCTCCTCCTCCTTCTCCGTTAGCTGTCGCGCCAGGCGCTGCTGCTGGCCCTCCTTGTCGAGTCTACTGTTTGCATTCTCTTCCCGCATGGCAAGCAATTTCTTGTTCACCTCCAGCAGCTCCGCCCGTGACTGCTGCAGCTCGCTGTCCTTGGCCGCCAGCGCGGTCTCGTGCTGCTTCCGGCGCGACTCTCGCTCCGCCTCGAATTCGGCCTGCAGGCGCCCACAGCGCTCCTTCGCCTCTCGCGCCTCGTACAACACCGACAACTTCTCCTGTGCTTCGCTTTCTAGCTTGCGCACCTGCGTGCTGCGCTCGTCCAGCTTCGCCTGCAGCTCCTGCGCCCGCTCGCGTGCCTGGGCGGTGTCGCGCTGCGCCGCCTCCACCGCACGCCGCGCTGCCTGCAGATCGTCCTCGGTGGACTTCAGCTTTCGGTTCACCTGCGCCAGCGCGCTCTCGACGGTGCGGCGCTCCTCCTCGGCCTTCTCCACGGCACGCCGCGCATTCATTTCGACCTCCTGCACGTTTACCTGCGCCATCGCCTCCTCCGCCGTCGTCAGCAGCTTCTGCAGGCGCGCCGTCTCCTCCTCGCAGGTGCTCTTCGCGTCGGCGAGCTGACTCTTCAGATCGGCGTTCTCGCGACGCAGCTCGTCGCGCTCGGCGGTCAGATGGCGGCTGGCGGCGGCGGTCTCTATTTGGAGCGCTTGCAGCTGCTTGCCTTGGCTCTCCGCCCGCGCGTCGGCATCGCGCAGGTTGCGCTCCAGCCGCTTCTTCGCCTCCTCTAATTCGGTTTTCGTCACCTGCAGCTGATGCACCTCGTCCTTCATCCGCGCGACGTCGCTCGCCGTCGTGCCCATCTGTTCCCCTGCGGCGCGCAGCAGCGCCAGCTTCGTGCGTTCATCCTGCAGCTCCTGCTCCAGCTGTGTCACGCGTCGGCTCGACTCGTCCATCTCGTTCTGCTTGCTGCGCAGCGCGGTGGCGTGGCCGTCCCGCAGCTCCTCGACGCGTCGATCGCACTCGTAGCGCAGGCGCTCCTTTTCCTCGGCGTAGCGGCGCTGCTCCGCCTTCTTGTCGTCGTCGTACATTTTCTGTAAGCGCTCAATGGCGCTGCGGTGGGTGGCGGCGAGCTGCTGGGCGGCCTCGCGGTTCTTCTCCGACTGCGGACCGCCGGACTGCAGCTGCAGCGTTAGCTGGTCCATCTGATGAAGCAGGCGCGTCAGCTGATCGCGTGCGTCGCGCAGCTGCTCCTCGCTGCGTGCGGCCCGCGCCTGATCCTGCTGCAGTTGGTGCGCCAAGTCCGCGAGCTCCGTACTGCGGTTCATCTCGAGCGACTGCACCCGCCGTGTCCAGTCCTCTTCGCGGCGTGTCAGCGTCGCCTCGTGCGCCGCCTCCCGGGCGCGGAGCTCGTCGCGCATCTTCTCCCGCATCGTTTCCTGCATCTTCTCCACCGCCTGCTGCAGGGCCTGCTTCAGGTCATCGGTTTTTTGCACGGCGGCAGCGCGGGTGCTGGCCTCCTCCTTCAAGCGGAGAAGCTCGCGTTCGTGCTGAAGCTCCCGTCGACGTTCATCCTCTTGGATCTGTTGCCGCCGCGCCGCCTCCGCCTCCTTCACCCGCTCCAGCTTCCACTCCTCCAACTCCCGCTCCTTCTGCAAGAGCCGCTCCTGCTGCGCCTCCACGCGTTTGGCGCGCTCCTCCTCTATCTGCCGGGCCGCCTCCATCGCGCGCTGGCGATCCTCCTCGTCCTCCTGTCGCCGCTGTGCGTCGCGCTGCTGCCGGCTCTGCCACTGGTCCTCGGCGCAGAGTCGATAGTACTCGTTGCGCAGCTCCCACTCGCGGCGCAGTAGCGAGGCCTCCACGCTGCGGCTGGCGGCTGCTCCGTTCAGCCCCACGCCACCCCCGCACAGGCCGCTGTCCATCCCGCTGCCGTAGAGGCCACCGAAGACGGGGGAGCGATCAGGCAGCGTGACGGCGTAGGAGGCCGCCGAGAAGCCCTGCCCGCGTGTGAGAGGCGGCATGGCAGCGTCGAAGAGCGACGTGGAGTTGGCGCGTAGCGTGCTGTAGTCCGAGGCCATGCCTGTGAGCACCCACTTCGGCGTTGGATCGCGCTTCCCTTTTTTTCTTCGTTAGGTCGGCGAAAACCCCTTGTTTCGCGTGTGGGTGCACCTCAGAGCTCTAAATAGCGCGATGGAGGAGTTCGTGTTAACACAACGCAGCAGCGGCAAGTCACGCCAAGAAGGGTGCGTTCTGTATGTTTTTTTCTGAGAAGAAATACTATGTATTGTCTTTACATATCCGTAGTGATACAAATTCTAACAATGCGGAGCGCGAGAAAACTCTCCCACGAAGGAAGACGAGACGCTGCGAGGGAGACGTGCCTTTTCTTGTTTTCGTCCTCGCAGTATCCCAGCGCAGCGTTGTTCACCAATACTCACTCACTCACTCACACACAGGAGTGAAGGCGTGGCCTGCACGATTTCAAAAGAAAAAAATGTTTGATTAGCACTAAACCGTCTACGCCTCAGCAGTCGCTTCAGCGGCTTTAGTCGGTGCCGCTGTTCTCTCGATGCGTCAAGTGCGTCGATGCGGTCGAAGGGCCGTTTGTGTTTGTTGGTGACGCTTGCTGTGCGGGCACGTTTGCAGGGGGAGGGAGCGGAAAATGAAGGAAGGGGGGAGAACAAATCATTTAAAAAGAATGGAGGAGCATTTCAGATACAAAAGCAGACGTCAAGAAAAAAACACACTGCTTTGATGCTGCCCGGCGAGAACGCGTGTATCCGACACACCCAGTCGCGAAGAGACGAGCCAAGGCGTTCCACTCCACCCGTCTAGACGCTGCACCTCGCAAGCACGTGAACGGCACGGGGCGGCTGCAGGACGCGTCAGTCCGCAGTGGGGCGCTGACAGAAGCACCACGCCTGGGCAGCCCTTCGCATTATGCCCAAGGCGTTGTTGACGTGTTTATCTGCCTGTGCAGATACTTCATGTCATCCCTTGTCCCTCACACATACACACACACCCTCCTCTCTATTTTCCCCTTCCTGTGACTGCGTGAAACGCCAACGAATTATCCTCGTCTTGTCGCTTGCTGCTGTTCTGGGGGTTCTTCCTTCGTTCTTTATTATTGGCTTGGGTGCGTGAATCGGGACAGTTCAGCTGCTTACTGTGCCTCCCCTCCACCCTTCTCCCCGCCTGTGGTGTACGCACAGGCGAAAGCAGCACAGGAGGGGGACACAGGAAGTCAAAGCAGGAGAGGACGCAAATGAAATAGTGTTTTAAAAAGCACACCTCCCTCACGCCGCGTGCGCGGGATAAACGCATGCAAGTTCATCGCATAAACGCAGAAACGAATCCAAGACATACAGACTTAAACTGAATGAGTATGCTGTACATGAGAGAGGCCCCATTCGCGCTGCAGAGAGGGAAAGCAGGAGTGAAAGGGAGAAGACGATGCCGACAGGCAAGCAAGAAGGTATATATAATGGAAAGAAGAAGAACGCCGTCTACCCACGCAGCAAATGCGCCAACGTTGCCGCGAACCGCCGCGTTGCACGATCCCCGTATTGGCGCAGGAACAGCATCGTGTGACTACGCAAAGAAACGCGCGTGCACCGCCTCGTCTGGCGGCGTCGCCAGGACGGTGGCTTCGTCGAAGATGGACCTCAGCGCTGCGACGTAATCCATGCGAAGCTCGCCGTTGTCGCCTTGCAGGCGCGTCAGGTCGCTCTCCAACTCCGTCAGCTGCGTTGTCGCGATCGCTGAGGTCTCCGTGAGGCGTGCCCTGAAGTCCAGCTGCGCCTCCATCACCGGCTTGCTCAGCGAGTTCAGCAACGCGGCGTAACGTGCGGTGTCAAGATGCAGGAGAAGACCGTACGGCAAACGCAGCAGCGTCTCATCCCACGTGTCCAGCAACAGCCACAGCAGCGGTGCCGCGGTGATGTCCGCCGGCCGCTCCGACTCCGGCAGCCGGGCACGCCACTTCTTCAAGCGAGTTAACCATGCGGCATTGACTGGGGTCGTGGTCGTGGTGGCGCTGTCGGACACACCCGCCGCGGCTGCGTCGTCCGCAGTGCCTTTGCTGCCACGGCTGTGGCGCTGCTGCAACGGGCACCGCTTGCTGTGCGAAGCGAGCGGTGGAGTCGGCGCGGCGGAGGAGGTCAAGACGGAGTCTTCCGACGCGGTCAGCGTCGTGTGGCCGCGCCGGGAGTGCCGTGAGAGGGAGAGGGCCATCGCGGACCCGACCGAAGGCGGCGCCGCAGGCTCGCTCGGGGCCCCGCCCAGCGCGGCCGTCAACTGCGCCGACACCGCCCCCATGCAGGGCGGGCTTGACGCAGCATAAAAGGACTCCAGCACCCCGCCATCACCGCCCGCCTTCGCTGCGTCCTCGTCGCACCGCCGGTTAGAGCGACGGCTGATGGACCCGGCAAGGAGGCCGGCGCTGCGCGGCGCATCCTCCTCTCTGTTCCACGCAGCTGACATGCTCATCAAGGAGGCCGTGTCGTCGAGGTCGCCGCCGTTGCCGCCGCGCCTACGCGAGATGGAAGTGTGCGACGTCAGTGTGGAGGCTGCACTCGTCGGCCGCGGCTGCCGCATCGAGGGGGACTGCACAAACGACGTGCTCTCCAAACCGCGCGGGTGTGGCGGACAGACCGCGCCGCCGCCGCCACCGCTGGTGCTGTTGCCGGTCAGGGGAGCGGCTTTACAGGCAAGGCGTGTGAAGTAGAGGAGCAGCCGTGCCGAGCGCAGCCCAACCTCTGTGGAGGGAATGGCACCAGCCGCTGCAGCGGCACCGGTGAACTTCGAGGCGTCTGCGGAGGAGGATGTCCATGGGTTGCGCTGTGACGGCTGCCTCGCTGCTGCGGCTGCGGCTGCAGCTGTTACCGTCGACTCCTCTTTCCTCGCTTTGTCCTCTGCGCGTTGGTCAGGTTTTTCGATCGAGGTGCAGTAGCGAGTCAGATTTGCGTTGGTCAGCTTTGCGGTCTGGCCGTTGCTCCTCACCTCACACCTGCGGCGATGGGCGGCCAGTCCGCGAATCTGATCCTCGCACAGCACAGCACGCAGCTGGGCAATGAACTTCTCGAGATACTGTCGCGAGCGCGCCATGGACAGCAGCGGCCCCACCTCCGCCGTCCACTGCTCGAGGTTGGCGTACATGCGCGACACCGTCACCGCGGCGTCCTTGTGGCTGTACATGGTGGTCGCAAACGCAGAGTACATCTCCGCATGCGCCTCCGCCAGCCGCTCCACTTCGGCCTGCACGCAGCTGCGTTGGATGTGCGGCAGCGCGGCGACACAGGTGGAGAGGAAAAAATTGATGATCTCCGTGTTGATTTGCGAGACGTGCGCGATGAGCTGGTGCTCCATCCGCATACGACGCTGCAGAAGCCCCGCGTGGCGTAGCGGTAGTAGAGCCTCGTTCGAAAGATCTCCCTCCTTCATCTGCGCGCCCGTGTTGCCGTCACGGATGCGGTCGCTGGGCGAAACACCGGCAGTCCCCACCTCCGACACCGTCTTCGCCTCTGTCTCCACCGGTGAAGGACGCAGGCAGCTGCTCGTCGAGCTGTTCCGACGCGATGCGGAAGCTGAGGAACCGACGCTCGCGATCATCGAAACGCGCCGCTCACGAGGCGTGCTGCGGTCGACGCGTGGCATCGGGCGCCGCTCCGGCTCCTCGGCGAACTCGCTCGCACGCCCCGGCGGTGACCCCGGTGGCGACACGCGACTCCGTGGGCCTCCGGAGGGCAGCGCGAGGGGCGCCTGGGCAGCCAGCACGCTGGCGGCTCGCGGGGAGGTCGACGCGCTCGTTGGCGGACTGGCACTCCTTTCTTCTCGCGGACCCTCCACGGTGGTCGTCGACAGCGCCTCCACCTGCGCACACAACGCGTTGTAGCGGCGCTCGTACAGGGAGGCGCACCGCCCCACCCCCGCCGCGCCCTCCCCGCCTTTCTCGCCGCCCTCCGCACGGCTGCTTCGCTGCTGCGCGCCATCCATCCCGTCTCGGTCGTGCTCCTGCGCCTCGCCGCCGGTCTCGGACGGGAGCTGACCGTGGAGGTAAAAGTCGCGGAATTGCTGCGCGTGGTAGACCAGGCGGCGGTACGCGTCACGCAACGCGGGGGTCTCGTACACGCGCAGTGCATCCAGCGGCGGGTACGAAGACTTGTCGCGCTGCCGCGATGAAGAGGCGGAGGAGGGTGCGGTCGTGGTGGTGGCGGCGGCAGACCCGCTGCAGGCCGAAAACGGCGCCGCTGCTCGAGTTGCCGCAGCGGGCTGCGACGCCGCCGGGGCAACGAGCAGCCGCCGCACGTCGTGGGCGAAGCGCCGCGTCATGGCCGCGAAGCCCGCCTGCACGCGCGCCTCCACCGCCGCGATGCTCTTCGCTGGACTGTCGCTGACGTGCAGGTCGATGCTCTTCTGCAGCTTCTCCTGTTTTTGCGCCGCGCGTCGGCGGCTGCGGCGCAGACGTCGGCACAGCAACTGTGCCTCCTTCAAAGCGGCCGGCAGTAACGTCCCCAGCTGACAAGACCACGCCATCAGCGAGAAGGCGGCGTGGGAGGTGCGATGCGCAGCGGCGTCGTGCTCGAAGAGGCGAAAAGCGCTGTTGAGAGCTGCAGCACCGCTTTCCTTCCACATCACCTTTAGCGCATGCCTGCACGCCATTGCGCTGCGCCCCCGTTCCTCTTTCGTCATTGTCGTGACCTCGCGCTGTGGTCGCTCCTCCGATGCTGTGAGGAGAGACAGAGGGCGAACGGACGCGCGGTGCCTCCCAGTACTGGACAACGGTCCATCGTTTGGTCCTGTGGCGGGCATGGATACTGTTGTGGGGGTGGGGGTCGAATGGACTGCTTTATCGTCTTCCTCCTCACGCGGTTCTTTAGCGTCAGCGACGTGCCGCAGCGACGGCAGCGACGTCGTCGACCTGCACACGGGTGGCGATGGGACAGGCGGCATTATCGATGCGGCGAGACTGCTTGTGTAGGACATCAACGGCGCGTACACCGTCATGGAGTCCGACAGCGGAGGGACGGTGACGTCTCTCGTCAGCAACGCAAAAAGCACGTTTGTCGCGCGAGCAGGGTCCTGCGCGTTGTCCTCACTCTGCCGCGCCGCCACCTCCCCGCCTTCCTCCTGTTCGCTATCCGGGTGCGACCTCGCACAGGGGTCGTCGGCGCTACCTGGCAGCGCGTTGGTGAGGGTAAGTTGCGAGTTGGACCGGACGAAGCTGCTGTGCGAGCTGCGCCGCGGTCCTCGCAGCGAAGCGGTCGAGGCGGGTGCGTTGGTGTCGGGCGGGGTGGGCACCAGCGTCGTGAGCCGCTGCAGTGTGCTCCCTCGTCTGCCGTTCGCGAGGAGCGGCGGCAACCGTGGGAGAAGGGGATTGAGCGGGGAGGGTTTCTTCGCGCCAGCTGGTGTGCCTCCGTTGGCCGGGGTGCCATCGTGCCGGTCTCTTGACGGCCCGCTGGTGGTCGATGCAACGCCCTCCGCCTGCTGCTGCGACGGCGGCAACGGCGTGTGTGCCTCGGCGAAATAAGAGAGCAAGAAGTTGCGGGTGATGACGCTGTCGCGGTAGCTGAACACCACGACGCGCCACGGCGGCACCGCGACGCCGTAGCGCCGCTGCACAAAGGAGACAAAGTTGTGAACCACCGTCGCGTGGGCCGCAGACGGCTTTCGAGGGAGCGACGGTGACTCCGCTGGAGGCGAGGAAGAAGGGGGCGTCGAGTTTACGAGGACGAACACCACCCGATGCACCAATGCCTGCCGCAGTGGGCACAGCCACTCCTCTGTCGCAGCCGCAAGCAACGCACCCGGCGCGACGGAGGACTGCGAGTCGTCCACGGTGCTGCCGCCATCACCGCCGCCGCCACCGCCGAGACGCTCCGTCACGTTGCGCAAAAACAATGCGACGTTGCGGGCACTCACGCTGGAGAGGCCGTCGTGGCCGGGTGACTCCGCCGCCGGCGCACGCGACGGCCACCCATCCAACGCACCGCCCCCTCCGCCACCACCACTGCGGTGCTCGCTATCGACGGACCTCTCCAGCGACGGCGACGGAGTCCTGCGCCACGACCGCTCGGACTCCCGCGGCCACACCTCGCTGCCGCTCCCGACGCGACCCAGCGCCGGAAAGACGAACGTGCCCACCGCTTCACGGGTCGGCGAGACGAGGGTAGAGAACGGCGGCGAGGAGAGGGAGGCGACCTGGTTGTCCCCCGCACTGCTGCCACCACGATTGCTGGCAAAACCCACCGCCGTCGCAGCAGCAGCAGCGGGGCTGCCGGGGTTCTCTGGGGTTACAAAAACGGACGTGGCCGGCAGCGCCGATCGCCGTCGCGGCCGCGAGCCGGCAAAAGGGCCAAACAGCACATTCAGCGCCCGCGTCACCTCGTCTGTGTTCGCGGCGGCACCAGGAAAACAGTCCGCAGCCGCTGGGCTGTGGCCTCCACCGCTGGAAGGTTCCCTTGGCAAGCAGCACGCTGCCTCAAACGGAATGCAGAGCAGGCAGTAGTCCGAGGTGGTGGCGACGGGCAGGGACGCCGTGACGGAAGCGGCGGTGTGCGCGTTGGGCGGGGCCTCGCAGCGCAGCATCCCGTCCTCGCTGATGCCGACCATCCACGGCAGCGCACCCGTCCCCGAGGACGAGGCCCCACCGCCGACGGGAGACGCCTTGGGCGACAGCTGCGGCGAGCTCTGACGACGCGGCACGCAGGCGGCAGCTCCGGCTCCACCACCAGCGGCATCCCCTTCATCGCCCCCACGCCTCTGGGAGCGGCCCACCAGCTCCGGGGAGGTCACCGCCGAGATGGAGTTCCGCGCCGCCCGCAAGAAGGCGCGGTCCTGCTCGGTGAGCCGCTCCGGGTGGAAGAGATCCCAGGCGGTGAGGCGCAGTTGGGCGGCGGTGAAGGCGACGCTGCGCCGTCGCAGCCGCCGCACAAACCGCGTCGCCGCCGGCGAGAAGGAGGAGCCGGGCGACAGCACCGTCGAGTCCTCGCGTCCGCTGCGACTAGCACCGCTGGCCGCCCTGCGAAGTGAGCGCTGAGGCTCACCCGACCCGGAGTGCTGCGACGCAGTGCGGTTCAGCAACACGGTGGGCGGCTCACCGCTTTGGACGGCGGTGCGGCGGCGGAAGGGGGCGCCGGTCTCGACGGGGGAGGCGAGAGGCGACGCAACGTACGGGAGGGGGGCGCGTGCGTCGGTGGCTGTGGTGGGCACGCGGTGCACCATCGACGACGTCCGCAGCGCCACCGTCGGCGGCGTCGTGTCGCCCAAATCAGGAATTGTAGATGATAAACTCGCCGCGTCGGCCGCCTCCTCCCCCGCACCCTCCGTGTCCGCCGCGCCGCACATCACGACCGTATTGCCCGTGCGTTCAGTGGGCACCGGAGGCGGCGACGTGGACAGCTCCGTGCTCTCTCCTGCTGCCACCACGCCGCCACCGCCGCTGCTCTCCCGCTGCAGGCCGGCTAAGACTGGCGACGAGCGGAGGGTGTCGGACTCCAAATACGGGGAGGACTTGGCGGTCCGCAGGTTGTTGTTTGCCGGGGCGGCAGGCAGCGGCGGGTGAGGAGAGCGGGCGCAGGGGTACGCGGCAGTGGTGGTGGTAGTGGGGTTTGTGGTGGGGCTGGGGCCGGTGGTGGTTGCCGCCGGTCCCCCTGCTTTGGAGGCTGCGAAGACAGTGTGGGGGATGCCATTACGCTCCATCGGCGGCAGCTCCGCATATCGTTCGCGCGTGAACGCCGACGAACTGCCGGACTCTGCGCGGTGCTGCAGCGTGGGCAGCGCAAGCTGTCCCGGCGAGAGGGTGTCGGTGCTACGCCCTCGGTCCACCTCCGTCATGACCCGCGCGAACCCCGACAAGGGATGAGGTGGGGTAGTGGGGAAGGAGCTCAGAGGAGGCGTCACAACCATCGCCGCCGCATCGTCGCTCAGCGTGGTGCTGCTCGACGACAGCAGGCCACTGCCCCAGACCGCCATCCCAGCGCTGTCGGTGGGCGACACCGCCGGGAAGGGATTTGCTCCATTGCGGGTGGCCGCGCCGTCACCCCCTGCGGTCTCTCCTCTTCCCGCTACTGCCGTGGACGAGTACACATCTATGCGTGGTCGCCGCTGTGCCGCAGAGGGCCACGGTGGGAGGTGCGTCGGCGTTGCCCAGCCGCTGTCGGGCCGGGGGAGCCGCATCGCGGAGCCGGCGCTGTGCAGGCCGGAGCGGCGATCCGGCTCGAGGCCGGAGGACCCGCATCGGGCCATCGCGGCGTCGCGGTGCAGCAGGAACTGGAAGACGTCGTCCACGTCGGCGTCCGCGACGCCCGTGACGCACAGCCGCGGCGGCACCAGCGCCGTCTCCGAGGTGTTCGACAGCCGCTGCGAGGCCCAGACGGAGAGGTCGGATGGGTAGCTGGGCGAAGTTGGCGGTGCGGCAGCCGGTGTAGAGGCGGAGGGTGAGACCCCGCCAAGGCTGTCCCGCAGCCCTTTCAGCGCCGCACGCACGCGTAGGAGGCGCTCCGTCGAGGGCATCAGCAGCGCCATGAAGCGGTCGATGAGAGCAGCGAGGAAGGTCTGCTGCGCCACGACTCCGGCCGGCGCGGACGTGGACGTCAAAGACGGCCCATCCACCGGGTAAAACCGCACGATGGGGCTCTGCGGATCCGGCACCCCGGTCGAGGTGGTGGGGTGACGCGTCGCGCCGTGCTTACCAACAAACCGCTCCTGCGGCAGTGACGCTGCTCCGGCGGCGGCGTTGATGGACACGTTGTGTTGTCCTGCAGGTGCACCTGGGGAGACTGTGGTGTTCACGAAGAGCAGCGAAGGGTCACCCTCCGTGTTCCACCTGTACGGGTCGTCCAGCCGCGTCAGTGCATCGAGGCAGGGACAGCGCTCCGCGGTGGTGCGAAGGGGCGGGAGAGGAGGAGTGCAGCTCATAGTGTCCCCAAGCACAACACAACAGCTACTTGAGAGCGAAAGAGGGGGGTCTTTCTTTCCTTTTTCTTCTGCCCAACGGCTTCGACAAGCACGAAAGCCGCTGGGGTCTTCACTCCGGATGATCCGCGAAAAGAGACTCCGCTGCAACCGTTGCGGCGGGGCGGGGCGGGGCGTTGTCGCTCTGCAATCACTACACTTTTCAATTATATCTCCTTTATGCACCTGTGACGATGACGATGACGATGTTGGTGGTGGTGGTGGTGGTGTTTGACGAGCCGCGCTGCTCTTCTGTTAGAGTGACCGGTGCTCTAACGTATAGGAAGTATTTTTCGTCCTTATTATTGTCTTTGTCTTCTCCGCGGGAAAGAAATGCCGTTACCTCAGTATGGTGGGAGGACACGACAGCGCTTCGTCATCTCTTTCTCGCTGTTGTTTAAAGTTTTCCTTTTTTTTGCTAAGCGTGCCGGGGCCGCGGCAAGCGAGGAGCCACCAACAGCGTGTACCTTACACGTGCCCACACAACACACACTCACACACACGCACTCAGCGTTGAACGAATCAATATATACAAGGCAATGCAATACAGAGAAAAAAAAGGAGCTGTACGAAATACAAAGGCGGAAGAGATGATGCGAGAGAATCTCTTTTCGCTTCTGCCGTTGTTATAGTTAGATAACAGAGACGTAATTGAGTAATAGTAATACGAATGAACCATGAATGGGGCAGCACCGCCATACACGCACACACACACACACACACGGAGAGAGAGAGACAGCGCAGAAAGAAAAAAGCGGCGGCAATCGCAGTGTACGAGGAAGATCGATCTCTACAGGAAGCAAAGCTAAAAAAAAAAAAGAAGAATACAGAGAGAAAAGGAAAAGGAAGATAGAGGAAGAGGGAGAGAGGAGGGGAGGCGATGCGCTGCTCTCTCGCTAAACTTGTGTGGATGTCGCTCTGTGTCCACTGAGGCGCAGGAAGCGAAGGGAGCGCAAAACAAAAACTCGAGGAGGAGGAGGGGGGGATGTGGAAGGGCGTAGAGGAGGATGAAACTGCAGAGAGAAAGGCCACAAAAAACGGGGAAGCACTTCGACAAACAAAAAAAATCTGCGCCAAAGAGGTGCAGCTGCTGGCCTTGTTGTTGTCCAAGAGAGACGATACAAGCATACACGTCGAGATGGCGCTGACGGCGTTACCAAGTAAGAACGCCGTCGTTGCCTTCTTTTCTTTCTTTTTCTCATGTGAAGCGGGGAGGAGATCTTCCTTCCGCACATAAACTGGCAGAATAGAAGAATGCGATTCAATCCATTCATTACAGTTCTCGTTGCGCTTCATTAAATCTTGATTTTGAGTGGGCGTGGGCGTGTGTGTTTGTGTGGGTTGATTCGGCCTGTAGAGCCGTACCGTAACGGAGTATAGTTAGAGGCGACGGGACCAGACCGCTTCTGTGCTCCTGCCAGAACTTGCAGGACAGCACCGCCGTGGCCAGGCATCTCGTCCTACACCTCCTTGTACAACACCGCAGCATAACATGAACAATAGTAAGGATAGCACGCTTGTGGTCGTCGTACCTGCGCGAAGTTTTATGACGATCCGTTAAGCAGAGGAGGAGGAGGAGGGGGGCAGAAGAAGAAGAAAAAAAAAGGAACCTGCCACGAACAACCTCCTCCAGAGAGAGAGAGAGAACAGAAAAGAAAGAGGCAGCGATGCCGGCTGGGAAGTGCAGGAAGCCAGCTGACTTCGCGGAAGACGCCCAACGCGCTAAACTGGTGCACGCCGTTTCCCCTTTTCTTTTTAAAAGCGTGCCACGCCGCGTATTAGAACAAGCAACTGCCATCGCACACGCACACACACACACAGAGAGAGACGCTCACACACAGACGCAAACACCGTTCGCCACTACGCGTAGTAGCGGGGGGCAAACAGTAGGTCTGTCATGGAATCCACCTGCTCCGCCGTAAAATACTTCCTATACTCCTGCTCCCACCCCTCGCGATGAGCGTGCCACCACTGCTCAAAGATGCGCTTCGCAAAGCGGCCACACTCGGTGTTGCCCTCACGCGCACAGGAGGCCAGCACCTGCATCAGCTTCGGTACGTACGGCGAGGGCGTGCCGGGGTCTGCCAGCACCACCGCCCCCAGCGCCTGCACCACCGCGATGCGACGGTTGTGGGAAGGGTCGTTGCTGCGTGAGAGGCTCATCGGCGTCCCCTCTGTCTCCGGCGAGGACGGGCCGCTCGAGACGTCCGACAGCTGCGCCGGTGCCGACTGCACGTGTGGTGGCGGCGGCGTCGGTGGTTGGGTGGGCGTCATGGTGACCGCCTTCTGCGTCAGCTGTCGGCACTCGGAGGCGATGGCCTGCACCACAACCCGCGTCTGCGCCTCCGACGCCACCTTCGTGAGAATGGCGAAGAGCTGGCTGCCCTCGTTGCGCACCGCAGCGCTCGGGTGCGCCAGCGAGGCGAGCGCGGCGTCGCCGACCCGGAGGATCATCGCGTACTTACCGATTCGGTGCAGGTTGCGGAACACCACGAAGCGCAGGGCACGGGTGCAGGCTGTCTTGGAGCGGCGCGACGCACCGTAGGGCACCGCACCGACGCAGATGGCGCACAGATGCTCCAGCAGGCGATGCGCGTGCGCCTTCGGTAGCCACGATACAGCGAGGGACTGCAGGGCCGCCTCCGCCGCAGCGTGCAGGTGCTGCATCTTTGTAAAAGACAAGTCGAGGCAGCGGCACAGCAGCATCACTATGTCGTCCACGAAGTCGACATACGTGTCGATCGGGATCGCCTGAAGGGTGAGCGCCATTGTGGAGAGGAGGGCGAGGTCCTCCGTGCTTGGGGATGGCAGGGGCAGAGGCGCAGGCGCAGAAGACAGCGCCGGCCTCGCCTCCGCTTCTTCTGCCGCCGCCCCGCGGCCCTGCAACGGAGACGTAAATGACAGCTTTCCCTGAAACACCTGCGCGTTCACCTTATCGAGGAGGAGAGAGAGAAGCTGCCGGGCAGCGGGGTAGCACTGGTTGTACTCCACCAGGGCCTCGCTGTGGAGGTAGCCCATGGTGATGAGACGAGCAACGACTTGGGCGGCGCACTGCCGTACCTGATCGGCCGGAGACACGAAGTAGGCGCCTTCGTGCTCGCCCACGAGGGCAGCAAGACGAGGGAGCAGCGCAGACGCGACGATGAGCGGCACGGCCTTCACGAGAGTGAAGACAACTCTGATGCGGCGAAGCTGTCGCTGGGACCACGTATCGCTGCCGCCGTTCTCGGGGGCCTTTTGCAGTGCCACTGCTCTCGCTGATGTGGCTTTGGGGTCACCCACCGCCGTTGCGGCCTCAACCGGAGTCGACCGCAGGTGCTGAGAAACGCCTTCGATGAGGCACCACGCTTCCTCCACGGAGATAAAGCCGCCGACGGCCGATATGCCAAGGATCATCATGGACTGCATGATTGCGTGCGGCACGGCAGCGTGGCTGCACAGGCACTTCAGGGTCGCGAGGAAAAGCCGCAACGCGCGTGTGCGAAGCGCAGAGAGGGCTGCGGCGGCGTGCGGTTCTGCCTGCACCGCTGGCGCCGTCTGCGAAGTGAGTTGGACAACCGCGCTTGCCACGTCCAACACGGAGAGAAATAAGCGGTACATCTCGTCCTCCTCCACACTTCCTGGTCTTGCGGGGGCTCGGCCGGCATCACTTTTTCTTTGAACAGCCGCCGAATACCCTTCGGTCGCTTCTTCAGTGGACGGCCACGCGCCGGTCTTCGGAGCGTGGTGGTCGTGCGCGGTGTGTTGCGCATCGACCCACCGCTGCAGCTGCTCCTCCGCCCACGTCAGCAAATCGGCGACGCGCTGCGTGGCGGCGGCCGACCCGTCGTGGGCGGAGGTAAGGAGGTTCACAACGCTGAACGCCAACGCCTCCGGCGCCGCCCCGGCAACGGGACGCTCGACGGGCAGCGTCAGCACACGCAGCGCCCACGACGGCGGTGATGCCGACGGTGCAGGAGAGGAAGAAGTCGCAGGGGTGTCGTGCGTGCCCGCAGGACGGGTAGCCGCACCAAACAACAGCTCGCTCCACCCCGCCCGGTACGCCGGCGTGTTCGGCGGCAGCTCGCCAGCGAGGGCGTTCACAAAGCTGGGACTGTCCACGAAGCTGCCGTGTGGAGCCGTTAAGGCGGCGCTCGAGAGCAGCGGAAGGCCGGCGGCAACCGCGGCCGACTTCGGCACCGTGATGACGCAGAGAGGAAATGCCTGGCCCTTGTCTCGCACGTACTGCAGCAGCATAGGCAGCACATCCTTCAGCTTCTGCAGCGAAGCCTGCACCGCACAGACGGCGGCGTGGTGGGTTTGCTTTTCCTCCTCGCCGAGCGCGTCAACGCCGCCTGCGGAAAGTAGAAAAGAAGAAGGGGTCTGCCCCAGTTCGTCAGGCTGCGTACTCCCCAGCAAGTACACGGGCACTCGCACCTCTCGCACCGCCACGTGCACCGCCATCGCGCTCAGCAGCTTCGTGGCGCCTGACCGCACCTCCACGTGCACCGACTCCGCCAGCCGCGCCAGCAGCCGGACGGCGTGCAGCGAGACCCACCGCTGCGGGGAGGGCCAATACAGGCGGTTCGCCACAGTCAGCAGCACGACCGTACGCGTCGGGTGCGCAGCGACGAGGCGGCCAGCCAGTTGGAGGAGCACCTCCATGTACGGCGCGGACCGACTCGTTGTCGTACCAACCTGGAGGAGTGAATTAGACGATTTTTGTATCAACGGCAGAAGTTGTGCGGTGGACATGGTGCGCAGCTCCTCGGGGAAGGTCACAAGCACCCGCCACGCCCGCAGCCCCCACCAGGGCGCCTTCGTGAAGAGGCTTTGGAGCGTCATGGCGGCGAAGAGCTGGAGAGTGCCGCTGGTGGACTCCTGCAAGGCGCGAAGGAGCGCCGAGGGGAGGGCCGCGGCGGACGACGGTGGGGGTGAAGCGCTCACACGCCCCATTTCGGCTGCCACAGTACGCGGCGGCAGTGTGGTCACGTCGCTGCTCTTCCCCGCCTCTGCCGCCAAAGCCTCGCGTTCGTCCCGCAGCGACATCCACTGTGTGAGCACCGCAGCCAGCAGGGCGTCCTGCCGCCGCACCAGCAGCACCAACGACGCCGCGTTCAGCGAGCCGATCAGCTGGTCGTCGAGGAGCAGGTGCAGGCTAGAGGCACGGACCCGCTCGTGGGGGGAAAAGCTCATGCACTGCAGCACCGACACGGTGCGGGACAGCGTCTCCTGCGACACCGGCAGATACCCAGCCACCGACGCCTCCACGTGCAGCTGCAACGAGCGGCTGGCCCACCCACTCAGCGGGAGTTTCTTGCGCGATCGGCACGACGGACTGTGCGCCGATACCTTGGACCAAAACCAATAGAAGCTACTGCGCGGCAACCAGAACTGCTGCGGACAGTCGATCTGACTCAGCACGAGCCAACGCAGGAGGCCGCGGACGCAGTTCCAGTCCACCACGCTGTCCTCCTTCCACACTCCAGCAGACGAGCCTTCCTGGGCAGCGGCTGGCACCGTCGTGTCCAACGACGGGTGGAGCGCAAGGAAGAGTGGACGCAGTTCCACGCCCGCCTTCGACAGCGGGGTGAGGACGTGGTGGTCCATCAGGGGCAGGCACAGGTGTGTATAGACTACCTCAAAGAGCGCCGCACGGGAAAGTGCCGGACGGCAGTCGGCGGGGAGACGCACCGCCCTCCACGCCGAGCGGGGGTTCAGGTCAGCCCAGCAAACGCCCCGTCGCGCAGCGGCGACGACGGCATCAACAGCGGCCGTCCTCGCCACGGACGGGGACGGCTCCACGTAGATCCACTCGAATATCTCTAGCAGCCGCACCATCCACTCCAGTGCCCCTTCGACGACGCTGTGGGGGTTGACGACGCTCGCACTCTCGCACACGCCGCGCAGCTCCTTGCGAGGGGACGGCGTGGCCGCTACGTTGTTGGCGTCCGCGCACAGAAGAAAGCGGCGCGACAGCGAGGAAGCGTCCAGAGCCGCCGCAGCGTCAGGGGAGCCCACACGAATGTTCTGTGCGTTCGACACGATCTGCACGAGGTCGCGAAGGGCGTCGTTGAAGAACGTCGCTGCCAGGCGCACATCCTCGTCGGCATCTGGCCACTCCACCCGCACACGCGCCGCTGTTGCCGTCCCGTTCCGCATCGCAGCTCTGGACGTCGCCCGCATCGGCGGCGAGAGCGGTGTTCTGTCCTCGCTGGGGATTACGGCCTCGGTGTTGCCGGCGCCGCGCCGCCACTTGGGGGCAGTAAAACACGACGCCGCCGTCCAGCACGGGCGCATGAGAGAGGCGACAAGCGCATGCGTCAGCTGCACCGCCACGCCGCGCCGCGTCTTGCTCGTGAGAAAGCGCAGCTGCACGTGCACTGCTTTTATAATGTCGGCGGCGTGTGCCCGAACAAGCACTCGCTCGCCCAGCCCCGACACGCAGGCAGCGAGCAGTGCGCCGGCCCACTCAACTTCCGCGTCGTTGGCGGAGAGGTCGTGTAGCACCGGCAGCCACGTCTTCTCCGCACACCTCCACGTCTCGGCCGGCGCCACGACGGCCACCATGCGCACCAGCGCGCTCATGCGATTACCGTGGTCGCGATTGTGCGCCTCTCTCAGTACGGCACTCGTTACCATGGCCTCCGCACTGGGGGGCAGGGCGTAGAGGAAGGCCTCGATCTGATTTTGATGAGTAGGTGTACTGGCGCGGCCCCGCTCCGCACCACGCTCGGTGAAGAGGGGAATCACACGCGACGCGTACTCCGTGCCGAAGGCCTCGGCCTCGTAGGACGACTGCATAAGCATCTGGGTGGGAATGTAGCTCACCGCAACGCCCAGCAACGTCAGGACGGAGGACGCGATCTCCGGCGTGCTCGGGCTGACCAGCGAAAGCAGCAGCGAGACGCAGCCCTGGGTGTATTCAGCGACGGTCTCGCGTGCCGCCTGGCCGACCTCGCTGGCGAGACGTTCGTCCTCAGTGAAGAGGGTCACGATGGCGTGCATCAGCAGCACCCCCGACGTGCGTCGCTGCTCCGACACCTCCGTCGGGCTGTTCAGGCCGGCGTCGACACACGTCAGCAGCGCCGGCAGCGCTATCGCGGGGGACATGTACAAGAGCGAGATGAGGAAGCCTGTGGAGGACGGGGCGCGGGTCTGAAATGCAGCCACCGCCAAGGGCAGGAAGAGCTGGACGAACTTGTCGATGGTCGGCGGGGACCAGAACCGGCCAGACCGCGGGGGCGGGCCGGTGGACGACGTCACTTCAGCGTTGACGCTCGTCGCCGCACTGAAATCGCTGCGGGTGGAGTCTTGCCGGCGGTCGCTGCGCCTCTCTTCTTGGAAGTGTCCCTTCGGCACCCGTCGCAGCGCCTCACGCGCCAGCAGGCAGTAGCACTCACACACCCGCTGCGTCGCGCTACCCGGGGTGCACGGCAGGCCCGGACGCACTAACACGCCCGTCGCGCGAATCCACCGCTCGAGTTGGCGCCAGAGCGGGGACTCGGCGTTGTCGGGGAACGCGCTGAGCAGACGCGCGTACGGGGCGGCCGTCCACTCGACCTTGCCTGGTCGCACCTCCGCCGCACCTCGCTGGCCAGAACCGCCTCCCCCACCACCCCCGCCCCCAACAGCAGCAGCAAAAACACCAGCAGCAGCAGCAGCGGCGGCGTCCGGTCGACGTACCACGCGTGACACCGCCGCCGCGGCCGTGGCCCCGGTCATGCCGGCTGGACTGCCGATGGGCAACGCCAGCGCGGTCAGCCACGCCGTGAAGAGGGGCTCCGCGTAGTCGCCGAGGCCCGCCACGGAAGGGTGTGCCCGCGCGAGGGAGCTGGCGAAAAACACCACCGCTGTTCGCCACGGCATCAACAAGCAGCGCGGTTTGCGCTGCCGCCGCCGCTGCTGCCGTTTCGGCCCTGCGGCGACGGGCGGGTTCGGCGGCGTTGGCGGTGACCACGCCGCGGCCTCCACGAGTAAAAAGCGAAGAATCTGCTGTGCGCGGTCCGTGAGACGCGGTGCACCGCCCGTGACGGCCTCCTCGCCGTCCTCTCTACTCCCCTCCTCCTCCTCCGCTCTCGCCTCATCTCTACCGCTGCGGTGGGGCGGCGCTGCGGAGGCCGTGCAGAGGTGCCGGTACGGCACGAGCTGGACGAACAGCGAAAGGGCCGCCACGCCGCCGGACGCGCGCTGCAAGTCGCTGCAGATGAGGCCCCAGAGTCCGTCCACGGCCTCGGCGGGGAAGAAGGGAGAGGCGCGGCGGCACAGTGCGGGCAGCTCCCGCCGCACGGCGGACACCATCGCGACCCACGAAGGCAGACGGGAGTTGGCCGGCTCGAGAACCGCCAAAAAGAGCGCCGCGAGCGGTTTCCACGGGAGCGTGAAGGCGCACCGCACCCGCGTGTCGCCGCCGTCAGGGGGCGCCTCCTCCAGCAAAGGAGAGGGCGAAGAGCGCGGGGGCGGCACCTCGACGGCCGAGGACGGCAGCTCATCCCTTGGAGGCTGGTGGGCACCGCAGGCGGCATGGAAGGCCTTCACAACGCACTCCCAGCACCGCACGTTCGCCTCCGCCAGCGGCCAGCACGTCGCCCAGCCGTACAGCACCGGCGTCACACGCGCCTGCAGGCGAAAGGGCAAGGTGTAGCACGGGAAGTGCGTGCCCTCGCGAGTGATCAGTTGATTTAATCGAACAACGAGTTGGTGCAGATGCCGCGTCAGTGAGCCCCACGGGACCGTGTCGGTGGGTAGCGCGGCGTCGTCGGCAACCTTGCAGCGCACGTCCTCGTCCCATGTGGCGGGCACGTCGTCGCTGCAGTACAGCGCCGCTGCCGCAATGCACGCCGGCAACTCGCCCACCGCTCTCGCTTCGCCGTCGCTGCTCGCGACATCGCCAGGCGCGTCGTGCACGCTACCACTGAAGATGTTCGACGGCAGACGGCCCGCCCACGCTGCTGGCCCACCAAACTGAAGCAGCTCCTCACACAATTGCACCACGACGCGGCCGTCAGTGGCTCGCTGGTGCGCGATTAAGTCGGGGGGCACGCACTGGTCAATGTAGTGATGAATGCGCTCCTTCGGAAGGAGGCGGGCGTCATCGTTGGTGGTTGTGGTGGGCAGCGGTTCTGCATCGAGGCGGCCCGACTGCGACTGCCCGTTGCTGTCCGAGAGGCACAGCGAGGCAGTTCTCCACCCTGCTTTTGAGTTGGGCTCCGCAATGACGGAGCCGCCGCCGCCGCACAGCTCCGCCACCGTCGTGTCGCACGAGGTGGACGATGAGAAGAAGCGGGACAGCTCCGAGGAGTGCGAAGATGCGGAGGACATTCGGTGGCGGTGCGGGAAAAAAAACTATCGCGGAGAGCACTACGGCGCTGAATGCGTTCTATTTGTATTATTATTTATAACGTCTGTGTTGGTGTTCGTGGATGCCGATGAGCCCACTTCCACCTGCACACACACACAGGCACACAAGCACACCCCCGCCGGTTTGATCGCCGCAAGCGCGGAGGAGTGTTGTATCGGAAAAGGAACAACAGCAAGATGAAACAAGATGAAACAAGATGAAAAACAAGAACGGTGTATAGAAAAAAAAGGAGCCGAACTCGCCCTGTGAAAAGGCCCCCTCCCAAAAACCAAGGGGCGCGGAAATCACGCGGAACAACTCACGGCAACAACGGTAGAGGTTCAGGTGGGAATGCCGAATGCCAGCAGACGCAAAAATGAGAAAGGAAGTGAGAGACCGTGTCCGTCACCGTCCACAGCACGAATACGAGTCGCCAACAAGACTCGTAGAACTGGCGAAAAGAGTAACAAGTACCCGAGACGCGAAAAGGAAACCTGTTTTAAGTAATACTGATGACAGTAATAATAATAGTGATAATTCAGGATGGTGATGCGCGCAATGACAGAAATACCACCTTTCACACACGCTGTTATATCGTGGGGGCGCCTGTGAAGAGAGGACGTCCTTTTTGTGGTTGGGTTGCTTGTTTGAGATGCTGTGCGATCAGGTGCCCCATGCAGAGAGAGTAGTAGTAGGTGGCGACGTGGAAGGTGCTACGTGACACACGGCGACGGCCGCACTAGGGGTATACACTCGCGGTTACTATTTTTTGGCTGTTTCTGCCGTCGACACACGTCCACGCTTCGTCGCCGTGGCGCTGCAAGGAGAAGTAAAAAAAAAGGGGGAACGAAAGCAAAGGAGATAAAGCGGCAGCTATGCCCAGGAAAAAGGGGAAGGAGAGAAAGTGAGAAAGTGAGAAAGAGAAGACTTGGTGTCATGCGTGCGAGTTCGTGCGATGAAGGACCGCTCTGGCAGCTTTCGGAGAGCGAGTCCAAAAGACAACCTTTATCTCTAAGTGACGAGTTTTCCCCGTCTTGGACGGACGCCTTCCTTTTCAAAAGAAAATACAAGGTCTGCGCACACCAGCGCGAAAGGCCACACTTTCTTCTCTTGAAAGATTCACACGCACGCCGCATCGGACCGAGCGCTTTTCCCGCTTCGTTTCTTCGGTGTGCGTTGTTCTTCTACATAGGGAGGCACGAGCGCCGCGGCCGTCGTAGGCCGGGAAGCTCAAACCGAAAGGAAAAAACAACAACAAGCATCATCACCCTCATACATTGCAGAAGGGCGCAAAACGGCGCTTCGCCACTACAGATACATCGAACAGCTCGGCGAGGAACAAGGAAAGGAAAGAGAACGAAAGGGGGAAAGGAACAGCGAACAGCGAACAACCGCACGCAAAAATAATTGCACCGCCCCACAGCAGCGGAGACCGGCTTTTTTTCTCTTTTCTTTTCTCTTACAGCGGCCTCGGCGGGCGGTTTCTTCTTGCTGTACATCACCGCAAACCGCTGCCAGCCACGCCACACATCACACCCCAGATCAGGACCGCCGCACTAAGACACACACAGGGGAAAAAGTTAGAGGAGGAGGCCGCGCTTGCGGCACAGACTTGGCCCTTACAGCATAAAGCACACATCGAAGTTGCGCTCGCCGGCGCCGTAGTAGAGCTGCCCGCACTCCAGCGTGCCGGGGCGGTACCAGAAGAGCGAGCCTTCATAAAATAAATTACGCACACTCACTACGTTCGCGGTGGCGTCGTACTTGACGGACCAGACGCCGGCAGGGGCGTCGTCGGTGATCGGCATTAAGTAATCCGTGTGCGGGTTGTAGGTCGGTCCGTACAGCACACGGTTGCGCTCCGCCTTCCCCAGCATCGCCATCTTCAGGTAGCACGAGGGCTTCTTCGCGTGGTGGAGGGGCTGCCCGCCGAAGGTGCCGTTGCGCACCCCCTCCGCCTCTCCATCCTGCAGTACGTACATGCCCCGCACGGTGAGGCGGCAGTCGACGTCGTGCAGCTGCACAAAGTGTGCCACACGCATCGCCTCCGTGACGCTGACGATGCGAAACCGCGGTCCACGCTTGCGCGGTGCGGGCAGCGGGGCAGCGTCCTCCTCGTCCTCCTCCCCCTCTTCGTCGTCCGCGCGCTCCTCCTCCTCCTCTTCCTCGCCCTCGTTGTTTTCGCCGGCCGCCGCACGCGCCGCCGCGATGTCGGCCAACGCCCCCGCTAGCACGTCATCCTGCGGCGGGATCGTCATGGCGGCCTCGTCCGTCTCAGCCGGGAGGTCTTGGCGGGTGCGGTACTCGTACGACGGCGTGCCTTGGTAGGGGCCGCGCAGAGCCTCGCAGAGGGCCGCCTGCGCATCCGTCAGGTCCGTCAGCAAGGTCCAGCTGCTGCCGCCGTCGATGCTGTAAAAGCCCACGGCGGGGCCGAACTCGCCGGAGGGGAACGCCTGCGCGATCCAGTAGTCCGCCTTGACCCCGGAGATCCTGCCCCACAGCGTGACAGGGGTGCCGCGGTAACGCTGGGAGAGCAGCGGCAGCGAGCACTGCAGCGCTGTCGTCTCACCCGCCGTCAAGGACTTGCCCGCCACGGTGAGATGCTGCGCGTTGAGCACCGACATTTTTCCTTCTCTGCTTTTCCTCTTTCTTTCTTGTTTTTTTTTTCTTCTTCTCTCTCCGTCCTGCAACTGGCGCTGTGACGTCCAAGAGGAGGAGCGGGGGAGGGGGGAGGAGGAAGTTGAACGAAAGCGGAGACGATGTAGCAACGGGTAGAAACGGAAAGGCAACGGTAAAGGCAGCAAAGAGTACAGTTGAGGAGGAGAGCGGACAGTGTCATACATTGTAAGAGCAACAGGAAGGATAAGTAGCCCAACGCGGGGCTCGCAGACACGAAGGGCGACATGTGCGCGTTGGGCAGTACCACCCACGGTTGGGGGGGGGGGGGGGGAAGGGAGGGCTCTACGTCTGCGACTCCTTCTTTGCAAAATCGAACCTTTTCAAAGAAAAAAACAGCAGCTGCTTCTTTCCTTTATTCCGTTTGCTTTCATTCGCACTACTCCGTTAAGAAGGTACGCAAAGAGCGAATAGACGGAGGCATGAAGAACTGATTTAAGAAACAAAAGGGAAAATTGCCGCTAGCCAGTCGAGCCAACGCTCCGCCTATGCGTGCGGTCCGCTCAGCATCGCCGCGACACGCTCCCGCGCGCGCGCTTCCGCCTCCTTGAACTGAACCAGCAACTCCAGCTGCTCCACAGAGCCCTGCCGCAGACAAGCATTTTGATACCACTGCGCCACCCTTGTCACACTCGGGGGCAGAACGACGCAGCACAAGCCGGTGAGGTGCACCAGCCGGCAGTTGCGGGTAATGGTCGGAGTGTCGGGGTAGTAGCGGTAGGCAGGGGAGACGAGCAACTCCGCAAGGGCGCGACGGAGAAGCGGCTCCTCCGCGATCGAGGCAGCCTCGACGTCGTAGTGCGCGGTGAGGGACTCCGCCTTGGGGCTGGTGTAGTAGCAAGACATGGGCACCGCGTGAAAGCCAAAGCGGGAGGCGTTAGCAATGAAGGAGCCGAACCAGTCCACCACGAGCGGCGCGGCACAGACCAGCCACGACACCTTCAAGAAGTAGCAGCACTGTGTGTCGTACTGCTTTGGTAGACTGACATCAACGCTCATGTAGCGCTCCTCCACCGGCACCTCAAAGGCGATGGTACGTCCCGTTACGCGATCCATCACGTTGCGCGTGTCGAGGGTCAGCGGGTTGTCATGCACGAGCACAACATCCATTAGAGGCGGTGCAGCGGGAAACGTGAGCAGCGTCGAGTCCGGTACGTCGATGGACACCCCGCCGCTGTGCCGCTGCCAGTCCACCTTGCCGTGCGTCGACAGGTGCACCGAGAAGCGGTAGCCGATAAAGCGATGAAACTCGTCGAAGGACGGCGGATGGGTGGGATCCTCGGGTAGCAGCATTACCGCCACCTCGCGCGAGCGCATCCACAGATCGGGGCCGCGTGGAATGGCCACCTCCGGCCGCTCCTGCAGCCACCGATCCAACGACTCCCAGCGAAAGGCGTTGCGCTCGCCGACCTGCGCCTCCATGTGCACCTCGCGTGTATCGAACTCGTCTGCGAGGTAGTTCCACAGCAAATAGCGGTAGCTCACCATGTGGGTCACCTGCCCATTACTGTACATGCCACGGTGCAGCATGCGCGTGACAGAGATCGTCTTTGCCGTCTCGCCGACCTTCAGCGTGTGAGTTTGGTGCCCCAAAGACATCTCCAGCCGCGCGTTCGGCGACGGGTCCGCGCGCGGCCACTGCGCCCCCGCCGCGAGCCCCGGCGTGTCCACGACGATTTGGTACTGCTGCTGCAGCCGCTGGAGCACAAACTCAAGCAACCGCTTCTTCTCATCCGCCGGGTCGGCGTGCCCGCCGGTGGCGCTGGGGTTCGTGACGGTGTACTGATGCGGGGAGACGGTGTAGAAGCCCTCGCGGGGGTAGGGCGGTTTGCTGCCGTAGAGCGGCAAGAGCCGACACGTGCACAGGCGTGTCCAGCTCGCCAGATGGGGCGGCTCCGCGGCGATGTCGGGGTGCTTCCACTGCCATCGTCGCCGCATCACCGTCGCCGTGCTGGCGCTCTCGGCGGACTGCGACAGGGCCGTGACGTCCTCGCGCAGCTCCTCCTCGGCGCTGGGGCGGAGGGGGTTGATGGGCTTGATCGCGAAGAGAAGGCTGTTCCGCATTTGGACAAAGCCCACCGTGATGAGTGCCCCCGACACGAGGGAGTTCGCGCCCCGCCCATGCCGCCCCGTTGAGAAGCCGTTTTCGTGGTGAAGAGCGCCTGTCGGAGAGCTGAGGGCACCCGCGGGGGCCGGGGGCAGTCGGAGGGCGGCAGGGCGTGTGGACGCCGTCGTCGTGGATCCTGCGGTGACCTCCACCGGTGCGGGGAGGGACCTGTCCACCACACCGCCTTCCTCGTTGGAGGTCGCCACTGCCGTCGTCGCCGGGGCCGACGCACTTGACGGGTTCTGCAAGGAGTCTGTTATTGGTGCCTCAACGCCGGTGTGCGGCCCACGGCCGGCGTCGCTTGATGGGGAGGCGGCGGCGGTGGTTCGAGAGCTGCCGGAGGACGCGGTGGGCGATGCGGCCGACCCGGCACCTCGTGCCTCCTCTGCGGTCCGTGTGACAGGCAGCATTCCCCTGCCCCCCTCCTCTCCTCTATCTGCCACCGCTGTATCTGCTGCTGTCGCAGTCATTGCATCGGTCGCACTGACGGCCGTGAAGGCGGCTTCACGCCTTTCCTGAAACACGGTTGTGGCCGTCGCAGTCATCTCGCCTTCCTTCTGCGCTGACGCTGCCGTTGCGTCTGCACCGCCTTCGTTGTCGCCATCCTCCTCGGCGGACTCACCGTGAACACGATGCGAGGGCGTGGGGGAGACCAGCCCACGACGCTCCGCCGCGGCGTCACCGCCTTCGTCGACGGCGGCGACAAACAAATGCGGCTGCAGTCGCAGCAGGATTTCCTCGGAGGACTGGAAGTGGACGGTGTTGTTGTGCGTGGGGAGAACAAGGGTGCGGCCATCCGTGCTGATACCGCTGTGCGAGCGACAGAAAGCCTCCGCGGCGCGGAAGTCAGATTGGAAGCGGTAGACCTCACCGGTCGTGCTGCCGGCGCTGTGGACCGTGTTGGCACCACCGCTCTCGCCGTCTTGGGTAGCACCAGAGGCGGCAGCAGTGGCCCCCGGCAGCCCCCCCGCGCGCAGCGAGGAAGACGACGCCGGCGCGCCGTTCGCCGAGTTGAAATAGCCCTCGGTGCTGCTGCCCCCACCAATCGTCATGCTGTCATCCCCCTCCTCCTCCTCCTCGTCGGAGTCCGCGTCGGCGTCGGCGCCGAGGGTGAGTCGGTCATCGCGCCCGGTGAAGCAGCTCATCAGGTCACTCCAGCCCTGGTCATCGAGGATGAGACGTGGAGACCAGAAGCAGTGCAGCAGCACCGCCGGGTCGAGGGTGATCTCGAGAATGAGGTAGCCGTTGCGCAGGTCGCTGTCAACCACGTTGCAGCCGCAGAAGACGGCGTCGGTACGGGTGCGACTGAGAGGTTTGTGCCACGCCTTGGTTGACGGCAGCACCGCTGGCAGGGCGACGCCGGGGTGCGGGGACGACTGTACTACTGTTGAAGCAGCAGTCGTAGCACGGCTGGAGTTGTGCGGCTCGTCCTTGAGCGACGCTCCCTCCACCCCGTGGGAGACATAGCCCGCCCCGGCCGTCGCAAACCCGCCCCCGCACTCCTGCGTCAGCTTCGCGGCGTGTAGGCAGTACCACGCGCACGCCGCAGCGGGGCCCCGCCCACGCCGCCGCCGCCCTCGAGAGACTGCAGGCCTGCGCCGGACTCATTCACGGCTGCTGCTGCCGCCGCCGCTGCCGCGCCGCTTGCGGGCGGACGTCCACAAATCGAGTTCCCGCTAGACTTCGCGACGCTGCCCTCCCTGCACAGGAGGGATCGTGGCTGCAGGTGCGAGGAGGGGGAGGAGTTGTGGTGGTGGTGCCGCCCCGTCAGCGACGACCCGGCGCTGCGCACGGAGCGCTCGAAGGCGCCGAGGGAGTGGTAGGTCGGGTTGGCGGTGGTTTGGTAGTCAAAGGAGCGGCTGATGTGTAGCGAGGGGTGACTCATCATGGTGTACGAGGTGAGGCTGTTCGGCTGACTGTGGCGGCGGCCGTCGCCTGCACCGCTGGCCGAGACGGCGATGGAGGAGCTCGACGGGTACGGAGGCATGCGTACTGCGGCTGTAGTTGTCGCCCCTACGCTGCCGCCGCCACGCACACGGCGCTGGGCCGATCCTCCGGTGCCCACCTCAGCATCCCTGCGAGGTCCATCGCCGCTGCCGCGCCGCTGCGGGGACGTGGAGGACGGCTGCAGCAGCGGAGGAAAGGCGCCGGCGAAGGCGGGGTGCGGTGGGTAGGCGAGGTGGGGCTGGGAGGCGTTGAGGCTGCTGTGGAGGCCGTGCAGGGTGTGGTGGTGCTCTCGCCACGCGGCCGCCATGGCGGGTGCGCCGGCACGCGGCATCGACCCTCGCATCGGCACGTTCGGTGAGGTGAAGACGCTGCTGCTCGCGGTGGTGGTGCGCACGAGGAGCGGGCTGCTCGCCGCCCCGCCGGCTGCGAAGACGGGTGAGGCGCGCCCGGCTGTCGTGGACGTTTTCGTGCGCGGCCCGAGAGAGGCGTGATGGCTGGCTGGCGAGGCGAGGGAGGGGAGGAGGTCCGTGCCGTGGCTGGCCGTCGCGGACACCTCCAGCACATCCGGAAAGTAGGAGCGGGAGGCCCACGTCGGTGAAACGGCGGTCGCCGCGGCACTCGTCGCATTGCCGTCGTCCGCACACATAGCCGACTTGCTCTCCCATCGATCGACTGAAAAGTCCGCCGACGCGGCCGCAGCGGTCGCCACGGGTAGCGTCACATCGGCAAGGGGGTAGAAGCGCAGCCCGAGACCGGGTATGAGCAGCGGCGGGTTTGCCGCGGCGTCGGCGGAAACGTGGTGCGCCGACGCCACGTCCTCCACGCCGCCGCCGTGGCCAACCGGCTCGCAGCCCGGACCGCCCTCCGCAGCGGCCGGCGCTGGCTCGTCGAGGTCACCGCGCTGTCGCGCCGCGGCGTTGGAAGTGGCGTAATGGCCGTCCTCCTCGCCACCCTTCACGTAATCGCTGTGGCGGCCACCACCTGCCTGGGCCGTGCCCAGCAGTGTTTTTCCCGCACTCCCCGCTGACGCGCCTCCGCTGTTGGGTGATGATCTTAGCTGCTGCTGCTGCTGCTGTTGCAGTGAAGCTGGTGTGGGGGAGGATCGTAGCTCCTGTGGCTGCCACATCATGTCCGCGATGGACATGACCGGATGCTCCCGCTGCCAGTGCTCCTTCGGCAGCAGCTCAAACACCGTCTCGCCGCCGTTGTTGCTCAAGGCGGAGTGGAAGAAAAAGACGGAGATCCACTCCGGGGTCTCGTAGTAGCGCTCCACCGCCGTCGACGGCGCGTGTGCCCCGCCGCGGGCGGCGCCGGTGCTGGAGAGGGCGCGGCTGTGCAGGTGATACTGCGAGCGCAGCGTGTCGTCGTCCGCCGTGTACTCGAGGAGTGGGGTGACGTGCAAGGGCGGGCGGCCGATACACACCACGTGCACCTTCTCCAGGCCCATGTCATGCAGTCGGGCGCACACAATCTGCACGAGGCTGTTCGTGACCTGGTAGAAGCCTTTGCCGGCCGACACGACGGTGATGGCGTGCCCAGACAGGGTGAGGTGGCGGTCGATGTAGTGGTGGTTGCTGCGCTCCACCAAGATGCTTAGCGCCTCTAGCGTGTTCGACTGCTTCGCGTGGACGAAGAGGCGCTTCGGCGTGATGGCGTCGATGTAGGTCTGACGCTGTCGCACGTACGCCTCCAGCGCAGCGTCCCTGTCCGGAGAGGTGGTCGTCGGGGAGCTGTACACGCCGCTGTCCCCCTCCCCCTCCCGCCAGCCCCCAGCAGCCCCGCCTCCGCCTCTGGGCTGCTGCTCACCGCTGCCGCCACCGCCACGCCCCGCTCTGCCGTCGCGATACGCCGCCACCTCCGCCTCGAGTTGGTGATACGCGGTCGTCTGCACCTCGCGTAGCACCCGGTCGACGAGTGCCTCGCAGTGCATGCGGACCTCCTCCACGACGTCGACGTTGCGGGCCTCCCGCGGCAGCTCCAGCACATGAAAGACGTCGCCGTGCCGGTCGAACTGGAACTCCTTCTGCAACCGGCCCGTGAAAACGACGCGGATCAGCGGGGACGCCTTCCGCTTCGGCAGCTGCTTCAGCAGCAGCTCACTGAGAAACTTGCGGAGCGCCCAGGTCAGCGCGATGCGGCCGTCAATGGTGGTGTCCCACATCTCGCGTGCCAGTTCCACCACGATGTAGTGCACCGGCGACAGGGACTGGAAGTTGATGCGGGTGGTTGGTAGCACGAGACCGCACCCCACGCGCACGTACGACGACGTGCCGCCCGTGTTGTTTGCTGGTGTGTTCGCGATATTCGCGGGGCTCGCACCGCTGCCCGACCCAGCGCCGGTTGTCGGCGCCGAGATGGGGATGGCGGGGCTGCTCGACACCGGTGAGGGTCCGCTCCCGCTGCTCACCACCTGCAGCATCTCCCGCACACGCAGGCGGAAACCGCAGAGGTGTATTTCCTCCCCTTCGTACAGGATGCGCTCCCGCAGCGCCTGCGAGAGGAGGAAAAGGTCGGACCGACTGACGTACTGGTTGTCCACCGTCAGCTCCACGTGCGAGAGCCCGTAGCGCTCCTGCACCTCTTCGTAGGAGGAGAGAATGCGCGCCATTATTTTCCCCTTCGCCACCTCGTTGATGAGGGCGCACTTGGCGGTGAGGGATTGGTTGACGCTGATGGCGCCGTTGGCGTGGCTCACCTCCTTTTCGTTGAAGGCCATAGCGCGGCAAATCCAGCCACCGGACGGGTGCATGAGAGAGCTGGCGGAGGTGCCGATGGCGGTGTGCGCTGCGCCGGCCACACCGCCGCTGCCGCCAGCCGCACCAGCACCAGCACCAGCAGCTCCCCCACCACCACCACCACCGCTGCTGCTGCTGCCGGCATTGTGGTGAACAGAAGAGCCACCCAACATGCCCGGCCCACCGGCGTATGCCGCGTGCGGGGCTGCTGGCCGCATCCTCTGACCTCCCCCAGCAGACCCCACCGCACGAGGGGAGCCGGCCGCGCGCGGCCGGTCTTCGTAGCGGCCGGTGGCCGCGCTGGTCACGGTGCCGCTGAAGTTGAAACTGTCATTCGCTCCTGCACCACCACCGTACGCGGTAGGGGAAGCAAAGGAGGAGAGGGACATCAAATCTACGTACGAGCCCAAGCCGAGCGAGGCGCTGCTCGACGGACGCACCATGAGGGAGTTGAAGGAGGGGCTCTGGTCGAGGTGGGCGGTGCTCGCCGTGGGGGGGCTGCCAGAGACGAGCGCCGAGAGATTCATCGTACTGCCGCTGTTAGTGCTGCTGTTGAACAGCGGCGGCGCAAAGAAGGGCCGCAGCTCCACAATGGCCTCCACGAGCGTCCGCACGCTCTCCGCATCCGCCGATGGCGCGGCGCTAGCAGCAGTAGCAGCGGTAGCGGTGGCGGTGGCGGCGGCGGTGGTGGCCGCCGGAGAGGTCGACGCAGCAAACCGCTTTGGGTTGCTGGGGCTGCCTGCACCAGAGGCGTTGGGGACGCCTGCGCCATGTCGTGCGGCGCCTGCCGGGCTGCCGCTAGTTGAGTTCGGCGAGGCCGCGTTGGGGCTTGCGGCGGCGGCGGCGGTGGTGGGATTTACGAGGTTGAAGTTTTTAGGACAAAACAGAAACGCCGCCTTCGACAACCCGTCGTTGTGCGTGCGGAAGACGAGGGGGATGGGCGTGTCGCAGCCGTGGGCGGCGTCGGGGGTGTGGCGGTGCCGCTGCTGCCGCCGCAGCGTCGCTCCCTTAACGGCGCTCATGCCCGAGTATTATCTCGGTAGACACACCCGAGGGTACGACGAGTGAGCTGCAGGCAAAGAGACTCCGCTGTCTCGACTGTGTTTGCATATATATCCTTCGCAATAGCTAGATGAGCGGACAATGCGCGCGTCAGAGCCTGTTAGTCGACGACGAAGCACGACTTCCACCACACGGCTGCCAGGTGCCACGCGTCGTCACGGACAGACGAGAAGGGGTAGGACGAATAGAAAACGGAGGTGTAAAATAAAAGGAAAAGAGAAACGTTAAGGAGCAGCACCAACTCTTTCACGTTGATCGAATCACGCAGCTATATATATATATATACGGAATAGCACGCAGCGCAGATAGTTTAATGGAATTGAAAGAAAATAATATGTTTTAAGAAGAGAGAGTGAGGGGGGCCCGAATGAAAGATCAAGAATCGTATGAAGTAGCACAACGGCGTCGTGCGCGTCGATTTCTTTGCCGGCAGCTCACAAGCAATGCGCAGCTCAGCTAAGGCAACCCACGCAGTGTGGCAAGAGAGGGGAGGGACGCACCGTCAAAGCCGTCGTCTGCGTTGCCAGCTCAGAGAGTTCGAAGAAATGCGAGCAGGTAAACAGAGATACATACTTGTTGGTCCACTTGTGCGGATGTGTCGAGAGAGAATAATAATAATATAATAATAAAAAAACTTAAAGAACATAATTGTGGTGGCTGGATCTAACTAAAAAAATCTAAGTGAGAGCAGAAGTAAAAGAAAAAAGAAAAATGAGCCCAAAGTGCCGCCAACGGGCATCGCTGGCGCTTCACAGCTGCTGAAGGAGGGCATCGCGTAGACGCTCGTACGCCAGTCGCTGCTCCTGCTGCTGCGCCTTCTCCTCTGCGTCCAGCACAACCCCGCATGGCAACGGTGAAGGAAAAAATGGCCTCGCTGCGGTGGGCAAATCCCCATCGACGAAGACGAGCGGACCGCACTGCGCATCCGTTGCCTTGCTCCCAGCAGGAACGGAGACCGGAACCGCCACGTCGCTGTCGTAGCTACGCGAATGCCGCGGCAGTGTTTGCGAGCACCGCGGAGGCGGTGGCGGTAGCAGCAGCGCAGCATTCCCGGCAGTGCTACGGTCGGAAGGTGGGATGACGACGGAGGGCGAGCGGCTACGCGACCAATCGTGGCTAGAGGAGCAGCGCCCGCTGCCGGCGCGGCACTGTTGTGGAGCGGGAGGTCTTGCTTTTCCAAGGTCGGTGGGGGACCGCTGAGGCCCACGGTCTGTTGAAGACGCACCGGACTGCGGAGGAGCGACGGCCACCTTCCCACGTCGGGGCTCGCGCTCGTCAGCAACGCGTGCACCCTCTGATAGGCGAGCTGAGCCACGCAGCGGCACTGCGGCGGCCGAGCTCGCGCTTCGACAGCAAGGAGAGAAAGAAGGGGGTAACACAGGCTGTGTAGAGGAAGCCTCCGCTCGCAGCCGGGCGAGCTCTCGCACCAGGAACCGTCGCTCGCGCAGGTGGGCGCATGCGAGAGCCCGCGCGACGGTGTGCACGACGGACAACGGCACCGCCGGGGACGTCTGCTCGGCGTCCTCATAGAACGGTAGGAACAGAGAAGAAGACGAGGATCTTCCTTGGCCAAACTCCGTCTCCCTTGCATTCCATTTTGGCGGTTTCGTTCCTCCGCTGTCCGACAACGGGGAGAGAGTGAGATGCATCGCACACCCGCAGTGCACGCAAAACCTGGCAAGAGGCGGCTGTTCATCGTCTGACGTCACCGCTGCACTCGCTGCTGCATCGCCGAGCTGGGTCGAATGGGCCCGCTGCGCCGACACCACGATGCACGCGGGAGCCCCGCAGCTGCGGCACACAAGATCCATGGGAACGCGGACGAGCAAAAAAACGACAAGTCGCGCGCAACGGAGAATTCTGTTCCTTTGCGTTAGAGCTTGTTTGCTTGCTTTACCTGAAAACGCTTCCTCGATTCTTCTACTTCTCCACTTCGTGCGGTGGTGGTGCGGATGACGTGTGGTGGGGTCCTCAAGGACGTACAGGACAGAGGAGGCGGGAAGAGAAGGGGGAGAGACGTGTGTGTGTCTGTGTGTGTGCGTGTGGCACGGCAGGGAAGCAGGCGAGACAGCTGTGGTGTGCCCACGCACGCAGTTGCGGACCAAAAGGACGCCAAGAACACCACGAGTGAGAAATAAAAATGGGGAAGAGGGAGAGAAAGATAGAGAAAAGACGCGCTCTCGCCTTCCTGCCAGATCGTGGCGCAAGAGTAAGATATAAATATATTTGAAGAGGCGGCCACTTCGTACACGCACCTTCCTCGTCCTCCAAAGGAGAAAAGTAATTGAGAGAGCGTCGCTGCGCTGGCGGGCCACACACGAAAGCCTACGCGATGCAAAGCTGTCAGTCTCGCACTTCTCCCTTTCCCTTCTCGTGTATTCGACAGTGGTTATTTTCTTTCCCTTTGTTTGTTTGCTTTCTCTGGCGGTGGCGGTTCCTGACGGAAGGGAAACGAATACATAAGGCAGAGAAGATGTATTATAATAACAATGGTAATAAGCGCATGAGGACTCAGTCAGTCTGGCGGCACTGTCGTCGCCGCCGAGACATCGTAAGATGACTTGTCTCCCGGTACGCCCCGACCTACCGCACTCCCTCTCGTTGAATTCCCCTCAGTGTTGTCGTCGTCAACGCTGTCCTTCGGCGTATCTCCCGTGTCGCCGCGGTGCCGCCGGGGATCGTGAGCACCTCGCCGTCTATCAGGCTTGCCGTCCTGCTCCTTCTTCCCGCGTTCGTCTGGCGATGACGACGACGCCAACCCCGCGCTTGACTCGCTCTCTGCTCCGCTGGCGCTCACGGCGTACGGCGGCTGCTCTCGTGCATTGTGTGCCCTCTCTTCGCCCTCTTCCTCCTCTTCCTCCGCCAGCATAAACCACAGCACCTCCAAGTTGGTGCGCACCGCCTCCACCGCCTCCGTCTTCACCTGCTCCCGGCTGCGAACGAAAAAGAGAAGGTTGGAGCTGCTCAACGCCGCGCCGAAGCGTCGGCGCAGCTGCAGCCACTCGTGCTGCGTGATGGACATGGCGATGTTCAGCATGATCATCATGAAGAGTAGGACGAAGGTGACCACCATCACACTCGCGAAGAAGGCCGTCACCGCGTACGGCGTGTCGGCAATCACATCGACGGTGTCGAGGAGGGAGTCGCCGTACGTCATCAGGTAGAGCCCCATACTGGCCCAGCCCAAGGAGTCGAAGTGACCGGCTGAGTATGGCCCGAAGGCGACCTTGAAGAAGACGGCGAAGCCGAAAAAGAGCGGCGACACGCACAGCGCAAAGAGGAACAGCTTCGGCAGCACGTAGGTGGAGGCGAGGATGGGGAAGTACAAGGTGGGGAAGAAGCGCAGGTAGCTCAGCAGCAACATGCACGATGTCAGCGCGGCGGTCCCGAGCAAGACGCTGGTCAGCGCGTCGTACCGCCCATCCTGCGCCACCTCCGCGTGGGGCAGCAGTGGGAGAAGCAGCAGCGCGCTGTAGCTCAGCGTGAGGACCGCCGCGATGACGCCGATCCAGTGCCAACCCGTCCCCATCGTCTGTTGCAGGTGGTGGCGCCAGGTGGTGCGCAGGTCAACGTAGCTGCGCTCCATAATCTGCTCCGACAACTGCGGCGTGAGCGGCGACAGCCCGAGAAGGGGGGTGCGGACGGACCCCCGTGCGACACCCGCCGTGGTCGGCGAGCCAACGCGCGGGGAGCGCATCCACTCACCGAGCGAGTTCTTCGAAGTTTTCGCGGCGATGGGCGTCGCGACGTGCTGGCGGGCCGGCTGCACGCGTGAAACGGATCGAGGAAGGGCGCGCCGGAGTTGGCTGTCCAGCCACGTAGCGGTTGGGGTGTGCATGACAGCAGCAGCAGCAGTGTCAAGGGCAGGAGATACGCGCACCTCTGCCTCCCCTTCCTCCGCTGCGTCTCTCACGGAACGTGCCGCGTCACCAGCACTGACAGTGGCAGCGAAGTGCGATGCGGCGATGATGCCCAGCGAGGTGTCCCGCATCAGCAACGGGGTCGATTCAGAGTACGCGGACAGCGCCCCTGCCGCGTCTGCGGCGAAGAGCGGTGGTTGTGCTGTCCCACGCGCCCCATCACTCCCGCCTTCTCCGTTACCCGCACCCCGGGCACTGTGCGGAGAGCCCGATGCCTCTTCCACCGCGGAGGTGAGGGCGATGGTGCCGTACTTCGTCCTCGCGGGCTCTGGCAGCGAAAGGGACGACGTTGCCGCCGCTGCCTCCGCCCCGGCGGGCAGACACGGCACAGCAGGAGTGCCGGGGAACCCCCACTCGTACGGGATCGGCGCCGTCGCCGTCACGCGTCGCCCCGCACACGTCGCTTGGCCGTCTCGCGCCGTCGCTGCTTCACCACCTCCAGCAGCTCCATGTCGGCGTGGCAGGCCATCCCGCTGCAGCCACATCTGCCGTGAGTGAAAGGCGAGACGTTCCTTGCGCAGGCCGTCCTTGTACCGCTTGATGCGCCACAGCGCCCGCCCGCGCAGGATGAGTTCAAACACCGCCAGTACGCCCAGCAGCGCTGCCATCCCGTGCGACGGCGCCCACCGCTGACGGACGGAGCTGCCCTTGGGCCAAATGCGCGTTTGCACGTGCAGCCGCGTCTCTACTAGACCCCCCGGGCGCACCTGGATAGCCTTCTCTACCTGCCACTGAAAGACCGCCGACTCCGCCGTCGCCGCGCGACCCGTCACGCCCTGGAGACGCGGCAGACCGCGCGACGATTCCGCCCCGCCACTCGCCTCAGCGGGCGCGCCAGTGGGCTGAGGGAGGTCCGTGTGACTGCCGTCACCGGTTTCGTGGCGTAGCGTCACTGCGAGGTGGATGGCGCGCACGTTGTCCATCAGCGAAAACTCAGTGAAGAAACTGGACGGCGATGACGACGGCGGCGGTGGTGACGCGTCCTCCTCGGCCGTCCGTGGCGCTGCGGTGGAGAACGTCGATGGTACGGACGCGCAGGGTCGATAGTAGCGACCCGACAGCCCATCCAGACGCGGCCGGCACACCATCGCCAGCGCTGCATCCACCTCACCAGCCGACGGCAACACGTCCTCGGTGCTATTCGGACCGAGCTCCCCAGTGCGCTTCACAGGACTTGCGCCGTTGTCGAGGCCGTCTCCAGCCTGCGCCTGACGCCGTCGCCGCTGCCGCTCCCGCTGCTGCTGCCGCTTGCCCGCCTTGCGGAGTCGACGGGCCGCGTCGCGGTACTTCGCAAACGGTCCCAACGGGTGTGCCGCGTCAACGAAGAAGGTCAGCCAACGCGTCTCGCTGCTTTCCACCTCGTCCTCGCCGGACCGGCCGGCGGCGGAGAGCGGGGCGGCGCTGCTCCACGGCAGTTGGCGGGCCTGGAGCAGCGCCGCGAGGGGACTCGTAGACGACGCGTCGACGTGCCGGACACCTTCGCGCCGCGAGAAGGCGTCCACGCTCACCCGCATCCGCACCGGTGCGATCGAGGAAAAAGATCTGGGAAGTTGCGACGGCGGGGCGGTCGTCGCCGTCGTCGCCACCGCGCTCTCTCGCACCGCGGTGGAGCGATTCCTCGCCTCCGGCCACAAGGGAGGAATGACGACAGCCGTGCTGCCGTTATCGTATACCGGCGGCGCGGCGTAGTAGTTCATGTCGCTCGAGGACGTGTTGGACAGGTTGTAGTACACCTCCACGTAGTGCTCCACCGAGGCGTAGAGGCCCTCCATCCACGCCGTCGGCGCCGCGACGATGTCGCCGTGGCCTTTGCTTTCGAAGTCTTCGCCCATAAATTGCTCCGTTATCGCGCGACACATGGACGCATTGGCGCGGGCCAGCGGGAGTTGATACCACATCACCTGCAGCAGCAACAGCACGCAGAGCACGACGCTGGTGATCAGCTTCCACGGCACTATTCCGTCGCGGCGAAGTTTGCGGAACGGACTGGAAAAGAAATCCTCCGTCAACAAACGCTGTCGCAGCTCCGCCTCGCTGTGCAGGCCGTCCACGTACCCGTCGCGGACAGCGTCGTTGTTGCCGTCGACACCGCTGCTGTGCGGCGTCGGGGAGGTTTGTGGTGGGCCTTCTTCTTCCGCTGTGTGTGGTGGTCGCTGCGCCGCCTCCGTCGATGACTCGGTACCGCTGCCGGCGTGTCCGTCCGCGACCTGAGCGCGACCCTGACTCCTCTCCTCTCGCCCTCCTGCACCTGCGCCGCGGCTACCCGGTGAAAGCGGCAGTGGCGGCCCCGTGAGCCAGCGCCCAGATGCGGACATTGAAGATTCCTTCGTCGCTTGAAGGGGCGAGCCCCACGGGCTGGATGAAGGGGTGAGCAGAGTAGGGGGAACACCGCTGGCAGCAGAAGTCGCTAGGCCAGAGTGCGTGCCCTCCGCTCCCTGTCGCGGTACACTCGGCCGCCTCCCGGCACCACCGCCCGCGCCGTCGCCGGCACTTCCAGCCGCTGACGTGCTCGACAGCGCGGAGGAGGCGCGGCTGCCGCTGCCCGGTCCACGCGAGACGGGGCTGAAGGCGGTGGTGAGCAAAAACGGCTCCCCCACAATCTCCGACCGCAGCGAACGCGCCAGCTGCGTGAGTTCCTCCTCCTCCTCCGGCTGCCGCGGCAGCCGCCCGCGTGGAGTGCGGGCGCGTGCAGGCGCGTTGTCACGCCTCGTGACCGACGCCCGTCTTGGCGGGGACGACGGCGAGGCCGTGCCCAGCGCGTCCCCGCGTGCCGCACCACCCGTTGCGGACGTCGCGCCCTCCGCCCACGACGGGTGGCGGCGATGACGCCCCTGTGACGGCCGCTCGTCCACCGAGACGGGGGAGAAGAAAAGGAGGGGCGTGTCGGACGGTGCGGCCGGCGACGGCGGCGGCGCAGACGACGGTGCGGGGTGCAGCGGCGGTGTGGCGGTCACCCACTGCAGCGGCCTCGTGGGCGTGGCAGGGCTGGTAGGGGAGGCGATGTTCGTGTGACGAGCAGTGTCCGTCTCTTCAGACGCCTCACGCGGCGGGAGAGGGGTGCGGGGTTGCGTGAAGGGATACGCGGACCTGCTCGGGAGCGTCGTGCCTGCCTCGGCGGGATTGGCAACGCTGCCGTGGAGGCCGTGGCATGACATGGAGGAGAAGGAAGAAAACGCAGAAGACGACCTTGGCGGAGTCGACGCGGCGGACTCCGCCGAAGGTACGGGGGTGGGCATCGTGTGGGGGAAAAAGCAAATGGAGAGGCAAGTATCTGCTCTCGCGCGTGAAGACGGCTGGCACGAGGCAACAGGGCCGTCTGTTCTCCTCGATGATCCCCGTCGGGTTGGATCTCCCAGGTACGCAAAACCCGGCGGCGCACCGAAGTGTCCAGTGCGAGCGAGAACACTCGTGAATCGCCTCGGAAGCAATAAATATATATATATTTGAAGGCGGGATCAGAGACAAAAAAATGAGGCAAGGGAGAGATGACTGTCTCGCGTAAAACGCCCAAGAAGAAGAAGGCAGAGGAAGAAGGAAGCAGAGGTTGTTAATGCTGTTAAGGGGAATGAACAAGTCGAAAGAAATGGATATATATATATATAAAGGAGAAGGGGGGAATGAAAAGCCGAAGGCAGCCGAGAACAGAGACAACCGTTGGAAGAAAGAGCGATACCGGGCGAAGAGAGAAGGAGAGATAGCGCACGTAAGCGGAAACGGAAAGAGGGTGTACGAAGAGCGCAGGAGAGGGTGTGAGAGAGAAAGCGAAGAAGAAGAAGAAGCGGAAAAGGGATTCGGCTGCGAATCACTAAAAGAGAAAATATATGGAGGAAGAGAACACCCCTCCCCTTAGACGCCCTTGTTAAAAAGTCGGGTGCCGTGTATCTAGAAGCGCACAGCAGCAACCACAAACAAGGAAAAGAAAAAGAGAGAAGAGAGAATAACGCGACGCCGGAGTAGACGAAGCAAACAAGTAAAACGCCGGTGCACAACGGTGTGTGTGTGAGAGAGTATAGAACAGCAGTAGCCGAAGGAACGTGTTTGCCCGCAGGTGCTCTCCGCCACGTAAACGGATATTATGTATATTAAAAGAAAACGATAGGATTCAGACGTATACGTACTGTTCTTCTTGCCTAAAGAATGGAGAGCCAGTGACGCCTTCAAGTGTGTGCTGGCGAAAAGAAGAAGAAAGAAGATCAGATGTATGGATGAGGAGAGAGAGAGAAAGAGTTAGGTGGAAAGGTGGCACCGCGCCAACGTCAGCGCCTCGGACCCGGAGAAGAAAACAAAAGGAGCAAGGAGGAAAGAGCAAGGAGTAGGAGAGAAGAAAGAGACAAGTGTGTTCATCGCTTTCCCGCGTCTCCCTTTCCCCCTCTCCCTCCTTCCCCTTCCTTCCTTTCTTCCTCTGTTTGTAACCCCACTAAACAAATAAAATAGAAACCGTATGTGCGTACATGCGCTCTGCGATAGGCGGCACCGGCTTTTCAGCGCACGCATCCGTGCAGCTTCTCCCTCTTCTCTTTCTGTAAGTGAGCAGCGAAGAAGTGCGTGCAGATGGAGGCTGCGTGCGGTGCTTCGGCCAAGCAGCTCATGGAACCGTCCCTTCGACGAGGAAACAAAGCGCGCGAAGCGAGAGGAGGAGGAGGAGGAGGAGGAGGAAGGAGAACGCCACACACAGTCTGTGTGAACCCGCCGTCGTTTCTTCCTCTTCTTCTCTCTGATTCCATCGTCTTCTCTCTTGCTTGACTTTTTTCTACAGTGTTCCTTTTCTTTTATTACAATTCACGATTGAGATACATTCAACGTTCACTCAAGACAATAAAGAAGAAAAGCACACGCACGAAGAAGCCACAGGGAAAACCACCACCAACAGCACGGAAGTAAAATGGGAGAACTATAGAGGATACAGTACATGGAATGCCACCCGGAGAGGCGGAGGAGCTCCGACAGCAACAGCAGCAGCAGCGATGGAACAAAAAAAGGGGGGAAAAGGGAAAAAAGAAAGGGTCGCAAGACAGCTTGTGCGAACCCCATCATCTCTCTACGCTGTTTATTACCACTACTATTATTAGTAGTATCATCTGCTGTTGTTGACGATAGAAAGAAGGCCGCCACAGCAAGCGGCGTCGCCATCTATTTTTCTTTCTTTCCTTTTTTTTTTGGTTGTCTGCTTCGCACCCGAGGACCAACCCACCTCCACGTGCGTACACGACGCTTCCCTCCTGTCCACACTGAGCGCCGAGTCATCACGTTTACAGCGCCGTCCAGTGGACGAAGAAAAGGGAAAAGAAACCCAAATAACATAGCAGCAGGAGGTGAAAAACAAAGAAAGACAGTAGAAAAAAAGGGGGAGAAAGGGAGACAGCTCAACAGACGGAGAGAAATAATAGTAATAATAGTAATCATCGATGTACAACACAAATCAAAACAAAAGCGACAAGACGTCCAACACAACAACGGCAAAAAGAAGAGGAGAGAGAGAAGACAAAGCGCAAAAACAGCCTCTTCTCTTTCTTTGTTTGTTTGTTCTCTTTCACAGCTGTTTTTCTTCTTTGTTGTTTGCTTTGTTTCTTCTTCATGTTTCTTCATTCTTCTTCGGTTGCTGCTGCTGCTGCTGCTGCTGCTGCTGCTGTGTGATTACGACACGGAAAGCGCTGCGTGAATCAAAGGTATGAAGCACGGGGAAAAAAACAAGAGAAGAAGCAAAAATGGGGTGAGAGGCAACGACGCATCGTTGCGAGCGTCGGAGGAGGGAAAGGGGGAACAAAACAGATACAGGAAGGGCACAGAACAACATCATTTATTATTATATTCTTTGTTAAAATACAACTAATCACAATGTATACATATATATATATATATATATACATGTATATATATACATGTATTTGTTGTTGTCGAATCAATCAAAACGACTCACCGACACCGTGGGTGGCCATGTTCTCCTTGCGCGGCATTTCAGGTCAAGGAGGCCCCTCCCCCCGCCACACGGCACGCGCGCCTCTGCCGAGCCTAATATCGCTTATCATGGCACGCTAGAACCTGCCCCTCCCTCCACTCAAAGGACGTGAGGTATAAATCGTACAGGAGCTGTGCGAGGAGCAATAAGCAATAAAAATGAGAAACAGGAAAACAAAAGTTTTCTCTCTACGAAGCGGCAGCCGTCGCCGAGAGGCAAGAGAAAACGAAGGGAAAAGACAAAGGACAGAAGGTGGAACACCATTATATAAGACTCCTCTTGCCTGCGGCTGCGTGCGCTTGATAGCCGCCTGGACACAGCTCCGTTCTTTCTTGCCTTTTCCCCTCCCTCCTCCCTCCTCCTCCTCCTCCTCCTCCTCCTCCTCCCACTACTTTGTCAAAGGTAGAAGCGTGCCGTTCTCACTGCTCACGTGGCAACCAATGACGAAGCACAACAGCTGCGTTGCGTGACATCTAGACGGATGTTTAACAGAAAAGAAGGCACAAATGAAAGGCACGAAGAGAAAGCAAGGGAGCTCCTCATGTGTGCATGCGCTCGCCCATAACACATGAGCAAGCATCACACGCAAGCCGGACCGGCAGCACCGCCCCTCCCCCCGTGAGCAAAAAAGCGAGTACATCTCTAGAACACCTCGGATGAATCAACAGCAAAAAAGGAAACAAGAGAAAAAACAAAAACAAAAGGAAGAACACGTCTACGCACCTAACTACATATAAAAGAGAGAGAAAGAAGAGGAGGAGAGGAACTTAACGTACACGTGGAGGAGCACCTCTTCGCCTGCAAGAGAAAACGATGAAAATGATAATAATAGGCGAATGCGTATATCGAGAACAGAGCAACTCCCTAGAGCTTCTTCCTTCATTTTCTTCTTCTTCTGTACTCCGCCATTGCCCGAAACAGCCTTGAAGAGGTGGGGGTCTTCTTCTTTCTTTCTCCGTAGCCCACACGCCGCACAGTTGACATAATAAAAAGAAATGAAAAAAAGAAATTAGCAGGCACGCAACTCAACACCAACAACACACACACTATATGTATATAAATATATATTTATATATTTTTATATGTAAAGGGAAGGCGAAAGAAAGAGGGGTGGCGACCCGCGACCGCACAGCACGCACACGGAGAAAGCGGAAAGAGAAAAGAAAAAAGAAAAAACAAGAACAAAAATCTTCTGTGCACATGTGTCGATGAACAACGTAGAAGAGCAGAAACGAGAAGGAGCCGCGAAGCATCCCCACGTCACTCGCCCTCCCCTTCCCTCCCTCCCCTTACCTTCACACACACACACACACACCACCACCACCACCACCACCCAAGAAAACGCCATACAGCGCACGATTCGCAGCGCAATCCACCATCAAGGCGGCGGATGTGGGCGTCTGACAGACCCACACGGAATGAACAAGTTTTTAATATATATATATATATATATTTATATTTATATATATATACATGTAAAAATAATAAGTCTGTGCGAAGGAAGCACAAAACACGCATTATTTCTCCTCCCCTCTCTTTCTCCCCACCCCCCTTCTGCGTCCGCGTTCAGACGTGCTCAGAATGCAAGAAAGAAGCACGCTCACAGACAATAGAGGCACCAAAAACAGCCAACTCGTAAAACGTATATATATATATATATAT